TTTTTGATTTGACAAAGGCTTTTGACCTAGTTTCACATGATATATTATTGAAAAAGCTAGAGTCCGTCGGAATTAGAGGATTGTCACTTCAGTGGCTATCATCATACTTAACTGATAGACAACAGAGTGTAGTTATCTCCAAGCTTAATGAAAAGGGAGTTATGACATTTTACTCGTCTGAATATAAAAATGTAAAATGTGGCGTACCCCAAGGTAGTATATTGGGCCCAATTCTATTTATTACTTACATAAATGACATATTTGACATAACCAATCATAAATGTATCCTCTTTGCTGATGACATATCTATTATTATTACTAGTGACAAAAAATTGAAAACCATTACTGATCATGAAGCGGACATAAATAAAACAATTGACAATTTAATTAGCTATTTAAATAATAATAATTTAACTATTAATCTCAATAAATCTGTATATATACAATTCAATCAATCTTATAATCCGAAATTTAATTTTAAAATGAACGTATCCAAACTTACCCAAGTGACACAAACTAAGTTCTTAGGAATAATTGTAGACCAACATTTAGATTGGAAAGCTCAGGTCGACCATGTGTGCAATAAAATTAATAAATTCGCGTACGCCCTTAGACAAATTAAGAGGGTCACTAGCATAAAAACGGCTGTGATGTCTTATCAGGCATATGTTGAGTCCTCTTTACGGTATGGTCTGATTTTTTGGGGAAATAGTACCGACCAAGGTAGAGCGTTTGTTGCCCAAAAAAAGTGTATACGAGCTATTCAGGGGATCCCATCGGATGAATCATGTCAACCCATTTTTAAAAAACTTGGTCTGCTACCATTGCCGTCATTGTATCTGTATGAAGTGTCTATGTTTGTACGAAAACATATAGAGCTATTTAAAACAGTAGAAGAAGTAAGCTCACGCAGTCGGCGTGATCAGCAACAGCACAGACTTGTACTGGAAGAGATTCCTAGGATAGTGAAATACAATAAGAGCTGTCCAGCTATGTGTATTTGTGTATTCAATAAACTACCAAATATCTTGAAAACTGCGAATTGTAGACTGTTTAAGATTGAATTGTATAATTTGTTGACGCAATATAATTTCTATAGTATTAGGCAATTTTTGGAACATCGACCTTAGTTTTTCCTATTTGTAAGATTTTATAGTGTTTGACTAGACACGTACAAGTTTGCATGCTTTAATTGTAAGCAAAACATGCTGGACTTTACATTTATTTTAACAACTTTGTATACCGTGTTTTTCGCAAATAAATAAATTATTATTATTATTATTATTATATAATTTCAACCAAAGATTTCCCATTTTCTACGATAAGTACCTAAATATTTTTCAATTTTGTGCATACTACACCCATTTGTATTCAGCAATTCTAACGATATCGTCTTCGTAATGCATTTTTGGACCGCCATCGCGACCGGGGTATCGACCCCAAACCTCCATACCTGGTTTACAAGTGCGTCTGCACTTGACCATTGTGACAGAGACCAATGATAACTTTTATCTCAGCAGCAAAACTTGGAGCCAAACTTTTTTATGACCAATTAAATTTTACTTGAGTGGGTTGTTTCATTCTATCATCAAAATATCACGCCCACTAGCAGCCATAATTCACCGAAAAGGTAAGCAGAGGCGTGTAAGCCGTACACCCACCTTTTTAACAGTTGTAAAAAAGGAACTACTGAAATTTAGTACCTCGTGCTCAGTAGCTAGAGCTAGAGTCAACTCTTGTAAGTATAATCGAATGCATCGTTTAACCACGATGTGTGTGAATGACGCATATATTCTGTTTACCTAATTAGGCATTGATAACAGCGACTTAGATCATGAATGAATACCTACACTCGTAAATATGTAAGTATGAATGAAAGACAAAAATGATAACAAGAAACTCCTAATTTCACAGGAAGCCAGCAACGATAAGCGTGCACTATTTTGGCGGTGTCTTGACCTCTAACCTCATGCATAATACATTTAGATTAAACGAAGCAGATATTACCATTAACAGAATAAATATTAAATATTCACGAATCCTTAATATCCGAACTGAAATATAAATCAACAATAACGTCTTGTGGCTCAAAACACCCCAACCAACCCCGAATAAATTATACAAGTTTAACTTCAGAATTATTACAAACGTGTTCACTCGCATTTAATTATTTTTCTGGGCAGTTAATTACGGAAACTGGCGCACATGCTCCGGAATACATGAATATTATGTTTGTTTACGAAAACAATACAATGACATCTGTGTCCTCTCACGTACACAACATTACTTCAAGATTGATGCCCTCAGGTAACACAAGTCACAAATATTGGACACACATGTGTTGTCCATTGTATTGATCGGACACAAAATTCGATAGACTCGCAAGGTGCGCCGGGGCAGAGCGAGGTGCATTGCATTCCTCCAAGAGGGACGCGAGAGGGAATCAACTGCATTCTTAGTTATTCTTACCTTTAAAAACAAAAATCCCACCAAAATCCACTTGTACTTGTGTAAAATGAACTTCAACACATATTCTTATCAACACTCGTGTTAAGAGAGTGTGTTGATTCACAGAAAAATTCAAATTTAATTGTTTACATCACTGCCAAATAACACTGTAGCGGCACACACCCGAACGACCGGCGTATAACAAGCAAACTGGATTCATTTGGCTTGTCTGTCTATGACGCGGAATGCTATTGCTTTGTCTCTTTTCAACGTAGTTTATAATTGTATACAGCTGTCTCGCTCCATCGAAGAAAGGCGCCAGTGCACGGCGCGGGCGCCGACTTCTTCCTTCGGGACTCAAAAAAAACAAAAGTTCTTTTGAAACAAGTTACTGGTAATGGGGCTTTAGGTGCCTGTCAAGATATTGTATGATTTAAAATTTGTTTGAGGTGTCATCATGTACGAGACATGTCGGGCCGACGAGACATTTGTACGACATAAGACTTGATAAATAGTAGCGATCTCAAAGTCAGATAAAGATACAGAAAATATTCCATGGTGGAATACTCCGAACACATTTAGATAATGCTAACATTTATTAGAGTAAAAAAATTAGTCATTTGGGACAAAAAATATATAAATATTAAAGACATAAGGCAAAGCCATCCCGAACATTATCCACTGTTCAGTTCCATTCAACCCTCGATAGCCAACACTCGTACTACCTACTTATCTATCTAATGAATAGTTATTAAGTACCTACCTATGTCGGTCCGAGAGACCAATTTGCTGCACGCACCTCTATTATTTTTAAAATGTGTCAAATTCGCTATTTCCTGTCCATTAAGACGTGACTATGATCCGGCGGACTCAAGTGCGACTGTCGATCAAAACGTTCCAGGTTCAATTGGTCGATATGAAGTTAATGTAAGTACTAGATAGTAGTAGTAGGTAGTTGAAGCTATGAAATTGCCGTTTTACCATCAATTTCATAGATAAAGATCTAATTAAGTATTACATCTTTACTTAACTGCCCGTGACAGTCTATTGTAAGTAGGTATAACTGGGATTTGCCATAATCTCGCTTAGCAGTCGCAATGAAGATTTGAAGGCTTCTTATCAATCATAATAAAAATATTCTGCCGGATCACTTATCAATATGTAGCCCCTAATCGGTTCTTATTAACGACCCCGCGGGAAGAGTAGAGGTGACAAATAAATGCTTTCCACGCTTACTTAAAAATGTACTACATTTACAAAAACCTATAACCCAGTACAATAATATCGGTACCTATATAGAAGCTGTGAGAACTGTTTTCCCAAGTGTATTTTGCGTTCAATATTTACTTTAGACAAAGGTGTAAAGAAAGTCTTCTGTGGAAGCGCAAACCGTGAAATTGTTTCGCTGCTAGTTTCCCCTTGGTAAATACTTAGTACTTATACTACAACCCACTTGGATGCATTCGAAACATATTCTGGTACTAACATAAAAAGAATATAGAAAGATGTTTTCTTTTTATTATGCATATCCTATACGTTATCTATGTCGCGGAGAACCTAACGGGTAACCGGGGCTCCGGCTCGACGTGCAGGAGAAGGAACGGGGTGGTTTTTAGTCAGTAAGAGTCTGACACTCCCTTCCGCCTCACCCAGGCGGGAGCAGTCATTCGATGATTTTCCCCCCTTGAAAAAAAATACGTTATCTATCAAGTCTACCGAGAGACATTTTCAGCCTAACGGACACATATTAACTTAATTTTAACGAAAATGTAAATAGATCTATCTATTAACCAATAACTTGTGAATGTTATTGTAATATAACGCATTTTATTGATCAAAAAGGTACCTCCTAAGCAGAGGAGTTTGCATTAAGTGCCTGTTATACGCCGCGGAAGGTCTAACTCTAACGGGTTGCCGGGGCTACGGCTCGAAGAGTAGGAGTAGTAAGGAACGGGGTTGTTTTAGTCAGTAAGAGTCTGATCATTCCCTTTCGCCTAACCCAAGGCGCGAAGCCATTGGATGATTTTCCCCCCTCAAACAGAAAGTGACTGTTGCACTTCTGGTTGTTTTTTTGTAAGTGAAGCTTTGAATTACTAAAAACCAACAATTCAATTTAGTTGCGGTATTTAATTATTTCAAAAAAAAACCTTCATAAAAGGAAACAAGTAACTCGTATAGTAAATTGCTAAACATCTTTCGACTTATGTGCACAATGTGGCATTGATATTATTTATTAAGTGCAAATATAAGAAAATGTCGTCGCATGGAATTATAAAAATTATATTATTTATTTTATTCAAGTATCTACATTGGCAGATCCAATATCTCTGGATATGCCTTAATCTACAGAATTGGGGCTGTGATCAGTTATCAATTTCGGCTATCGATTTTCATTTGAAACTTTTACATAAACATTTATGTTGTTGTTGTGCATGTATCTGAGTAACCAACCTATTGATCTTAGTCAACCAGCTACAAATAATGTTCTCTCATGTAGAACTGTTCACAAAGCGAATATAATTGAAACTAGATCATGTGAAATAAAACGACAATATGTTCATTCATGTATAATTTATTTCCATTTGCGACTGGGTATTATTGAACGAATCTCACTTAAAATGTTACAATTATTTGACCTAAGTCCGCACACTGTTTCACTAATACGGACACACCAAAGGTTCGCATTACGGACTAGTGAATAAATGGAGTGACCAAAACGAGAACTGTGTCGAGGCACTCACAACATTCCAACTGAAATCTTTGCTAAACGAATCGTCGCGGTCTCATAAAGACGCACGAATCACTTCATTCATTCACTACTCCGTGTTTCGCAGACACACAAGACGGCGCGGACGTATCTTACAGAAACACTATAAAAAAAGAAAAACAAGGGATGTTTCTACATATAACTACTTAGGTCCCTTACTTTGACACATTGTTTACATAAAATAAAGGCACACTTTAAGTGATTACTGGGTTACTGTGATATCATAAGACGAGTTCTTAAACTCACTATAAGTCCGCACCACCGTACATTTATACTACTCAGTAAATATTGTAATAAAGGCATAAATAGTGGAAGTCTATGGAAACAGTACATAAACACCGCACACACACCTGTCGACTGACTGAAGAGGTACCTAGATTGACACGCTTAGCTTAACTAATATCTTGATGGAGCTAATTTGTGCTTACACTGTGTCTGTAGTAGGAAACAGTATAATACTCACACAAACTTATAGCCTTTAATATATCACATAAAGTTTAGGTACACATAAATATATTACACGCTCGCGTCCGCTACCTGGGGCCACTGCTTATCGTAGAGAGAAGCCGCTCTTTGTAAAAAATAAATAAATTCAGTAATTAAATTAATTTTAAATTAATATTTATTTTAAATTCTTTCAGTGTAGAGGGCGGCCACCATTTGATTTGAGATTTAATTAAGTTCCATTTGAGTGGCTTGTTCGTTTTACGCAACTGGAAAATAAAATCATACATAAAATACATTCATACGACAGAATTTCATTTAATTAACAATTATAAAACAATTTAGCAATTATACGAACGACATACGACATTGATGAATAAAACAGATTACCTAGTTTTTTGAAGTTGGTTAAAAATACAACCAACAGGAAAACTGACTCATTGGGAATAAAACTAACAGAAAGAACAATCAAATCTCTTCGGTAGAAATCATCTCCATGAAATCGACAAACTAAAGTAAAAAAATTATAAAATGGATGGACTAATTAATCATTTAAATGCAAAAATTTACAAATATGTTGATAAAACCACACCTGCGTACTACATACAACAAAACAAACAAGCCACACAGTCAATTAAATAAAAAATAAATTAAACTAATACATTAAGTTACCTCACGCGGTGATTATAACTCGGAATGTTCGTCTTGGCCGTCAGACAGTTGCAGCGGTGGTTCTGTGGTCTCGCTCTCACCCTTCTCAGTTGCTGGAGCCTCTTCCTGAGTCTCTCCTGCTTTCTCTACTTTCTCTACCTTCTCCTCTCCAGCCTCAGACTCAGCATTCTGATCAATAACAGTCTCTTCAGTTTTATTTTCAGATTCCTTCTTAACTGGTTTCTTAGGTCGCCATATCTTCATCTTATTCAATAAGTACTTCATCTCTCTATCTAAGCTCGCCATTTTTTCCCTGATGCTGTCCACAGTCAATTTGATGTCCTCATTCTTTTTAAGAGCCTTTTGTTCCTTAATAGAAGTGCTGAGCCACGACGAGGTCTCATCTATCTTCTTCTCTAATAAATTAATTTCGACGTCAGTGAATACGTCTTTCTCTGGGTTAGCGTCTTTGGTAAAGTTCTTTGCCATTTTAAGGAATTCCCGAGAGCTGTTCAACATGCTACGGAGGGCCGAAATAGCGTCGGGCCTCTCTCTGTGCTCCCAATGCTTGTAGAAGATTGGGCTGGTCTTGTCTTTCAGAGTAGCCAACTTGGCTTCAAACATTTCCGTGGCCGCATCATAGCCATCCTCGTACAACCATTCAGAGGTTTCACTGCACAGTTTCTTAATTTCTTCAATCTGTTCTGAAGTTCCACATTCAGAGTACTCATCCATGTCCATTTTCATTTGAGCGTCTACCACGAACGCCTCCAGATTGTTGAGCGCAGTTTCTCTTTCGATACGTTTCTTGTCGATCGTGTTTAGCTCAGTAATCTTAGCCTTGGAGGACTTGAACTGTTCAGGGGACAGTGGTTGCAGGTTGAGAAGTGTTTCTTCAGACTTGATGGGTTCCTTGAGTATGACGAGTTTAGGTTTGGGCTTAGTTTCGGGTTCAGTAGCGTTCTGCTTCTCACCCTCTGTTTGGTTTGCTTTCTTTGCATCTTCTTCTTTCTTTTCTTTGCTAGCCTCTTCTTCTTGTGATTTCTCCTCAGGTTTTTCTTCAACCTTCTCGGGGGTTTCGGCATCGGATCCGAATAGCTTGCTGATGGTGCTTCCTAATTTAGATAATGTGCTGTCTTGGTCTTCTTCCTCGGCTACGGTCTTTTCAGCGACAAATTCGACATTGACGAGGTTGAGTATGCCAGAGTCGTCCAAGTTGAAATGTGCTTTGATTCCCTTGTGTTCAACATTTTCACCGGTATGTTTAGCTAGAGCGGCACCAACACCGTTAAGTACAACCTGGCTGAGGTTCAAGCCACCGACGTATTGCAGCTCGTTGGAAGGAATGTGGTCTAACTCAGCGTAGTTGACGTGGAAGTCGAAATCATCTGTGTGTTTATTGAAAGTGATTACCTTCTTTTGTGGGTAGGGATTCATGGGGCCGAACAACGTCCTCTTGATCTGAAGCAAAAGAAAAAAGAAAATCAATGACACATAAATGACATTTACAAGCAAGTATTTCAACCAATTAACCAGCAATTAAATAAATATTGATATACATATTACCGTATCCTGAAACCAAAACAAGTGAAATTACTTTTTTGTACGAAGTCACAGAAAAATAAGTGCTTGTAATAGATAACTCACCAGTTTGTCGTTACCATCGACGTGTCTAGTGAATGTTACTTGGATGGGGAACAGAACCGCGTCACGCACGTTCAGAGGCGCTACCTTGTAACCGGTGGCAAGAGAGGCCGCCCTGTAAACAAACAAAACAGCTCTTGTTACATAATTATTTGTTTATAACTGTATCTTGACTATAATGCAAGAGAGAGAATGAATTTATATAATAACTACCGTGAGACATACTGAATTATCTAAAAAAATATGAGTTACTACTAGTTCTGAATCACAGCTCATAATTAAACTCATATTTTTTGTTAATAAACTGAAATTAAATACTCAAAATTTTTTTTGATATCATTTGAAACATAATATTAAATCAATTAATAGAAGCATACATTAATTTGAACAGTTTTACGGATCGAAAAGTCAAAACAACGCATTCTTTCTTTTTTACACCTAGTTTCATCTGCAAACGTTCAAGTTACCTGTAGACAGCACCCATGGTAGCAGCTTCATCAGCGTTAATAGACCTGGCGGGGTCATGTCCTACAGCATCAGTGAGTGCTTTGAGTGCAGCGGGTACCCTAGACCCACCACCCGCGAGTACGAGGCGAGCGCCTGCGCCAGCCCCGCCCGCCGCCGCTATAGCGCGCTGTACTACTCCCGACACACGCTCCCATAAATCTGAGCATAGCTCTTCGAATTCCGCTCTGGTTACCTGCGAAACACAATCACCATTAACCATGTGGTTACAGCAAAATAGAATTTGTGACCACCCCTATCTCGAGGGTGTTTTAAACTGCGGTCCAACGCTGCTGGCAACGCAACCCTCTTAAATGAATTTATTGGTAGAATGTACAAGGACAACTTACTAGTGTTTTAATATCACCTTATTGTAAATACCTGCATTCTGAGCAAATAAATAATTATTCTACTCTACTCTATTCTATTCTATTCTTATATACATATAGGAAGCCCGTAGTTCAGCAGTGAATAAAAATGTAAAAAAAATAAATAAAAAAATGTTACTGGGATAAGCAAGAATAGAAAATGGTCAGCTGCTTTACTGCCTAGTTATTTCAATGTACAATGTCACAGTAAGATTTCCGACTGAAATTCTCTTGTAACAAATATGTTAGACACGCCTATACACCATTAAATAACATCAATAATCCGTAACTATCGTTAAAACAACTGTGTGAAACATATTCATTTATCACACAAAATAAATCAATGAATCAAAATGAAGGACATTTTTTATTCAAATACACTGAGCAATCACTCATTCCCGGATTACATTAATTTATATTCACTATTGTAAGTTAATATAAGCTTTTAAGGATCAACTTAAATCAGTATGCAAGTTAAGTTTGATCGAAAAACATACATGCACCGAATTCATTCGAATGGAAAATTTTAATGTGAACTTTTTTATATTTTTAGATTTTTTTGATGTTGTTTAGAATGAACTTGGTACATACAAAAACTTATACTTATTGTTTTTATACAAAAATCCTTCTTTAAGCAATTTTCAGTACACATTTTCATATTATTTGAAAAACATTAACGACAAAAAAATGTTTACTGTTGTTACCTATAACATTCCTTAGTTTTCAAGACCGAGAAAGGAGTCGAACCATGATGACTTCATGTACTTCGTTTTAATATATTCACAACCTAACACTATGCAATGTGGAACAGGATTTAACCATTTCATTGTCGGCATGCACAGCGTCGGTATACGCTAATAGAATATTTAATAATAAGGGTCATTTAATTCAAAGGAGGACAACCCTTCTAAAGAATAGCATAACATATAATTAGAAAAAAAATATTTAACAAAAATTTCCCAAGCTATAATGTAATTCTACTAGCATGATTGATTCACTAGGTAAAAGATTGCATTAAAAAAACATGTAACAGCCCGTTCGCATTATTGTTACGCTGGTAGATTATTCGAAGGTAAATAAAAACTACTTTTTATTGCATTAATTTTACATTTCGGGGAGGCACAATGTTATTCCTAAATGTTAATACATTATGCAATTATGCATGTCTAAGCAAAAAGTAAGCATAGCATTACTATAAAATGTGTGTGGCTGCATAAGTTGCATTTTGGACCACACGGATAACAGACACATTAAATTGTACAGATATAAAAAAAATGGTTACTTAAAAAAATGTTAAGATTGTGTATGACACAATCATAATTTGAGGAGAAGAAATTGTTGAGAAAAATAAACAAATTAGTTTTCCTTTTACACTATGATTTTGTCAAAGAACATATCTGTTCTAACAACGAAAGCCATAAGGTCGAAAATGACTAAGCAAGAAGTATTATCAAGAACAAACCAATAACTCACCAGTTGTTTGAAGTCCTTATCATCAAGCAAGCTCTCAATCTGTGCGTAGAACTCGGTGTTGGCTGAGAGAATGATCTTAAGTCGCTCTGCTTCTAAGAGCAGTTTCTCCATAGCACGAGGGGACTTCCTTACATCGCCACCTCCATTCGCTTCCCAAGCCTTGATGAGGTGCTCACGGAGACGTAGGGTCATTTCATGACCCCCCAAAGTTCTGATGAAAATTCGTTTAAACTTGAAATGTAGAATTAGATGCTATGTGATAATGTCAAAGGTATGTATGTACATTTGTTTTTTATATGATTATCATCAAGAAACAACATAAAGTAGCAATATCAGATAACTTCTTGCCTTAGTATATTCATTATCATACTTATAAGAATATTGTAGGTTTGAGTTTATTTTACGAACTTAAAAACACTTATAATTACAGTGTTTTTCATATCCAACAGATACACAAAATATGTAGGACTCCATTTCGTATGGTAATCTTTTTTGTATGGTAACCAGGGGTAATAATAATATGTATATTAACCTATGGTATTCCTCGGAACACAGATCTATGTGGACTCATAGTCAAGAGGTTAATGACATCATAGACGTTGCTGGTAACATAAGCATAAAACCTTGAATAGGCTTAAGTTAAGGTCAATAACCTCAATAAACATTAAATAACAATTTCTACTAATCACACTTCTCGAATCTCATTCAAGCATGAAGGAATATTCTTATCACAATAATGTAAATTAGAATAAAATTACTATTCAAAATACACTGCTATTACCTGTCAAATCCGACGCCCAGTACTTGTAGCTGAGGCACAGTCTCAACATAGCCCTTCTCCTTTATCTTGACAGTCTTGTACTCGACGAGTGCTGCCTTCGTGGAGGCTGCACCCATGTCGAAGAACAGAGCGTGCCATGCAGTCTCGTTGATTTCCTGACCAAATACATATTTTAATTTAGTATTGTAGTAATACATTATGTATGTTTAGTAAGATTCGGTTGGATGACAAAGTCTGCTGTTTTCTTGATCAAGTTATTGTAGAGTATAAATAAAATATTCTCAATATTGTATCAATCTATCTGTTACCACACATTTCATTAGCTAATTTGATCTAACCACCATTCTCCACTCCCCAAGCACTTTATCAATAAGTCTATATCAGATATAACAGCCTAAGTACTCATTAATCATATCAAAAATAGACTGGCAATTCAATAAATTACCCAACATGCCAGCCATCTGTAGATTTACATATTAAAAGAGAAATTTAAACCATTTTGTATAGAGCTTATATAAATTTGTATAAATTGAAGTATGACATGTGACATTGTTATTTCTCACCTTCCTCCTAAATATGCCGTAGTTGATAGCGATAGCTGTGTAATCATTGATAAGTTGCAGCACGTTGAGACCGGCGAGTGCGGCGGCGTCCTTCAATGCGCGACGTTCAGCCTGGTTGAAGTAACCAGGTACTGTGATTACACACTCTGTGATTGGTTGACCTGGAAATTGCCCATACATTTATTAATTACGTTTTGTTGATAACCTGGTTATTACAGGCGAATAACTGCTAAGTGAAAGACAGTAACAAGGTATATTTTTTAATAGCACATACTTAATTAAATTAGTATAAATGCTGTACTAGACCTTTTTAAATATTCAAATTATATTCACAAGTGCTCAAATTACATGAAATCATAAAACAAGTTTTCAATTATTCATAGTTTCTGACTTTGATTACCAGATAAAACAAATATTAAGTGGAATAAAATTTTCCAGCCACAACATTAAACACCTAACTTTGAAGAACATCATTATGAACAGAGAATAAGTATGAAATACACTCCGTATTCTAAATCTAAATCTTTTAGTCACAAAAGCCAGAATACATTATTAGTAAAATACATTTTTTCTAATTCTTTGTGGCACAAAAGCAGGACTGTTGTACCTAAAAAAATAAATAATCTTACCATGACTGATTTCAGCAAAATCTTTAGCCTTGGCCAGGAGCTGTGCTACCAGCTCCTCCGGAGTGAACTTTGTCTTGTCATCATGAATAAACAGAGGTGTACCTCTGTCTGATGCAACCATCTCATAGTATGGGTAGCGCTCTCTGCAATACAAAATTATATGTTTATAGAATTTGTTACATTATTGTTTAAAACATATGTTCACTATTTTTAAATCATCTATCAAAGATGGGTGAGCCATTTTACTGTATTTTGCAATGCATATAGTTGAAAAATAAAGTGTAATAGCTTATAACAAACATACACTTTGTAATCAACAGTTGTTCATGTCACAAGTGATGTTTATGTATAAAATCACTTAAAGTACTGTTACCGTTTACACATGCTAATTTCAAGCACGAAAACATGCTCTAATTGAGCACTGGTCACTTAGTAACATGTGTGTCTGAATTTTGCTCAAAATTAACACAGGTATTTAATTTTTTTTATTTTGAATTTAACATACTATTTTATAGCATCTGGAACAGTACCTTTAGATCAGAATATTGCTGACTGTGGACTGATGTTTTTACGTAAACTAATATAGGAAGAAAGAAATAGTAAAGAAAAAGTCACCATTTAATTAACATTATGGTGTACATTTTCACAGACCACAGAACATGAAAGTAATTGAAAAGATTAATGTTGATATCACCATAATTAAAAGATAACCATAATTATTGATTACAATATGGACCAGAACAATACGGAAAAAAGTGAAAATTGTGATTCTTGAAAGAAAAGAATATTATTGAATATTGGATATTAAGTTAATTGGTTTTATTTCAATTCTTATTAGTATTACCTATTATCAAATTAAATATCCATAAAATTAATGATGCAATGACATTAATTAACATTATCAACTATAGTATTTCCACATACAGGAGTATCATGGTAAAATAAAAGATATAGATAACTGTAGATATACAAAATGGTTTGGTTTAAATTCATTGTCAAATTAGAAAGTGACAAAGAAAGGCATGATCAAGTAACATGAGCAGTCCAATGTTACTTCAGAGATTCAGTTACAAAAAGACAGTTACCTATTAGTAGTTTCTTTGAAATGTAGAGTGCACACATGTCACTGACCTGTAAGCTTGCACCATTGGATGGTCAAAAGGCTTTCCAAGTAGATCCAGCAGATACTTATAAGAATTCTTCGGGAATCTCACGCCGACAGTGACGGCGTCTTCACCAAAAGTCCTCACATCATCCCTAAATGCCACAACAGCTGGTGTCTTCCTCTTTGACTCCTTATTTAACACAATCTCCATCGGAACTCCAGGAGACACAATACCGACCTTCATCCATTCTGAACCCAAATCAATGGATATTACAGCCGCGGCTTCCGTTTCTTGACTTAAAAGTAATGGTATCAGAAACACACTCAACACCCCAAACATTTTCTGTAAAGTAAGAGAGAAACAATAAGATTTATCTCGAAACTACCAAAAACACATACACGATTCCGGAAAATAGGTTGATGCGCCAAACAAGCGATTTATGAGAAAGTATGCACTTACTATGTTTAAAATCATTTTCTTTCAACAAGCTAACATCTAGAATATTTATTTTATAGTATCACTACGCTTATAACAGTGTGGAATAATTAAAATCTTATAAATTTAACTTCACTACAGTGAGCCAGCTACTTTAGTCCACGTCAAGTTTAACGTGTTTTCTTCTTTTTGGTTAATGTCATTGTTGCCAGGTGGTTTAGCCACGTTACAGAAAGCTTTTCGTGAAGAATTATTTTTTTACTCTTATTTTCTTTATTTAGGTATCCAAACTGAAACGGTTATTGTAAGAAATGTTGTCTTACATTTAAATTAAGTTACAATCACGTTATAATCCGAAATTGGAACAACATTTTTCAGTAATATCAAATCGATTTATTCGTACAAATTAATCGCCTAAATGAACTTAGTAACTTTCCCGGAAACTCCACTCTATCATTTTCGGAAACGGAAAACAAACCATAGAGCTAAACAAATCATATGTTTATTTATGTAGGTTGTTCTTTAATCTATGGTTTGATTGGGTGTTGAGGAAGGTGTTTGTTGAGTGTTGATCACAAGTACGGAGGTCGCGGAATGCTGTTTATTTATTGTTATTAATTTATAATTAGTGCGTCTAACAAACAATACAACATCAAGGTGAGTGTATAATACTGAAATCGATCATTTTTTACAATTTTCATCTCAAAATCAAGCTATCACTAAGTTTGCTGTGATGAATACATCTGTTTTTAAGCTGTAATTTATTACGCATTTTGGATTTTGTACCCTGAATAACGCAATATTAGGGTACAGCGATGCGCACATGAGGTTTGCAGCGTGGGGGATAAAAGTATCGTTTACATGCGGTTCTAAAAATGTGACTAGACGCATGAATAACGTCGGGACGCATTGGTTGGTGGCGCTCCTTCTAAATATGGAACGGGTGTTAGTCAACGTTTGTGTTGTCCTCGGCTTCGTGTCTGTGGCAGTCCCTGCGATTATGTAAGAGCCCTTGGAGGTTCGCGTCGGCACGTGCATACCAAGCTGCACGCGGCGGTTCCACGTCGGAAGCACGACGTAGGACGCACGGGCACGACGCAATCGCGCACGCGGTCGCCGCGCTGGCCGGACACCAGTTTCCTAGCAACACGTTGTTGATGCCACTGCTGACCCAATGAATACAATAACACATGGTAACTAGCTGTTACATCACACCTCAATTGCATCGCGACCATAATTTCGCTGCTTACGTTGCTAGGGTGTCTATTAGCCATAACATAAATTCGATGCTAATTGTAGGGGTGCTAGTTTGACTGCTGTAACTTTTGAAATTTTCAAGTAAGTATCTTATTAGAATTTCGCCATTTATTTTTTTAAATATAGTTATGACCTTGGTGTATGATTTACTATTGTTTTCAATCAGTATAACTGGCAACAAACCCAGTGGTGCATAATATCTAGAACCTGCTGTTACAGGCTATAAATAGATTGTAGACCTTTGCATGACCTAGATTTCAGTTCTCACTTCCTGTAGGATTTCTAAATTTAAGTGTCACCCAGAGACAGTGTTCTACTTTTATTTAAGTATGTAGCTACATTTTTAGCTATCCCAATTTACTTTTAAAGAGTGTCTTAACATATTTGGAGAATATCTGGCTAACAACAAATATGTTGAAATATCCACCTGTCCAAAAATAATTAGAAAAGCACATGTTCTAATTGGACTAGAAAGGGCAAAGACCTTTAAACTAATATTAGAAAAATAAAAGACTGAACATTACTCAAATCACACATGTGTGGAATGTGATGCCAAACTGTTATAAATTGTATACAATTTAAATATTGTAAGCTGTTTCAAGGCTACATAATCTTTACCCAAATGATAAAGTATTATGTGCGGCAAGTTAAGATAGCATACCTTGGAGACACTACTGTTATCTAAATTTTACACAATCAATACAACACAACCAGCCATCTTCTAAACCAACAAAAATGATACATCTTTTAGGAAAATGTACAACTAATTTATTACAACGGTTTGTTTTCAAAAAATGATATATTTTTTGTGTAATATTAATTAGAATGGGCTCTTATTCTTAGTAAGAATGGTCTACATTAATTATTTAACTAAACAAACATTATTTTCTTCAATAAAACAATAACAATTCCAGTGCATATTTCAGCCTTTATTTTTGCAATGTAGGTACTTTTACTAAGACACATTCTTCATGATATCAAACTCAAAACAAATAACAACATTGAGTAATGATGTCATTATTTCCTGATTGGATGGACTCACACTATGTGAAGTGCCTTGTGAGATTGAGGTACTTGTTTGTTTACAATACTTTACAGCAAGATTGGTTAATGAACTGAATGATTAAATTACTATAAAAGTAAAAACTACTTGGTAACAAAAATCAATAAGTGTACTAAATAACAAATTATTCTAGAATATTCTAACTTTCTTGATGTTGCCCCATAGTGAAAACTAAACGTAAAAATAAATTATACACTGCTAATAGATCTTGATACTTGTCAATTTATTTTCGTGTCTTAGCTTGACTGACCTATTTGTTAATTATCTATATTTAAATCGCAGTCGTACCTTTGTTTTTTTCCTGCTGAACGCTATTCAGTTGTGTTATTGCAAAATTGGTTTTTCTGAAACATTATAAGTGTTTACTTTTCCCGTATCATTACAAAACGAATACTTTCCTGTTTAATTTATTCAAACTGTGATGAATAGCAGCGTCGTCCACGTGCCGGATTAATTCTCATCAACAAGATTGTTGACATCCTTGTTGCACATAAAGATAACGTTTCTAAGCTCTTCTTCAAACGCTAGTTGCGAGAACTTATAATTTAGTGTCATTGGCGGATTGGTTTTGCGTGATTATCGGCTAGGCTACTGTTGTGCCTTGTCCGCAATAGGGCATTGTAAATAAATCTCTCGTTAGATAATCACTCTTGTGTGTCAGTCCGCGACTCAGTTCAATTCGCCGATGACACCGGGACGCCACGACACGACGCAACCACGCGATTACATTTAGCTGTTTGTTACTATGCCAAGGTCACTCGATATTATGTGATTGTGTGGCTACTTGACGCGATAAATTAGAGATAAAAATAATTGTATTTTCTTTTTCGTATTCAGAAGGAATTCTGCATTCTTATTACGTCAAACTCGTTATGTTACACAATACGCTATTAATGTTTACAGTTCAGCTAAATATTTATTTCTGGTGTCGCCGAACATCGGTTCAACGCCTTGCTATCCGATGAACTCGCATTAAACGCTCCAATCGAGTAAGAAACCAAGACGAATGACAAAGATATGTGATAACACTTTACAAAGTAGCGCAGGTCGGGGTTTACGCTAATTCCGAGTATGTTTGAAAGTCTGCTTTAAAATTCCAAACAGAAATAAAGATAGTCTGAATAAGGAATGTAGCGTCGCTCGGCTAAAACCTGCGTCGCTGTGAGGTACTCAGCGTGCACGTAAACATGCTCGGAACTCTATTATGTCACTTTACTTAGAATTTTCCTTGAACGTAGTTTGTTTGCGTGAGCTCGCCTACTGTGCTAGTTCTACCACGAGTTTTCTTGAAAAACTATTTAAAAGAAAGAAATCATCGTCATGTTTTAATAAAAATTAGGCGATTACACATTGCCACTTTCTATTTGGAGCATTTGTGATTACTTATCGTGTTGTTCGACGCTAACAATAAGATTTGAGTACATACATTGAGGCAGTCTGATGCGGTTACCGAGAAATGTAAATCCTAGTATTTAACACCAACACAATTTGCACTTAACAACGTAACTTTTACGTCATCTACAGATCAGTGTTGATCGTTAACGAGGTGTAAACGCGGATGCCCTTTACGCAATACTAGTTTGGTACCTGCGTCCGTCACATGATTTCTTGGTATTTTAAAAGACCTCGTTACGTTGTTGCGTTTCATGAAAATTTAACAGCAACAGAATATTTTACTTTAACAATGGTATCGCCGGACGGCTATTTTAAACAGCTTTTCAACGTTGTATTTCCAACAATAATAATTGAAATCAGTATTGATCCTTAATAGCAATTATAAGCTGAATTACAATATCAACCTACATCTTCTGGTCGTTTTTCTGTAAGCAATATCGTGCGGGCAAACACAAACCTCAAAAATTGCGTTTTTGTTTTTTGTGGTGTGTCGAAATAAGTCTTGATATTGTATTTCTTAACTAAATGTAGTAATAATTAAATTTATTTTACTAGATGGCGCCAATGCGCGGCGAGCGGGGCGGTTCTCCAGCACGAGGCGCACGCGCATCTCTACCGCTTCCGCGCCGTTTGATTCGCCAGATCGCGCGGCATGTAGCCTCCAGTGGCCGTTCGTTACGACGCCTAGAGGTGTCGGGCAGGGTCATTGACAATTTCGATGACATTGAGGATGCATCCGACGAATCTGATATGGAACAACCACAACCTGCGTAAGTTTCATGACACTCTAATAAGAATATTATAATTTTTTTAATGTAAAAATAGTTATTGGTTTTGTATCTATTTATTTTTATTGTGTTTTTTCAACGTCCTTGTTGTTATGTAACAAGTTGATCATCATCTACTTACGTACGCTTTAACAAAAAGCTGGAGTAGTTTATGGTTTGATAAGCTGTCTAGATAACAGGTATACTACTGAATGAGATTATAAATAGAATAAGCTAGTATTGAATAGCCTTTTTTGCCAGTGCTAAAGATAAAGAAAACTCCAAAGTAATTAACTGCATAAATCTGAAATAGTCGACTAAAAAATCATCCGGTACCTTTCTCCACTATTCACATTAAAAACTCAACTTTTACAGAGAACGCATTTCATTAATAAATGGACGATAATATTTTCAAGGCGCACTACCTAGATCAAACGGCATATTGACTGTCTATTGACCTCATATAGGTACGATATACAAGGAAATAGACACGGCGCCTCGCCTGTCCAGCCATTTATTGATAAAGTCGAGTAATCAATAAATGTTCAGATGTGACAGATCTATGCTAACGTCTATAGTTAGAAGGCCTTCAGATTACTTATCTTGGAAAAGGTGACTTAGTAACGAAGCGAAGGAGAATTTTCAAAGTGACTTTAATATTCTAGTTTACATAAAGAATTGTGCTTCCTCTTTAATGAAATATTAATATAATATTGCACGTTTGTCCACGAACTAGCCTTCTTGAACGGATGGTAGTATTTGCATAAAGGAAGCTTGTGTCACACAAGGGACATGCGTCTGCCATCCGATTTGGTACTTCCCCATCCAATTAATATGAATAACGCACTGCTGTTGGTAAACAACTTATTTATTAATCATGGCATTCAAAGAAATTGTAACTTTACTGCGACTAATTAGAACTTTTGTAACATTTAAATTAGATTTTAAAAGTTTGCAATAGTAATAACATTCCTTCTTCAATAAATGTGCGTTAAATGCCACACATATCAAGCTTTTGATAATAAAATAATGAGACGCGGCAGGACAAAATAAACAAAGTTCCTGCCATGAATAATTTATTTCGTAAAGGTTAATGTATGGTGACACGTGACCGAGTCATCACGTCGGAATCACACATGTGATGTAATAATACACTAACAAATTTTGATGAACACTTCATTTTCCATCAAACAATAATAATATGTTGTTGTGACCCCATTCAGATTTCTTTAATGTCTTATGTTTTATTTTTTCATACTTCCGTTGCCCTGTAATACGAGATTTTCTATTTGCTTTGATGTTTAACCGAACAGTTGTCCATTTGTCATTTGCCATGAAATGTAAATTAATCATCAACGATGAATAAACGAAAAAATGTAAGTGACTTGTAGTAGTAATGTGGGCTTTTACTTTTCTATCATACAAGTATCAATAAATTTCTGCAATGTACCTTCTTCGGCTAAGATGATAAACTACAGTAACAGTCATCTCTTAACTAAAAAGCATGTTAAAACAACCAAAAAATCCTTCAAATCATGCCAAAATTCAGAACAGATTATTGTTACTATCTAGTATCAAAACGTTCTGGTCATCAATCACACAAAAGTCAGTGTGAAAAATCCAGATAATAAATGTTGACATTATGTTGTTATCTTTTCGCTAGGTTAGTAGGTAAGACAAGCGCTAAAGATAAAAAGGGAATTGTTGCCGAGATTGATAAAGGACTGATTATACCATCGGATTACTACAACTGCACTCGTCTTTACCGTTAACAAGCAACCATTCACACACATAATTATTTTTTATTTATTCAAGTGGTAATTACTAAAGTAATAACACAATGACGGCTGTATTACCACAACGAATTATCCACTTACTAACCTCCCCCTTTTGTAATAAATATAATCGTCCTAACCTTACTCATATCCATTTTTTTTTTTTTTTTTTTTTTTTTTTTTTTTTTTTTTTTTTTTTTTAAGGGGGGAAAATCATCGAATGACTGCTCCCGCCTGGGTGAGGCGGAAGGGAGTGTCAGACTCTTACTGACTAAAAACCACCCCGTTCCTTCTCCTGCACGTCGAGCCGGAGCCCCGGTTACCCGTTAGGTTCTCCGCGACTCCGAATCGGCATCGGCCCTATTGGGCCCCATCTGTGGTGGTCTGATGGCTCTTTGAGGCGCGCGTACCACAGCTATGGGAATAAGAAGGGTACACGGTGCACCGGAAAGACCTTGTGTAATTGTATTTAAGGACTAATTTACTTTGAAAATGTGCTAACTGACGATATTGAAAAATGCCTGTTAATCAAAAACATGATATAAACTTGATAGAAGCATTTAAATGAAACGTTACATTCGTTTTATAGCACTTTCAGTGCACACCGGAATAACCTAGACACAGATATATTTGGAAATCGATCTAGACTTGAGGTTCAGATATTTTGGGAACATTTCTAGACAGACATATAAATGCAGTGCTGTAATGGAATGTCCAAATCGGAATGGACGTCGACTTGACTTTTAACCTTTATTTAATAACTATAACTTATTTTCGGTTACCTAGTAAAAGGTTCGGTAAAAGGTGAAAACTCTTATGAAAGTTTCTAGGTGATATAATAATATTGCAGATTCTGAATGATCTTGAACACCCACACACAAAACACCTTGGGATCTTACCCTTTAGACACAAATAATAACAAATTACCTACAGTGTTATTAATTAGGAAACATAGTAAATTTATTAAAAAATGTGGATGAGTATGAAGACTAAATGTCTACAAACAGTATTGCGTATTCCACTATTCCCTAATCCCCTCAACTTCAAGGTTACGACTCTACGATTATGTTCTCCTTCATCAGGGTGGCTTGCGGAGGCAACGCCGGCAACCTGCCGCCCGCTGACCACGACGACGACCTCACCAGTTTGAGCTGGCTGCAAGACAGGAATTTACTTAGAGGTAGCTTCACAACACGGCTTCATTTCATTGAAAAATGATATCCAAATCCTTGTAAAGGAATCTCAACATAATAGCAAATGTATAAGGTTGAAAATCCATGATAGAAATTGCACGGTTTTGGGGTAGCTTGATGTGCGTCTTCGAAAGCTTATGACGCAGGTGCTGGGCGGAGACGTGACGTAATATGACGCTCTGTATCTTTATAACTATATCATACACTACTTACATAGCGTCTACGTCTGATACTAGTGTTTACTGAAAATGTCTATATTAGACATTCACATACCTACTTTATTGCTAAGCTAGGAAGGCTATGAAGGCTATTTTATAAATTGGATCAGAGTTCATGAATTTTGCTACAACTATTTTACACGGACGTCGATGTAGCACTAGTAATTTTATTCACGTGAAAGTTCAACATTGTTTTATTCCAATTCGCTAGCAGTTTTATAACTATGCAACTTAACGCTCCAATTGCAAATTGCATTTACTGCTTAATATAATATATTGTAGAATAGAATTATAATATGAAAATGAAGACATTAGTTCTGCGACGCGGCTAGCAACGCGAAGAACCGTCGCAAAATAGAATTCTGTTATCACAGAACATTACAAAAGACTTTTTTTACGTATTAATTTAAAACAGTAAAGGTTATTGTGAAGACTACGTACTTAAATTACGTTGAACTGAACAAAAACTTGTTTTGTTCCAGGAATCAATCTTACAAAAAACGGAGTCGACATAGAGGACACGAAAATGGTCGATAACCAAATTATAGTGAAGGTGAGTTTGTAAATGTATTCTTGTTATTTAAACTTAAATTTATTTGACAGATAAATTGTTTTAAAATGCCTATTTATTGTTACTAAGAGCAATTACGGTTATGTAAATTCGAACACGTGGAAACGTTAAAAGAAATCGTTGTAAAAACTTCGTAGAGGGCGCTTTTGTCGATTTGTGCTTGTGTTTAAAATTCAATGAAAATTAGACTAAAATTCTCGGCTTGTTGTATAAAGTTCTTTAGATGATATCAGTAGATAATGTCAACTTGTATGGATATTGCTGAACAATATTACAACACGGTGTAAGCATAGTAGTTCAGAAACAGGTTGGTAAATTTGCTGAGATAAGGTAAAAAGGATGCTTTACTTGACACAGATGATAGCATATTTTTTAAGTTCACTTTTTATTCTTAGGTGATTTTCCCAGTGTGTTCGGTGTATTTATAATTAAGATTGCAAATAGTCAACTATTTCTAAAATATCTTCAGCTTGAAATTAGTTTCAATTGAAATTAGGTATACGGAACTCTTATTAAGCAACTCCAACGCGTAATGCCGAGTTTTAAACAGTTATGAGTCGTTGTAAATCTCATATTGCGTAGGACTTGAAAAGACGATAATGTGATGTACACGAAGTCACAAATATTTTGAGGTTGAATTTTTCTACGCAATAAATGTGTTACACAATTTTCATAGATAAGAAAAAGCAAAAAATTGATGCAGAGTAACTATGTATTATTCCCAGCTTTTTAAATAGATAATCTGTGGTAGCTTTCCGGTCGTTAAAGAGCAATGTCTGAGTCTATGCCCACACACTTGAATTATGATGAATTGTCCAAGTAAATGACTTGTTAATTACATGTTGAGGTCTTAATTTGGTCATGATATGCGTCGTATTAAAGGGTTTTTAGTCCAGTGGTAAAACATTATCTAACTGTATTACTAAAACCTCAAAAGAAAAAAATCTACAATAATTCATCAAACTGGCTGAATAAAATTAGTACGAAACGATTGTCGTAGAAAGCGCAAAATTGAATAACAAATCCGTTATTTCCATTATGCAGGTCGATGTTGCAATACCATGGTTGTTACAAAAGTAAAAATACAGTAAATACGTTCAAGGTTTGTCAGCAAGACCGCTCCACCCATGTTTAAATGACGGCTATGGGTAATAGCATATAATCTCGTATGACACAAATGAAACCTATATTTTACTGTTTTGTCATACTATTATGGCCTCAAATGCAAGCCAAGTACACTTACAGTCAAAAGTGTTAAACTGTCTTTGAGACATCCTCTGAATTAACTAAAATCGCGAAACTAGTAGTGGTTTTCTTAGTATATTCACGTGAGTTACCCCGCGATTTTAGTTAAAATCCTCTGAAACTTATTTTTTATCATTTTAGAATCATCGAAGGAATAATTCTTATAGAGTTCTTAAATAATATCTTACGTTAACATCAGTACATTATCGGTCAGTATCCGTCATCTGTTGGATTTACGACCAAATACTCAAACGCTACTCAATTATAAGTCGTGCTTAAGTATAGTTCTATAAAACGACAGAGATGGCGCGATATTTCAGTACAACTTAAAAGCTGGGTACCCTTTCAGTACTTCGGCGATTGATCCCCAATAACTCACAGACTAATTAATAGCTTACATTGCAGCGTTGCAATTAACATTATTTACCTTTAATTAAGTCTTTGATAATCGATTATTTCTGATAGAACCGAAATTATATAAGCATTACGATAATAATAAAATGGAAAGGATTATTAGATTGTACAATAGATAAGTTTAATATAAACCGCAATATTTATAGTTCTTCACTTTTGTTGGTATCTGTGTATAGTCTGTCTTATTTGAAGTTTGTTAATTATAATTTGTAATTACTGTTTTTTGTATGTGTACAGTACATACTCAGATTATGCATAGGGCATAGATACACTAGGTACATGATCCTAGAGGTACCATTACCCATTCTCTAAGGAGCATATTAAAAGGTTTTCAAAAATCGAACGCCTGTCTGAATCGCAAGCATGCCCGAAATGAGCATTCTAATTTTGAGCAACATTCCGTCACACATGCTACTAAGTGACAAGTGCAATTGGGATGATGACAGGGCATGAAAATAAAAAATCTAATTAGTCCGTAAGTAAGATAATTAAATAATATTAGACACGTATTTTTTTATTTTGTCGTATAATAAAATAATACCTAAATAAAACGAATCAAAGTTTAGGAGTGGGGGCTAAAACGTCATTTCTACGTATAAAATGTAAATAGAAGTGACGTCACGCGACATTTCAAATCAATATATAGTCGAAAGTATTCGTTTCTTTAAGAAAATAAAAAATACGTGTCTAATGATTTAAAATAATCTACCAGACATACATTAAAATAAAAATTAGGCATCACTATTCAATTGAAGCATGCCTTCATGCTTGTAATTAGCATATGTGTCAATTAACCTTTAGTATTCTAACTGTTCTAAGGTGATTTTATGAATACTACCATCTCTGCACTACTCAAAGGTTTAATGCTGTCTGCATTAAGTCCATCTTTATGCATTATTATAATGCTATAAATAAATATGTAAATACTTATTAACGACTACCTCTTTTGCTGAGCAAAGCTCGCGTTCAGGTTCACGGGTAAACATAACATAAAATATTATCGATGTTTTTTTTACTTTTTTAGCATAGTCTGAAAGTTGTGTTGGAAAACTTTGTAAAGTACCAGCGATTAAATTGTGCACCTCTATGCGAATTTAAGCCGTAATATTACTAACGTAGTGTAATCTTTTGTGTCGGATAACGTGATATCATAACTATTAATGACACCTTACGCTATTAGTATTAGTAATACTTACGTACCGACGTTCAAGGTAATTTATACCTCTAAGTACTGCTCTATAGAATCTTCCACGGTTCAGTAGCCAAGGCACAGTTGCAACTTGTAAGGAAATTGTTCAGAAGTTCTCAAGAAGGAAAACTAATTTCAATATTATCTAGTGGATAGAGGAAAGTTTTAAAATTTTGATTAAGTACTTGTTTTGTAAAGCTTTGTTAGTTCAGTTCGAAGTGCATTCAAGTACTTAGAACCTAGACAAATAAAGAGCGTATACCTAGAGTCTATGTATTGCTCTGTATTTGGACAATTTTGATTTGATTTTAGATAAAATAAAAATCTGGAAATAGTTCTTTGTTCTTCAATGATATTAATATTTTGAATACCTTACACGCACATGTCGCCTAGAAAGGAACGTAACTTGGGTACTATTTTTCAAAAAAACCCTAATATAAATGAACCCTACAAAGCTTGCCTGGCACAGGAATAACCGTAACCAGTCTTTATCAACCAAGAACGTCGAAGTATCATTATTACTTAAGTACACACTACACTAAGCATCGCACCTACTCAATGAAGGCACTACAGAGGTTATAAAAATTCATCCAAGGAGTTTTATATACAGTTTTTTTTTATCTGTAGTACCTAAACGTCAGAGACGCGTAGTGAGGTTTAAACGTAAGCGCCACGTGTAACATAATGCGCAAAGATTGCGATAGTACGCAACTTTAGATAAGCTACTATCGCTTACCGTGTTCACATTGCTAACCTACTTACCTTCTGAAAAGGATCCTTTAAACTTTGCAGGATTACAACGTTAATCTCCACGGGTGTTTTAAAGGGAATAGGAATGTTTCCAATTTCTAAATGGGCTTTTAATTGCACATAGGAACCAAAACTGGAGGCATATACTTATAAGTTTACTTAGGGCCGATTTTACCAACGCCATCCAGGTAAATTTTAACTGGGGAATAACTTTGAATATTTGACAATTCTTCCGTATTAAAAACTGTAAAATTTTCTTCCACAGTTAACAATTAACTAATGTTTGAAAAAACCGGCCTTTAAGGTATTATTTAGTGTCAATCGGTGTATAAAGATAAATCATCTACAATTTAACTCCATTATGAAATAAGTAATTTGTAGTCGTAGCAGAATGCTCTAATGAAGTTTCTCATGATATATTCACATTCTAATCTTCGTATTCTTATTCAAATCTGTTTGTCTGTATGCGTATGGTGTTTTCATTTAAATTCCAAGTAAACATACGCCCTTTATGGGGTAAGGTACTACAAAATCTAGTCGCATAAATCTCTTTATAAATTTTTAGTACCTAAGTACTGCAAGCAGAGCATTACCTACATTAATTAGTTTGAAATCTACGAACTTATGTGTTTCTAGTGACTATGAAAGGATCGAAGCACTGAGAGTAAAATGTTTATATATTTTTCTCGCAAACAAACTATTCAATACGTAATGAAATGAACTTTAACATTTAAATAGGCCATGACCTATATTCCTGTAAATGCAACTGAACGCCAATGTAGCCTTTATTTATGTACAAGTAAGTAACATTTTACTGTAAACATTTCATTTTGTTAACCATTAGACCTGGGAATCTGGGATGTCCTAAAAATGAACTCGTATTGACGTAACTGCGTTCCAAACCCCGCTTAGCGTTACATCATCATCAACAGCCTTTATGTGGCCACTGCTGGCCAAAAACTTCTTCTCACACTGAGAAGGCTCAGCATTAGGCTTATACCAAACCTCTTTATTTAAGAGAGGATTTTTAGTTAAAATTTCTAAGATAAATAATGAGTACTTAATTGAATACTAACAACCTTGAATACTCTTGTTTTAGCTCATGACATACCTATAATTTTCATTGTATTAAAAAAGCTTCCAAAATAACAATACCGAGTTACATCTTAAGAGAGACTATACTTAACCGTAATCACGGAGACCCGTCGAGAGTTCGGAAGGACAGCCAGTAAATTACTTAATTTCATAACACAACAGCTACTAGCGAGATATGAAAAATGTAGGTCGACTGGTCGACTACAAATGAGCGCTTCCTCCGTACAATCGCGGCTCGCTTCAACCTGCACTTAGGTAAATAAAACAATGCGATTGTAAACACACGTGGTAACTAACGAATATGTATTGTGGTACTGTTGATCTCAGTACTGTCGAGTTTTAATAAATAACAATTAAATAAAAGGTTTTACATAATTATGTAACTGTTATTATTTTCTACTTATAACTGTCGCGTATGAGTCCCGGTCTTATTGGAAACTAGTAGAGCTTTTCCTCAATAGTGCACGTAAGCAGTAAGTCCCGATGTTACTTGGAACTAGTAGAACTTTGTTTTGTTTACAGCTAACTATGTTTTTCAATTAATTTAGCTCTCAATTATTATATAGAAAAATAGAATATGGATAATATACATAGAAGAACCTAACTTGATTATTAATATTATGCTAATTATGAGTGTGTATTTGTTACTCAATCATGTCATAACAGCTGAAGGTATCGGGATGGAATTAGGAACAGGTACTTTGTACAACACATAGCACAATAAAAATAAACATAGTTTACATTGGGTGATTGATTATGGTCGGGAATAACACATAGGCTACTACTTGTTATCACATAGGAACGCAGGTGAAACCGCTGAACGAAGCTAATCAATACATAAAAGCACAAAGACAGTGCGCGATAAATGTCGACGATAGTAGAATCAGTGTACGGGTACGATTCATAGAATCCTGGGTTTTCCATTTTAGTGTGTAAGAGCTATGCTTCGGCACGAATGGGCCGTTTCGACCTGAGTGATACCACGGCCTCACAGAAAAGCGATGTGAAGCAACGTTTGTGTTGTTTCGTCGTGTGAGTGAGGTTACCGGAGGCCCCTTACCCCTCCCCTTCCCCAATCTCTCCAATCCCTGAATCCCCAACAATCCTCAAACTCCTAATCTCCAAAAGGCCGGTAAGGCACTGGTAACGCCTCTGGTGTTCCAGGTGTCCATGGGTGACGCCGATTGCTTACCATCAGGTGATCCGTCTGCTCGTTTACCGGCTTATGCCATAAAAAAAGAAACTAACTGACGGAAAAACTGACTATGAAAAAAAATACACAAAGATTCATTCATTCTTGAAATTATCCTTCGAACTGTATGTCGATGACAGGTACTTGTATTCGCACTTATAAGGACGCTAAGCAATTAGGTATTCCTACTACAAATCGGTTGGTTATACCAATGAGTCAGCATGCCATGGATCAATGAATAAACGCTGGCACGAAGGAAGTAATAGATATTCTTAACTTTAACCTGATTGATGAAGATTAGAGTTGAACTATTTTTACATTATATTACCTGAAATCAATGTACTTTCTATAAACGACTTAGGGTCGATTTTCCCAACGCCAGATAAATTTTATCACAGGAATAACTTAAATATTTAACAATTTTTCCATACATGGCCTGGGCAGTATTATGGGTCACATCATCACCTAAAATGTATTTTGTGTAAACTAGTTCGTTAGGCTTTATAAAATTTTAAGCGAGTAAGCGTTCGGCGCTCCAATGATTGGCTGGCTCCAATAAACCAACCAATCAGAGCGCCGAATGCAGTCTCGTTTCGATTACTTTTAAAGTAAAACAAACTGGTACTAAGCCCTCTGTTCCCTTTAATAAAAAGTACTAAAAAGTTTTATTTAACATTTAATAATTATCTGTTGATTGAAAAATCGGCCCTTAAAAGATAATTTATTAAATACTAAGTAGTCAGTAAGAAACCTGGGTAACAATGGAACTGTTATATATATGTTTCCAAAAAAGGCGTAGTAAAGATGATTCGTAATTATCGATTGTGGTAGATTTACATCATACTCTTTAGTATATCTAAACTTATCGCTGATAAACATGTTTGTATATCATAAACGATATCTGTATTATGTATACTACAAACAAACTGTTAACAGAACCGAATTATGTACTAAGCATAGTGTATTATATAGATACAGACCCACCCAACAAACACTCGAAACTAGGAAATATATTTTCACCTATATTATTCTGTAATAAGGTCTAAAATCGATTAAATATAGGTTGATCTGCAGTTACACCTTTGTATCTACGTTTTTATAAAAGAAAAATCTTAGTTTTATGTCTCAAGTGCAGATTGCACTTTGACTACTTTCCTGGAATGGCGCCAAAGTGCACTGTATCGCTTCCCTCAAAGCACCCTATATACTAAACATCTATGTATAAAATGCTCAAGTGAGAATCGCCAACACTACTAAATACCGATGAAATGTCCTCTCAACGACCAGGAATGGATTTGTAGTAGTTACTGTTTTGTACAGTTGAAGTTTGTGGTAGGATTTGTTAACTGTAGCTTCGTTAGTTTTAAAATGGCATACAAAAATACAAAAAAAATGGCATAAAAAGATATAATCATAAAGAATTCCTTTGTGATTCACGCGCATACAGGAATGAATCGACATTTTCGAAAAAAAAAGTCTGTACTGCACCTGACTATAGAGTCTTTAGAATTATTTTCTGTAAATGTATTGCAATTTATCTGTCAAATTACTACCACACATATAATTTTGAGTACAGTCGCAACAAGCCAACTTACTGTTTTTGGAATTTAAACTACAATGAAAAGAAATAGATTGGACATAAAACAGTATTTTAAATATTAATATGATATGTTTATTTGTCCACAGAGAGAGATAAAAACACCGCCGCCAGTGGCTCGAGTCCCTTCACCGCCTCGGACCCCGTGCAAGGCGCCCCCCTCACCTCCAGCCAACACGCATACAAAGCCCCCCTATTCCTTCTCCTGTCTCATCTTCATGGCTATCGAAGCGGCTCCCGCGCGAGCCCTACCAGTGAAAGAAATCTACGCGTGGATCGTACGCCACTTCCCCTACTTCAGACATGCACCACAAGGCTGGAAGAACAGCGTCAGGCATAATCTGTCGCTAAATAAGTGCTTCCATAAGGTACGTACATTCATGCTTAACTTTTTATATAAATATGATTTGTAAGAAATGTGAGGATAATAACAAATTTATGTTTTGTTTTCTAGGTGGCAGCTGCTCCTGGTCTCGGGAAAGGTTCGCTTTGGACGGTAGATCCACAGCACCGCGCCTCATTATTACAGGTAGGTAGATAATTAACTTGTACATTTTGGCATGCACTACTCATAGTTTAATTCATACAGATTACTGATATTTTCTCCAAAATTACTACTACATACTTACAGTATTCTGAAACCCGAAACTTGTCAAACATCACTGAAAGGTGATTCATGACAAGTTTCTGGTCTAACCGGAGTCCTTGGTCTATCTGTAAACATTGTAACTTAGTACCAATTACATTGCTTGTAGATCAACCATAAAGTTCTTTTACACACAATAACTTGACTTGCGGACACCGCTAAGCAGTGCTAATCAGAAAGTGTCTCCGCAGGCGTTTGGTAGGCAACCAATACCAGCCGTCGGCGATGTGGTAGAGAACCCCGAGCCAGCACAAGAGAATGGTACTCGAGTGTCACTACTAGCGCGTCGCCTGGCCGACCCTGAGCCCGGCGCAGACGAATACCTCGCGGCCGCCACTGTACTCGCCATGAAGTACGGACCCGCTGTTCTCGACCAGGTAAATAAGTTATAACTCTGATGAATTATTCACCTTAATATTCGAACAATCATCATCAGCCCTTTTCCGTACATTGATGGACATTCGATCCAACAAAACTTCACTGAACTCACGGTATGGAAGTCATACTGAAGATCGAACTTAGTGGTGGATTATTTATCAATTTTCTATGTTGATAATAAAAATAAGTGGGTTGATATTAAAAATGTACCCTTCATACACAGTTGCCGCCGGCAGCGCACTTGGTGATCTCCCGGTGCGCGCGCGACGAGCACTCGTACAGCGGCGGCGAGGAGAGACGCACGGCCGAGGCACTCCTCAACCTCGCCGGCGTGCGCTCCGAGCCCGCACCTAGCTAGCTCGACTCCTCGCGACAAGCTAGCTCGCCACCTCGCGCCCTGCTAGCTCGGCCAGCCGGCCGCTAAGTTAGCTCGCCAGCTAGCTTCGCCACCAGCTCCGCAGCCCCGCTGTCCCCGGTTCGTATCCACGCTCCACTGACAGTTACACCCCACTGCGGATCACAGCTTCCCTTGTGTACTCTCACGCTCTTCTCATAGTCAGATACAAACTTTGCGCCTGTGGTTTCAGTAATGGGTACTCAATAGTGTGAATCAAGTAGACACGAGACACTAAAATTAGTATATGAAAATGTTGCGCAAAAACATGTGTTGCGCAAAATTGGTTTCTCCTTTGCGCAATAGATTCTTTGCTTGTCTAACTAAAATTACCTGGAAACAACAGCAACCGCGAATTCGGTGACCGTGTTACTGATATAACTGTCTATTCTGAACTTTGAATATCCATTACTGTTAGTAACATTTCAAATATTTCGGGTGTTCTAAACGAACCACGCTACCAATTTTACCCTTTTTTATTTCAAGTAATAACTTTTTACAATATATAGAAGGTAAAGTTATTTTGCGACAAAGTGCAGCGCTTCTAATTATGTTTTTATTTTATATTATTCATGAGTATCGAATACTTTAATTGTGCAATTTACTGTGCTTATTTTGAGGGCACTATCGTAATTTGTTGGATAATAATTCTAAAATTATAATAAGTTAATGTATCAATATTGTATTAAAATTAAATTGAAAAATGTAATTTCTCGGGGCAAAGCCCCACAAAGTTCAGTGGTTTCTATTGACATATTATTATTATTAATTCGTAGAACGAAGCATTTGTTAAAAATAAAACGTTTTGACAGTATCTGATTCTGTTGTCGCAAATGATAATTAAAATAGACAAGAAAGTTTACCATTCTCTAGTCCAATAAAGACAATTCATATAAGCAAATCTCGATGAGATACACAAATGTCTTTACTATGTTAAATTATATTCAATAGATATCGTGCTTAGGTAAAATGGCTCACTTGCTGTATAGTTAGTACCTATGTTCTCATTCAATATATTTTCCAAGTGTAACGCATCACATTTATCATAGGACAGGTGTTGCGAACCATGTCGCATGTCGCTAGAATAATAACAATTACATAATAGTAGATACTTAACAGTGATAGATGTGATACTACTGATACTATTTACTATGAAATATTTTATTTAAAAGAAATGGAAAATAGTTGAATAGTAACTCCCTATATGCATTTAGGTTTTCCCCATTTACTAATAGTCAATCAATCGTAATATATTGTAAGAATTAATTATTCTATACATATAATTTTAAAGTAATATAGCGTTCCCGTATTTCCGTCGATCAATTTTGATTGTTTGCCGAATGTTGCCAGAGTAATGTATGAGTTTACGTTTTATAAAAGTTGCTATTGTGCATAATTAAGGCGGAAGTGTGGCGCATGATAGGTTTTAAGTTATAATTACTGTTTGTTACGTCATTATGTATTGTGTCACTGCACGTTCAGGCAGGACACAGACTCCGGTAAGTATATTTATTTACAAATTCCCAATAAGTGAGCAATATAAAAATGTATAATTCTATATAACACACCTTGTGATCTGAACATACAAATATTGTATACAGGGCGATCAAAATGTATTTTAATATATTAAAATTGTGTTACTCCCGAAGTGATAGCACATGTATATATTTACATGATAGCAGATACTTGCATTAGCCATAAGCAAGCCGTATTTTGTGTTCATATAAATGGGAACTACTTCATACAATCGCCTACAGTGTTAACACGAAACTTATTTATCATATTGATAAGGACTTATAAACTTTGTATCTGTGCGTGATTAGATGAAAAGTGTACTCAAATAATTTTACCGGTATATTTACTAGCTAGTAGACAGTTCCCGTTGTCTCGCAGTTAAGATTTAGCGTGTAATGGCAATCGCCTCAGATATATAGAGAAATTTTATTCATTATAGTAATGTGTAACTATTAATTTTCGATATATTGTATAGATGCTTCCTCTCTAGAGACTTAATGAATCACTACCGTAAATAAATCTCTAATAAATACCTACAAGACGATGCAATACAACTAGATACAAGTCAATCTGAATCATCCCCGCCCTCGATTGATGACAACAGTAGAGCAGAAACGTGTTCACAATTTTAGAACAGTTTTCAATGTAATAAGAATGTCATAAAGTTATGGATGGCGAATGCGTGCTGCTATTTACATAGCCAAAACTATATCCATTATATCTTGTATTGGTGTGGCTAAATTGCTAATGTATAAACTATTGGTTAAGTAGTATATACTTGGTACAGGCCGTTTTCTCTCAAGTGCCTACTAAATGCTTCTATCTATCGTTAGAGAATTATAACTGGAGTACGGAGTGTCGTTAGAGAGGACGAGTGCCGGATTGAATACCATTGAAATACCTGTACATACACTGTTACATGTTACAAACGGGACGCGTACTTGACGTTTAAATACTACTTAACATAACACCAAAATAACTAGTGATACGTAGACTAAAATAATGTGTGTAAGTCCCTATATGACATACAAACAATCCTTTCAAAATGCGTATTAATCTGGCGCTCACGGCAAAGCCTTGGAAGAATACACCAAATAGAGTTAAATGTGATAAAACTTCAGTTTAGTTTAAATGTCTCGTAATATTAGTTGGGTTTTTGGTAAAATAATAACTGTCCAATTATGTCCGTCGCCACAGTTTATAAACATGTATCGTCACGTATATACTAAGGAAACATAATTTATATATAAGCTATGTATAATAAAGCAGAAAGACAAGTAAACTGTGGTGTCGGAACGTTTTAAGTTTTATCGTAACTCGTAAGCTACTGTATATTTATTTGAATGGCTTGATTAGTACAATTTCATTGGTGTTTCGTCGTGTTTACGCGTAGGAAGTACTAGACTGATGCAATGACTGATTTGTGATGAAGCAATATTATTTATTAGTGAAATTGATATATATACTTTTTCGTTTCCCCGAACCTTTACGGCTTTGTTTATTGTGACCGTAACGTTACGCGGTGTAACGGTTTATTTTTGTTTTGTTTTATATGCCAAATAGATATTTCCACTAAAATTATTATCGAATTCGCTAATAAATTTTGGTATTAGTGAAAACAAAGAAGTATGTTTCTGGAACATGATTCGGTACTTTTACGTATACAAGAAAAGTGTTATACGTGAATTTGTAATGTACATTCTTGGTGAATTAAATTATGACAGAAATTAAGTATAAATATTGACTCACAAAGTGCTTCTAAATCGATGGCGAAATGCTCCGAAATATTTTCCAATCCTTATGATTCGTTGACTTCCTCGTCACATTGTTTTGTAGGCAAATGAATGGTCTATGTGTGCCAAATGTTTATGAAAATGATAACATTATTACCATATTGTATCAAGCAAATTCAAATACCAGTAATATGAATGTATTTATATTGATAATACTATGTAACGCATAGATAGATTAGGTCGTAAGTGATATTATAGTAATTAATTTAATTGCTAAATAATTAAAATACATACATTTTTGCTGTATTTAGGGGCGTCTTCCATCTTACTCGTATTGTTTTCTCTTAGATTACTTCTGTTAGAGGGAAAAGTCCTCGCTCTCGTTGTCAAAGCGACTGAGAGGCGGGCAATATTTGATATTGTACTTGCTTCGAGGTCTGTAAGGAACATCCATAGACTGTTTTAAAAACTTGTCTTAGAACATTTAAGTACCGTGTATGTGGAACGAATATTTGTGACCACTTTTCTCTCTAACCATACACACTAGCCTTTCTTTCGGTGGTATGTAGATGAAATTTTACAGCAATAATTAGTATCTAATAGTAGTACTTTGCTGGTAGATGCTACGTATATAATTATGTGTGATAAAACGCGATTTATTTATTAAGTGCTGTGTTTAAATTAAATTTTATGATCTTAAGCAACTTTCAAGCAATATGTTCACCTGTTAGGGTCACAGACCAACAAGCTTTTTTGAAATAATAGAATGGTATATATAAATTTATTTAATAGAACCATTTGAAAGATAAGAATATTAAATCACACTAAGTTGTTAATGATCATAAAATTCCTTTTAAAAAGTTATATCAATATGATATTAAAATTGTTACGGCTCATGTTCTATGGTCAAAAAGATTTTTTTTATCGATTAATTTATTCTTAGGTTAATTAGTGATGCTGTTATTATTTGTTTGTAAAACGGAATTTTAAAACAAAGTGTATGTCTTTATTTGAATTAAGTGGTATTTGTTTGGAATTATCGTTTTACGGACTAGCTCATGACGTCACCGCTGTAGAGGACCGCATGTGTAGAAGTTAGAAGTGATATTACGAGTAATGTCACATTCGTGTTGGATGTTTACTACTTAATAGAGGTGTGTGATGCGCTCTCTCAGCTGTGACGTCATAGCTCGCTAAAAGCTAGCCCTATGTTGGTATGTCCGAACTATATTTAAGTATAAAATTAAATTATTGTTGTTGTTGATATTTTGCCGGCTTTTGAACGACACCACTCTTTTATTAATATTATTGCTATTGTTGAGAGTTATTGCCAAATTTTTATTTGTCCTAAAATCTTTTGTCTTTGTACATATCCATTAAATAAATTATGTACCGAGAATGTGCCATTTTATTTATTTCTACTGTAACAACCTTTCCAAAACTTATGGGAGCAACTATAAATCGCAAATCTGAGTGACCGTATCTGGTTTAACTTAACTTTGTACTAACCCTTTGAGTACCGTCATTAAAAAACAATAGGTGTCGATCACCGGTGTCCTCACGGTGTTTGACAGTCTAATCCAAATTTATTATAGTTATGCTGAGCATATACTAGCTTCTGTGTTACGTAGGTATACTATGGTAGTTGTAGCGTAATCATACCTAACAATTAACCATGTATCGTAACTAAAATAACATTGTTTTTCCTGAGGGGAATGTGATGGTTTAAAACATGCATACATGCTTCTCATGCATGAGGGCGCGGGTTTGAAACCTACCAAGAGCAAATACCAATGTGACTTTTGCAGAGTTATATGTACTTTCTAAGATTATCTAGATACCACTGACAAACGGTGAAGGAAAACATCGTGAGGAAACCAGGACTTATAATTTCTAATTAAAAGTTTGAAATCGCCAATCCGCATTCAGCAAGCGTGGTGATTAATGCTCAAACCTTCTCCGTGCGAGAAGAGGTCTTTGCTCAGCACTGCCCCTTATAGGCTATTCGTGAGGGATAATGTTGAGTGGGGTGAATCTCAGGCGTGTTGAACTCAAAAGTAGAAGGTTAGAAGAAAGAAAAGGGATAATGCTACAATGTTCAGTGTGAGAATCAAACTCTCGAGCTGCAGCCACTGCTCTGACGGTGCTGTTAAAATAGTGAATCACAGAAATACTTTGTGCCTTATCCAGAAATCTCATTAGGTATATGCAAAAGGTAATGTTATTAAATAAAACTATAATTGAATACTGAATCCATTTTATTACAAAAAGAACAAAAGCATGGCTCTATCAACCAGTCAGTACGTAAACAATAATAATATTCTGACTTAAAATTACATTATAATGTTTTCTACCCTATTTAACATTTATTACAATATTATTATTTCCATCGTGACTTATCGTCGCTATAAATAAAGGATTTATTTCCTTCGAGACCAACTTTAATTAACATATTACTTTTAATTAATTTTTTAGTCTGATGCACTGAATGACTGCTTTTCTCTTTATCTACGTGCTTAGAAATGTGTTTTTTTTATTCCAAAATAATGTTCCTTTATTGTTATAATTCGGATGTTGTATTGCACAAACTACAAGTAGGTAGGTACAACAAAACTCAGCTATTCAAAACCATTCATACGTCATCTATTTAAAAATATTTAAATCAAAGACAATCTTTTTTTGACTAATTTTTTTGCTGCCATATTTTTATTTTGCATATAGCAACACTTCTTTTCTAATTTTCTCAACCGTCAAATATAAAAATAAGCCTAATAAACCACTAATTTTATAAGCTAAAGATAATTATTAGTATTTATCAAAATGTTTTTCTCAGTCCTGCTACTAATTCTAAAGTCTTTGATTTCGTGGTAGCGCACTGATTTAATAAACAAGATCATTGTAGAACCATCTTAGAGAGTTATAATAATTATAAATGTTGAATACTATTTGTTTGTTGTTGGCAGTGAATTAAACTTCTATTCACAGATAATGCCCGGTAGCTTAGTAAAGTTTAATAAAATGAAACTGTGCTTATACCACACGAGTGAAATCCCATTGAGCATATAAAATATTTTACAGTTATGTTGGTACGAAATCTAACTGTTATGTTAATTCGCCTATAATTTACGGTATTTTTCCCACTCTAATTTCAGAAAATAAGTGTCATCGACACGATTTAGAAATGGGGAATTTTTTACTGCACCTCTATTTAGAAATTTAAGCAAACCAAATTTCTCCACTAAAAACCTGCTGCATATCAAAAAAATGACTTTACTACAAATAAACTACAAAAACATATTACATCGTAAAACAAAAATACTGATTTGCACACAAATTGTTCAATATTACAACGAAATTTCCAAAATAGGTTAGCTTATAAATTATTAGAATTACAAAATAGGTTAGGTTACGAATTATTAGATAGTATAATTGATTTATTTGATGAGCAAATTTAGTGAACAATTCAGTATTTTTGGTGGTAATTTCGAATATTTTGATTGAAAAAGGGATTTACAGTTAAAGTATTAAAGACCACCCTTTAAAAACAAATTGAAAAAATTGTTTAACTGTTGAAAATATCCAAATTAATTATTCGGCAACATAGTTACTTAATTTTTTTTTAATTGAATACGTCAGCGCATTTGGTTACCTCACCGCCAAATTATTCTTTGATAGATTTTCAACTTTACGTCTAAGTAATAAAGATTGGGATGGCTTAACATTCTCACATGTAAAGTGGTATGAAACCATTGAAATTACGGAGCGGTTACTGATTTGTGGTAAGTTCATTGTCTTGTGCTATCTGTGAAACTGATTCCATGTGGGTAATGTTCCAGCTTTGTGACTTCACGAGAAGTATATCTGCCGGGCTTCAGCCGGCGACTGCTCCATCGGGCAATAGGGGCACTTTAATCTGGAAATAAAAAGAGATAGAATTAAAATTAAATATATTTTTTTAAAAGTGGTTTTAACATGATGGTTTTTAGCGGAAAATTCTTGCTAAGTCGAATCGTGCGTGGTGTATTAAAAAGGCTCGTCCTCCTAGGATAGACTGTTACTTGAGGCAACTGGGGAAGAGAATGGGTGTGAAATTACATAATGCACGTGTCTCACACCTTCGGGGCTTAAAGGGTTAGTGGTTCTGACATGTTGTGAGAATTATGAAATAGGAGAAGATAATTGAAAAGTATTGGTAAGCTAGCAGTATAGGCTGACTTAACAGCCTGGCCACGGGAAATTCGCTGCATTGACATCTACAGATAAGCTCAACGCGACTAGTGACAGAAACAAATGTATAGAAACATCAACATTAGTCTAATTGGTTTCAGCCCCCCTATTGAATATAAGTCAGACAGTGGGCTGAAAATCGGCTGAAATTGGAGATTATCTATTCTATCCTATTAGTAGGATCGCAATTATAATATTAGTATTATTATAATTGCGAAATTTTGTGAGTTTGTTCTCTTTCATGAAAAAATACTGGATGGATTTATATAAAATTTGGTTCAGAGATAGATTAGGTATAGTCTGGAATAATACATGGTGTAATTTCTATCCCGGTAACTCGGGCGAAGCCGAGCTCGGCAGGAGCTAGTATTAAATAATTCTACGTGGACTTAAGGTAAACGTTACAATATTACAGAACGCAAATTATCGCGCCTTTGTGAGCCGTGTATGTGTTAATATTTATGTACAATGGTTTCATGTCGCGAATGATTTACATGATATTAAAACTTGAATTGGGTCAATGATGACCAATTGTTCGGCAATTTTTGCAGAAACTTAGACTATTACAAATTTATCATTGGTCTAATAAATTGGTCAATATGGTATGTCCATGGGCGTAACAGGCCAAAAGTCGGTTTCACCATTTTTATATTTATTAATATGATTTTCAAAAGATATAAACGTTCACTATTACTTTAGTGCTATTTGGATAATTACTGACTACATAGTCATAATAAATGGCTCAAAAACTTTTGTCAACTCAATCCATGAAGGTAACATTTGCGAGGTAACATTTGCGATTAAACATCTTAAATTTGTACAAAGGTTGTGACATCGTACCTACTAGTATAGTATATATTGGTATAGAGTGGATAATTAAAGAAGACACGTGAAAAGAAATGATTAAACAAAAATCGATACCCGACAGAATTCTACACAAAATGAAGATAGATATTTTTTTATTAAAATTTGTATGACGTAAGAAGAATCTAAAATGAGTCCTTACATGTAGTTAGATCTTTCGTGTTTGTGCAGGATTCTGTCGACAGCTTTTTATTGCTTATGTGTGGTAAGTATTAACCAATAGAAGTGATATCCGGTAAAAACCATTTACTTGCAAAAATTCCTTTTAACGCCGAAATTAATAACCGATTGTAATCCAAAATCACTGGATCGACATTTATTCGAAAAATTAAAAATTAAACAGAAACTCAAGTCAAAAATCTATATTTATACACTGATTTTGGATTGCGAACGGCTATTAATTATGGTCGTTAGACCGTTCAGGTCACTGCAGGTCGCCCCGTCTGTCACCAGTACGATTTCTATACATTTGTTTGGATGGTTCCCATTTGTCTCCATCATTCATGTCTCTACTGTATAATAATGAGAATGATTCCACAATAATTGGGTCATTACAAACGTGCGAATTGAGATGATGACAGGGTATGAAAATTAAAAATATAATTAGTCCGTAAGTTAGGTAATAAAAAAATATTAGACACGTATTTTTTTATTTTGTCGTACTTATAATAAAACAATACTTAGATAAAACGAATCAAAGTTTAGGAGTGGGGGCTAAAACGTCATTTCTACGTACAAAATGTACATAGAAGTGACGTCACGCGACATTTCAAATCAATATATCGTAGAAAGTATTCGTTTCTTTGAGAAAATAAAAAAATACGTGACTAATAATTTAAAATAATGTGCCAGGCGGACATTAAAATAAAAATTAGGCATCTACCCTATTGTCATAAGTCATTATATCAGATCTCTCGCTCACACTTGTGCGAGGTATGCGACATTGTCATATTTCTTTGACGTGACAGTTCGCACGTTTGTAATAGCCTAACTGTACTTTACACGATTTTTGTGCCTTCTGAAACAATTGCCTATTCATAAAGAACTATGCATAAGAAACTATGTAGGTATATTACTTAACTAGACTTTTTGCAATTGGCCAAAAAATTACACAATACAATAGACTAAAAAGCAATTGTTTTATAAAGTACAAGATTAGTAGGGACATGAACGATGGGGACAAATGGGAATATCTCATTGGTCTCTGTCGCCTGTCGCACCGGTTGTTGTCGCCGCGGCGTCTGTTCCCGCGGTCAGACCGTATCAGAACATTTGCTGACCTCAACGGATACACTCTGGAAAAAAAGGCAGGTGCGTGCTTGTATGACTCAATGAATGAATGTGATGGAAGCTAAAGAAATATGTATATAAAATATCGTTATAGGACTAGTATGTCGTTGCTACACAGTGGAGGAAAGAAGTAAATTTTTGTATATATGTAAAAATAACCACAATATTCTTATAACTAACAGTTCAAATTCTTTCATTTTCTTGTTAACATGGAAATTTTAGGACAAGCCTGGTGTTTCACTATGCTCCCCAAGAAACACAAACTACAGTATGCCAAATTTTAAATATATGCGGTAACGGTCTACTAAGACCGTAGAAGACTACTTTTATGAATTACCGAAGTAATATATTTTTATAAAAGTTTATTATCGTTCAGGTATGAAAATATAATGTTCTGGACTTGGTATTACATTTGTATTAAAATAATACTTACATTATAAGATATAAAAAAAAGGTCTGAAAAAGCGGTGTGGTGCAGAGCATCCTTAACCAACGTGTTTGTATGAAAAGATGCATGAATGGGATGGAAGGTAGTGAAGTATGCAAGGATTAGAAGTGGCGCTCTGTAGTTTCTGTCTACCCCATGGCAAAAATGTGTGAGTTTACCAATGTATGTATGCAGTTAGTATGTGTATGATGATTATATAATTAGGGATCACAGGACTGCCTCGTTGAACGAGTGGTTGCCTAGTGACTACCGAGCCAAGGTTAGCTAACAAAGATGTAGTCAAGCTGAGCAGTGTGACAGGGTTTTTTGTCAAATTTTCGAAAATAATTCTCAATTATATGACGGAGTCTAGTACTTTGCCCAATATATGGCAATACCCCTATATTACGTGGGACTCTTAACATAACTGAAAAGTTGTTACATCATAGTTATCCACCGCTTTGGGGATAATATTAGTAAAATTATGTAATGTTTGTACTTACTTGGCCCCCATAGCGAGTTTGTTGAGCGCGTCCCTGGAGATGACGTGTCCACAGAGAAGACGCATGGGCGGGTTCTGCTCCGAGGCTTGTTGGCGCAGGATGGGACACGCGAACACTGAGTGGTAGCCGCCACCGTCCTCGCCTAGGTCCACCTGGGAAACGACACAGTATTATTACTTATAGAAATATAATAAATATGTTTTACAAGAACAAGTTGAACTTTTAAGCGATATGTGACATTTTTTTCATGTTTTTCTTTTTTTTATATACACTGTCATGATAAACAAACCTCTGAATCCCATTTACTTCTATAACACTATAAGACACGCCCGTTAATGATTTAAAGTTACTTGGAGTTATATTAATCATGAGATACCGCACAAACGAACAAGCGGCTCGCCTGTATTGTGTGCTAGGTCAATATTTACCTCGAAAGGCAGTTCATCATCAGACCAGGCGGCGATGACGTGTGGGTGTGACATCTTGGAGCGTATGTCGTGTAGAGCTGGCAACACTCGCGCGCCGGCCAGTACTGCGCCCGCCAGCGGCGACAGTGGCGCCAGGCGGAGGAGACCACAAGCTTCTTTTATAAACAACTCAGCTGCTTCTGCACCTGGATACATAATAGTTTTGGGTTAGATACTGTTACCATTACTTATTTTTTAATCCACAGCGAAATATGTTTATCGTTAAGATAGACATTTCCCTAGATTTCATTTTTAATCAAACATTTTTGTGGATTTTGGATGAAAATTTATTTAAGTTAATAATTGTGATTAACCTAATCTTTAATTCAAGAAATATAATAAACTTTTTCATTGCCATGAAAGCTCTTAAATAGAGATTTGATATTAAACGGAAAGGACCACCTTTCACATTGATGATGAAGACACAGTTATAGCGATATTATGGACTTACCGAGTGCCTTAGGGTCGAGTAGATGTTGGTAGATGGGCGGCGCGGGCCCGGCGCCGGGCGTGCACCAGGCGAGCGCGCAGACGGCGGCCTGCAGCGCGCGCTCGTGGCGCGCCGCGTGCAGCGGGAACTGGCGCCGCGCGTACTCGATGGCCGCGCCCACGCCCTGCTCGCGGGCCAACTACCACACCAATAGCGCTGTTTACACTACTAATACTCTATTTTTCTTTTTTAAAAACGTTACCCCTCTCTAAGATTTTCGCTTGTGTCGTGACAAGTTCACATTTGAAACAATTTGTAAATCACACAAACAGTTGCTCCGAGCGATAATCGAAGCAGCTAATCGTTGCGCGACAGCCGATTGTCCAGCCACCGCTTTAACCGTGCAGTCAAATACACAAGTATACAACTAGATTGAAACCTACAACTTGATTTATACCTATATACAAACAAAAAGCTTCTCCCATATAAAACACCAATAGATCAATAGATCCAAATCCAAATTATTATGTTGTAAGTATGTATACTTAATACTTCAGGCTTGTTCTTCTTTACACATACACTTTTGATGTGTAATTGCACTAAAGATCTAACAAACAGATCTAAAGTTACTTTTATGATAATAGTAATATAATTAAAATGTGAAAATAACTGATTTGTAAACAATAAGCATTATTATATAGTTATAATGAATTTACAGGAACATACCTTAAGTGCCTGCATTCTATGTAAGGTGAATGGTAGAGGAGAGTTGTGAAGTTCATGTGCTCTTCGCTCGGCCCAGTTGAGGGCGGCGCTGGGGTCGCCCTCAGCCAACGCAGCCGCGCAACGTTGCAGCAACGCAAACGTACAAGTGCGCTCCACTCCCGTTATGTTAGCTTCCGATACGAAAGCGTCGCCCACGTCTTCAAGACCCTGTGAAATATCAAAGAAAATAACAAAAGTCCCTGGCGGACTAGGCAGAGTTGTGCTGCACATATTAAGTAATGAACGCTTTTCACCAGCTACATGAAATATTAATCCAGTTTAATATTGAAGGCTCTGTTGAAGACAAAATGTGGAATAGTGACATACTATATTGCTTGTACCAGTATGATGAAAGTTAATAAAGTATATAATAATTTGTAACACGCGACTTTATGCTTGCCCCTTTAAGACAAAGTCGTGAGTTTAAATTCATGAAAGTTTAGATCACTCGAATTTTCATAAATTTTCATGAACTTTTCATGACTCTTTATTTATGAGGTGGTAATCACCAGACGGACAATTAATTAACATTCAACTAAAATATAAAACATTGGACACGTATTTTTTCTTTTCTCACAAAATTAAATACTTTCGACGATACATTAATTTGAAATATCGTGTGACGTCACAACGTGTCATTTCGTAGCACGGTGTGACGTAACAACTGCTAACTTAACGCCATTTTATCTAAGTATTGTAACTTCATAAGAATAAATAAAAAATATGTGTCTAATATTTTCATTATCTAACTGATGGACTAACTAGATTTTTAATTTTCATATCCTGGCAACTACCCTATTACAAAAATACTACAGAAACTTAATCAGTTTTTAATAGAATGCCTATAATATCCCAGTAATTGCTAAAGTAGTTGTTAATAAATTTTAATTGGTTTTCAAGATATTAAAAGTCATTAATACATGTTTCCACTCACTTAAGACCACTTTAATGAATAAGGAAAGACTGATAGAACTTGTTGTTAAAATCATTAATCAATTACAGTTGTGGCTCATTATCAGAATACAAACACATTAGTTTCTTTTTTGTAAATTGTGCTTACACACTTTGTTCTGTTTGTACTTTAAAGTGTTTTATACCCAAATATTTATAACTACTATTCAGACCACGAACTAACTAATGGTAGGTATAAATGAAATGATATTTATATCTTTAACTATGGTACTAGACCCCATGACATATAGGATAAGTACCTAATGTTTAATAAAAAAAAACTATGAATTTAGGTTTGAAATCTAGAAAATAACTATTAAACTGTCAAACATCAAGCGGTCACCGGTGACCGCAACCTATTGATCTTTAATTGTGTCTATAAATACCGTACTCAATGAGTTAAATTGCTCTTGAAGAAAAAGCTTGAACAACAGGAGTAGGAATGTGGAAGTTTTTAGTCTGGCACTTCCTCTCACCTAATCCAAGGAGGAAGAAGTGATTGGATGATTTTCCCCCTCAAAAAAGAAAAAAAGTCAACAAAATTATTTATTTGTAGCTTACCTGTCTATACAAATGTTGAGCTATGGCTTGTTCCATAATGGGCCTATTGACATCATTACAGAAGGACTCCGCCTTCGGAGCAACTGACGCATAATCAGCAATGAAGTGCCTATCAATAGACTTGCCCACTCTTGAAACTGTTGCATGCAGTTCTCGGTGATCTGTACAGACAGAAATGTTTCTTTGATACATGAAGAAGAGTTTAAAATTAAATGTTATGTAGAAATAGTACATAAAATCATAACTTTTGTTATTTAAAGGACTAGGGTTTGGTAATTACTTAGATGTCATCATTAGCAAGATGTCTACTGCTGAACAAATGCCATCGCTAATGAAAAATAATTGTAAAATCACATTTTGTGACTATAACTAATGAAGTAAGAGACACATTAAATTGCTACTAATAATATATAGAAGTAGATGTAGTGTGGCTTAATACACAGATGCTACATTTCATCAGGCAAAGATGCTAGAATAAATGATGCACTAGTCCAAGTTCACATGTTCAATGAAATAGTATAGATATTATGTACTTATTTCTAATTGTTATTAAAAAAATGATTGTGTCACTAACAATTACCTGTAGACATTTGGGCTGTGGTTGTTTTAACTGTTGCAGCCAAATCATTGATCAACATGGTCTGCGCTGGAGATAGTTGAGCGTCATTTGAGTCTAAAACACATAAAAATAATTAATTTGATAAGTATCTTATAGAATAGAATAATTTAATAAAAAATATTACACAGTAATAAGCAATATTATTGTGTATATCTACATTGTTAAAATACCAATTTACCACATGGTGTTCACTTTATTAAAAATGGCCAAAATATCTTAAAAATCCTTTGTTATTCAGTGCAGTAACTTTATCAAGTACAAACAAACTTTGCTTATACAAACATACATGTTATTGAACTATACATAACCACAATGGCTAACTTGTTTTGCTACGAAGCTTAGATAACACCACGAACTTTTACATCACAAAAAAAAATATCACAATGACTAGGAGATAGGTGAAAGGCGCATGTATTTCATCAATAAGGGCACATTACAAAGGCGTAATATGCTAGCGTACTCAGATAATTTACTTATAGACGGGAATAAATAGAAATTGGAAAGTCACGTCATGGCCATTTACATACACAAACAGGGCACACAGTGAACAAAGAGGACGCTTAGAGGGTGACAACAAAACACTCACATTTGGTTATCTCTCGCCTTACTTCTTCTACTTGATCTATCATATTCTGTAGTAATTTACTCGAGTTATCATTTAGAGACCTAAACTTCGATAAAGCTTTGTCTAAATCCTGTTCAACTCCGAGACACGAATCCATGTTGTTGTGATCACAATTTAACTTGGCTGGTTATAAATAACACTCTAGTCTCAATTTATGTAAGCGTACAACAACAAGGTACAAAGACGTGGTATTTTACAGATGAATAAAGTAAATATTTTTAGACGAAATTTATGAAAACAGACATTTTGCCCTCAGTTGAATTTCTATGCACGACCAGACAGATACAAAAATTATAATGTCATGTCACTATTGTTGTCAATGCAAAATCATAGAGTGGATACCAGAGGGAATAATAGAATAGTAATATAAATCGACTAAATAAAGTGGGGGATTTTTAAAAAAAAATTATTTCTTCTTTTTGTCTATGGTCGTTGCACAATAAAATTATTCGATTTCGGTCTGCTGTTTTAGGTTAGAATTTATAATCGTGAAAAGTATTAAAATTTGTTAATAATACGCATTTAAAAATACCGCAAGTATGGCACAAAGTAAGCTTAACGATATGGCGGGCAAATTCGCCAAGGGTGGACCTCCTGGCCTGAACGCTGGAATAAAAGTGGTCGCCGTTTTAGGTGCGGCAGCTTATGGCATCTCACAATCCTTGTTTACCGTTGAAGGTGGTCATCGTGCCATCATGTTTAACAGAATAGGAGGTATACAGCAACACGTTATGAGTGAAGGTATGCACTTCCGTGTTCCTTGGTTCCAGTACCCCATCATTTACGACATCAGGTCCCGACCTCGCAAAATTTCATCACCCACCGGGTCCAAGGATTTGCAAATGGTTAATATTTCCTTGAGAGTACTCTCCCGTCCCGATGCGAGTTCACTCCCTACCATGTACAGACAGCTCGGTACTGATTATGATGAAAAAGTGTTGCCCTCAATTTGCAATGAAGTATTGAAGTCTGTGGTTGCAAAGTTCAATGCATCACAGCTGATTACACAGCGTCAACAGGTCTCACTTTTAATCAGAAGAGAGCTGGTGGAACGTGCTGCTGATTTCAATATTATTTTGGATGATGTGTCTTTAACTGAATTGAGCTTTGGTAAAGAATACACAGCTGCAGTAGAAGCCAAGCAGGTTGCCCAGCAGGAGGCTCAGCGTGCTGCTTTCGTTGTGGAAAGAGCTAAGCAGGAGCGTCAACAAAAGATTGTACAGGCTGAGGGTGAAGCTGAAGCAGCTGAAATGTTGGGAAAAGCTATGGGAATGAACCCTGGTTATCTGAAATTGAGAAAGATCCGTGCTGCTCAAAGCATTTCTAGAATGATTGCTCAGTCTCAAAACCGTGTATTCCTTCCTGGCAATAGCTTGATGATCAACCTCCAGGATCCCACCTTTGACGACCTGTCCGAGAAGCTGACCAAGAAGAAGTAACATGAGGCTGAGAGTGTGTGCGCTGAAAGCCTGGAGCCTGCGACCACTCTGACAGAAGTTGATGATACTATTCTTAAAAGTGGTGTTGCTTCATTTATCGTTTAGTGCATTTGTTTATGTAGGTACCAAGAGCATTGCAAATAATACTGTGTAAAAAGTCAGCCTGTTCAAAATGTAATACTGCATTTTACGTTATCTAGTTGTAGGTTTATAGTATGTATGGGAATCTATGATTGAAATAAAAGTTCGAAAATTAATTATTGTATTATTTCTAATAAACTTATACCCATAGTATAAACTTAAAATAAATCTAATAAGAATCTTGTAAGAACACACAACTATTTTATAACATAACATCAAACTTGTTAATGTTTATGAAGGGACACAAGTAGTGTCTTGAAAGACATTACTTGTCTTTAGGCTACCTTCCTACCTAATTATCATTGTTTTGTGAACAATGATAATTATTCAGTTATTACTTATTTCCTGTCAAACCAATCATCATATTAACCATGCAGATCACACAAGTGTAAGTCCATCTGCTAGACAAGGGGAAAATATATTCGGCAACATTTCCAAGAACAATGCCACCTATTTAGTAAATATTCTGCATAAATAAAATGTGTGTGCTTTACCTTTGAAAAAACATTACTTCATAGTAGTCTTGCCAAGTCATGATTGTGTTTCACTTAAATAAAACTGCAAAGTTTTTCAGCTCAGATGCCCAAGATAGGATACCTGAGATGTCAGATGTGGGGGTCAGAAGAAGTAGGAGACTAACTAGAAGATATGCATAGTCTTATTTTTTCTCTTTTACAAGTTGGATTACAGATATCAGGACTATCAAAAACTAATTTGATATTGCAAATAATGTTTCTGCTAAGCAAAAAGTAGTGATCTATCAACTAATGATCTCTTATCTTCACATAAACCTAACAAATATTACACAAACATACATAACAAATGTTCAATCAACATTAGTGTAACATTTAAATGATTTTATACACACCTTCATTAATTTCTGAAAGTTAAACACATCATCTTCACACAACAATGAAGCAGGAAAATAAAAAAATAGGAAATGTCTAACAATTTATTAAATGGTCTAAAACAAAAATTACAATAAGAATAATTTTATTTACTTCTTGAGAGCAGATGGTTGTGGGCATCTAAACTTGGACATTTCAATTTCAGCTTCGAAGAAACTCATATTATCGTACTGAAAATATTCAGGTACTTTATACGCTCCGGTCTTTTTGGGATCCACTCCGGGACCCAACGGTGTAGCTGCTGGTTGGATTACATTGTTGCTCAGTCCAGGAACATCAGGGACTACTTTACTAGCAGGCGGAGACGGTGTAGCGGCTGGAGGGGTACTCTGAGTACCTTCACTATAAAATCTAGTGAAAGCTCTTATCGTATTCCTCCTTATAGAATTCATTATTTTTTGTATTACACAATCACACAGGCAATAGAAATCTATCTGTTGTTTGACATTTGAATTTGACAGGAAATAAAAGAACAAATAGTGACATTAGTCTACGCAATCCAGACAAATATCATTTTCTTCTCACTCACTATTAATTTTTTTAGACATCAAAGAGGTGGTGTAAACGAACGTATAATAATTTTTACATTATTTTAAAATAGAAAACTAGAAAACGTTTTCGGGAAAAAATAGTACGTTTTTAGACAATGTTAGATTTGGTACAAAGATTTGGTCCCGTACTGTAGCCATAAAAATAGCCAATTTGGCCATAGGCATAAAATAAACTAAATGTTATTTTTATTCTAATAAAGACGTTGGGTTTAAGTAATTAAAAATAATGGTTTTAGTAATTGAAAACCAAACGACTGAAACATTTAGTTCTAGTTTAGTAATTATCTAAATTATTTAATTTTATATATAAATATGAACTATAATTTTAAGTATAAAATACATGTAGTTGTAATTACAAGTTGAGCCAAGCAAAGCAAACGTGTATATTTTTTAACTATGACACAGTACATTTTGTTTTTATCAAAATAAATATTACTTCATTCTATTTTACATTTTAGTAATTACATTTTGTTATGCACCTATTTAATTGATTGATATTAGAAGATTAACTCATATTTTCATCCATGACTATCAGTTATAAGAATATTATTTATTCATTAGCCGAAAAAAATGATAGATGGATCGTTACACCAGACATGCTTTACTTCCGTGGTACGGTGCGTCTTCTCTAGAGTCTATGGTTTTTCACGACTGTTTTGGATAGTTTACTTACCTTGCCTATATTGCCGATTTTTCGGTCTAGAAGCGGAATATGTGTATAGTTTTGCTGTGTAATCTATAACATAATATGCTATAATGTTTTACAATCATAGTTAAGTTTATTTGCTTTGTAGGTGTCCATTAAACACAAGTTCAGCCATTTACATGAAAGGTGAGTACAAAAAATTGGTACCTCTATTTTTTTTTTGTAAAGCTTAGGTTTCACCCTTATGTCACTATGAAAACAGTGAATTATGTATTACTGTTCCATATTTCAGTGACAAAAGAGTTATGGCTGTTTGTGGATAATTATTCATACATCTCTGCATAAGTTATAGTTCATATATATACCTATTTGCCGCTATTTTGTGCGTTATATTTATGTATAGCATAAGTTACCCGACCAAGTTGAATAGGTCGTGAGGAAGCATTGCGTTCCATTTCATGTATGGGAATCTTGCAATCGATAGAATATATCCTTATATCTAATACGTAGCTTGAGTCTAATGACCTCAGCATGAAATTATTGTAAAACAAATCAAAAGTTAAAAGTTTCGTTGTATCAAATTAGTTTAAAACATTTGAAAATAGTGATAAATTAAAGGACGAGGCTGGTGAACGAAAAAAAGTATGGTAATGGAACGTTTTTTAGTCTATGGTTTTTTATTTAGTTTTTGGAATTTGCTAGGTGTTTGCACTTTAAAGAAAAATTTAATTATGTTCCATTGTACCACAACACTGTAACGAAAAGTGTATTGGTGATATTAATCTAGACTCTAATAATATACGCGAAATAAGTATAAACCAAAATAAGCTTGCAAATAAGAGCGGATTCGTGAAATGGCTGCCGAAGTGCCTGTTGGCGATTTGTTGAGTGAAGCAGTGGAATATATGTCTAAACTTGGTGTTAATTTACGTGATCGATCGACAAGCCTGTTAGAGAAAAGAATAAACCGCAAGAAGTTACGGAATACACATGCGGTTTTGAAAGCAGCTGAAAAAGTGCTTCTTATATGTGAATTGTCAAAAAAATCACTCGCGAATGTTGAAACCGGCGTCCGAAAAGTCTTATCCATTATCGACGCATCTCAGACACAAACAAATAGCGGTGATGGCGGGAAAACTAAGAATAATGCATTAGATAAGCGTAATGACCGATTTTTTTATTTTGAATATGAATCATGCACATTGCGAATATCTAAAAAAATTACATTAAAACACTATACAGGAGTAAAAGTCCTAGCAAAAAAGTTGCCAGTTTCTATGCAAGAAAAATATCCAGTATTTTATGATTGCAAACTAAAGAGATTAAGGAACAAATTATCAGAAACACAACAAGATGATAAGCATGCAGACAAGTCTGAAAAAACAAAGTTTAAGAGCAAAGATGTTGAACAATCTCAAAAAACCCAGACTTTGAAGGACTCAGATGAATCCGATACAACTTTATCAGGCAAGTCAACAAAAGAAAGAGGCAATCCCAATGAAAATAAATTAGTTGAAAATGATGTTATAAATGCTTTGGATTCTATTGCACTTAATGATAAATCAGACACTATTCACGATGATAATGTTTCCAATAGGCAAGAAAGTAATGGAAACAAAAAAAGCAATTTGGATGAAGATGTATCAGTGTCTGAACTTGTTGAATGCTTTGCAAATGAAGCAAAGGTTGATGAGGATGAAACACATGATGGAAAACAGAAAAAGGGAAAAAAAGATGCTAGCCTTATTAGAAAGAAGTTTAGTAAAATTAAGATAGTTGATGATGATGATAGCTCAGATAATGAACCTATTTCTAAAGGCACAGATAACATTACCCATAAGATATCATCTGATGAAGAAACTAATATAAATTCGGAAAAAGAAAATAATGATAAGGAGTCTAAACTTAGGGAAAGAAAATTTAGTAACAGTGATGGAGACACAAACAAAGAGGATTCAGACAACAATTCTGTGAAATCTGAAAATAGTTCTAAACCTCTGATTAGATGTGTAAATATATCTAAATTACTTAAGCCTGATGCATTAAGTTCAGGAACAGTTCAACCATCAAACCAAAGCCAAATTACACAAAGTAAACCCTTAACTACAAAACAAAAAGAAAAAGATAAGAAGAAACATAATAATTCTAAAGATGATTTATGTAAAAAGCAAAGAACAATAAAGTCCTTCTTTAAAGCAGACCAAAGTGAAGATGAATATTGGGCCCAAAAAAGAAAAGAGGTTGAAAAATTTAAACCTAAACAGTTTTCTGTGAATATTAATAGATTACCCCAATTCACAACTAACTTTATGCTTTCTCATGAATTAAAGAGAATCACTCAAAATAACAAAACTGTTTATGAAGTTCATAATAAAGACTCTGACCACTTAAAGAAGAATATTGACGAAGTTAAGAATGCCTTACTGAATGAATCTGGATCAGATACTGAGAATAACATTTCAGACAAGGCAAAGAATGTTAAAAATTCTCTTCTCAATAATTCTGATTCTGAAACAAATGAAAGATCTTTGAATAATGGTGATAATAATTCCATATCATCGTCAGAAACAAATAAAGTAAAAGAATCACTTCTTCATGATTCTGATTCGGAACTGAAGGAAAAATCTTCAAACATTTGTACAGATAATGTTGATGATGCTATATTATGTGAAGCAAATAAAGTAAAAGAATCACTTCTTAATGATTCTGATTCTGAAATCAAAGACAAATCTTCAAATAATGACTTTGATGCTTGCTTAGATAATATTGATGATACCTTATTAGCTGAAGCCAATAAGGCAATACAATCATTTATTAATGATTCCAACCACCAATCAAAAGAACAAGCAATAAACAATTCTAACAACAGTAGTTCAAAAGACCAGGAAGACACAACAGATAATGCAATTGTTAAAGATGCACTTCTTAATGAATCTGATTCAGGAAGCGACAAAGTCTCTGACCCTGTTACCAAAGATTGTGAAAATGTGTTAGAGAAAGAAGTTGCTAAGGAAATCAAAGATGCTTTGCTTAATGACTCTGATTCTGATAAAAATGAATGTGTTCAAGATGTCACAAGTAATGATGCCACCAAAGATAAATTTGCCCTGTCACAAAATGAGTTTGAAGCAAGTGAGCACCCTGAACAAACTGAAAATCAAGATCCAGATAAAATCAAATCGTCACTGTTAAATGATTCATCTGACAGTGGAAAAAAATCCCCACCTAAAAAGAAATTAAAAAAACGTAAAAGAACAAACAGTGAAAGGCAAGCTAAAAGAAACAGATTGTGCTACACATCAAGTTCAGAAAGTGAAGAGGAATTAAAAATTAAGTCTAAAGAGAGTTCTCGTAAACACCATAAACGAAAATCACGACAATCTAATTCCTCTTCATCCAGTGAGGAAAATAGGAAAAAGAAGAAAAAAACTGATGGAACTGGTGATGAGCATTCAGATGCTGGTGTTAGCAAGGTTAGGAACTAAGTACATTTTAATTGTAAACAAATAAGCAGTACAATTTTATAATTGCCATTCCTTGTACATATTCTACAAATGTAGGAACAATTATTCTATGTGATTAATCTAGGTATAATGTGTATTCAAAAATGTTGCATTTAGTTTTTAAGTACCTAATAATTAATGGATAAAATTAATGTCTTCTTCATTGGTAGTCATTAAATGCCAATTGAAATACTTTGGACTTTTCATTCCACACAATGATACAAGAAGCACAAGGTAGCTCTAATTTTTATTCAATGAATACAAGGTAAAGGTATAATTGGTAGATTTCGAAATCATTAGACCACTGATTTTTATTTTATACCTTTGCTTTGTATTTGATTTGAAGTGAAGGAGATACAACTTAGAATAAATATTATAATAATAATTACAGATGGTACGTTCTAAGGCAAAACCGTGTGGAAGCAGCGGTCAAAACTCTGATAATCAAGATGCAAGTGACAAAGACATTGATGGGTAAATATTGTATGCAAGTTTAAAAAAAAGGGGTTATTTAAACAATGATGTGGCTAATTTGGCCCTGCAGTGTTTGGTGTTGGTTATTTGTGCTTAATCCTTAAACGAATTTTAAGAGTTATGACTAGATGTCAGCATATAACATTGAATGATTCATTCCTTCATTATTTGTGCAATTTTTGTATTGTCGAAATATTCCACTGTGGGACTTCAGCATTAACTGTATTACAAAACTTCATTGCTAATAAGAAACTGAAACACATTTCGTTGTCTTTTAGACAAAGTTCGAACGCACTAGCCAGCAAACATTATTCATTGGCCTGCATGATTTATGTATAGAAAAAAGGAACGCAAAAATATGGTTGCAAATTAAATTTCAAGTTTTTCATTTATAAGTTTATAAGTCTTGTTGGTGGAGTGGTCGCGTTGATATATATGAATAGCCACGGGTTCGATTCCCTGCTAGCACAGTCTGTAATTATGGCTGGTAGGGTCACCCTCTATTCATAGATATGACTTGGCGCGCGAAAAATGGGAGTTAATGCGAGTGGTGTTAAAGGATTTTCACATATTTCATTGCTAATATATTGTTCTATTTACAAGCACATTGTAAATAATTTAATAAAAATATTGGTAGATAAAAGACAAGTCTATACCTAATTTTATTTATCAATCTATACTTGCATTGATATAATAATCGACATTATGTGCATACTCGTCAGTATGATGTCTATTCTCAGATAACCATGGGATATCGAAGTGGATTATAATAAAAATATTTACATTCATTCGCACCTTTGGCAGTTTTATCAGGGTTATTTAAATGTTTTGTAGACTGACAAATCTGAGTACTTTAAACAAAAAACACCGACGGCGCGATTCCCCGTCGACGAATAATACGGGCACTCGAAGCGGTGGTAAAAAGACTCTCACAGTGAAAACTGAGGATATGAAAGTGACGTATGATGACCTGCTGACTGCAGCTGCTAGCAGTTCTGAAGTCTCCGATGATGAAAATATGCCTGAAGAAGGTAAAGTAATAAAGGGAATTAAATAAAAGAATTAATCGAGATAGATCAGAATCTCAGATAGGTAAAAGATATAAGCAGTTTAGGTATTCTGTAAATACATATTATTGAACTGCTAATGCCAGTTCGACAGGTCTCCGTGTTTCTCACTGAATGACAGATAACATTAGAATCAATAAGATAATTCATTGAATGCATTTTATTATGTTAGAAAACAAAACTTGATTTATTTACGAAAGCATAATGTTCTAAGGCCTTAGTACGAGTTTGTTTTACGTTTAAAGTATTCGAAACGAGTACGCGTTCGGCGCACTGATTGGCCGGCACCAATGAACCAACCAATCACAGCGCCGAACGCGTACTCGTTACGATTACTTTAAACGTAAAAGAAACTTACTAAGGCCTCTGAATGAACAGTAACATTATGCTTTCGTAAATACTTTTGTAATAATACCGACTGATGTCAGCAACACCTAGTTTCTACCATGGTAGCTACTTTTGTGATACGAGTTGTAAGAATATTCACGAGTGCCTATTCAGACAGTGTGAATTATTATTGAATAGGAGATTGAATTTATAATATACCTAATTTAATATTGTGAATTCTAATGTCATGTGAAAATTAAAGTAACTTGAAACCTGTGGAAGTATCGCTAATATTATAGAGCAAACGATTTTTTTCTGGTACTGAACAAACAAGTGCAAATATTACCTAAGTAAGGCTTATAATTATGCGTATAAATTGATAGGTTGCATATTATAAACATATGACATCCATCCAAAGTGAACTGCTCTAAATACAACACATTTAATATATTTACGCGCGAATACTGAGAGGCAATTTTAAGTCGCGCTAAGGTATAGTTGTCACTACAAATTGTTTGTAAAATGACAGTGATGGCACAATATTTAAGTACTACTTAAAATTAAGTAGCCTTTTAATATTCGGGCGATAATAAATCAACAGTGAATATCACTCATTTGCTTTCGATCTTATTATTTCTTAATATTAATATTTATAAATTAGGTTGGACAACTGAATACCTAACCTACCTACTATTAATTCAATTAACTTTTTTATTATGTTTTAGAGCTGCCCACCATACCATCAGGACTCAATGGAGATAGTATCGGGCATTTAGCTAAAGATGATTTATTAGGCGAGAGCGATTCGTCAGTATCACAGAATGAAAAGAGACACAGCGAGGCAGAGGTATAAGCTTTTGAAACTATGTGTTATATTTTATATGCTTTGTAGTCAAATATACTATATTGTTGCTATTATTTCTCTAAAGGAGACTCGCAATGAAGAGGAATCGGAGGATGAACAAAAGTGAGTAAATTTTTTAATATTCTACAAATAGGTAGTACATAAATTAGTTGCTACTAATTTATGGTCACTGAATAAAAAAGTATTACCAAAGTTATTTAATTGTCAATCAAAAATTAGACTTCTATAAACATCTACTGAGTACTTTTATATTTACTTAGGTACTTCATATTTTCAAAATCTTATACTATTATATAAAGCGGAAGAGTTTGTTTGTTTGAACCCGCTAATCTCCGTAACTAATAGTCCGATTTGAACAATTATTTTTGTGTTGGATAGCGCATTTATCGAGGATGGCTATAGGCTATAAAACATCACGCTACGACCAATAGGAGCTGAGCAGAGCGGGTGAAACCGCGCGGAAGTAGCTAGTAATACTATAATAAATTAGATTTTGGCAATAGAAATAGTAGGTTTTAAGATGGAAGTCCATTCCTAAGTAAAATTTTTGAATTACAGTGTAAAATTAAAGCGGCAACGCAAGGCGAACGCGATATCTTCTGATTCTGAAGGCGGAACTTCACATCGTAAGCAGAGGGATGAGGATGCAAGAGTGAGTGACTTTGAGGACTCTGAGGACGAGAGTTCAGAGTCCAGAGAGAAGCGCTCCAAGCGGAAGAAGAAAGGATCTGAGAGTGATGCTTCGGGAGGGTCTAGCAATGAAGGAGGGTAAGTTTGAAACATATTTTTACACCTTGAAAATTGCGTCAGTGACAAGTAACCGGTTAATAGACGGTTCCCGGTTTTCTGTCGGCGTCGAGTATCATTAGTGTCGCAAAGCCAGGTTGGTATAGATTCCTGGCTTGCTTAAAACATGATTAGGTTGTTTGATTACTGAAGTAGTAACAGCATAATGCACAAAAATACCACAAAATGATTGATGGATATCATAATATACACTTTTAGATTGGTAGATTATTTTAAAACATTAGACACGTATTTTGTATTCTCTTACAAAATTAAATACTTTTGACTTGTATATTCATTTGAAATATCGTGTGACGTCACGCTTTACTACATTTTAACGTAACGACCTCCCACTCTTAAACTTAACTCCGTTTCATCTAAGTCCTGGTTTATTAAACGACAAAATAAAAAAATGTGTCTAATATTTTTTCATTATGTAACTGACGGACTAATTACATTTTTAATTTTCATACACTGTCTACAACCCTATTCAAATATAAAGGGTTAAGCTTGCCACGTTTACCTACCTACTCACAACACCTATATGATCAGTACTAATATTACTGAATTTAACTAAATAATTTTGTTTGTAGTCAAAAGAAACGTCGCCGTATTAAACAAGTGAAGGACAGTGATGGCTCTGGATCTGATACTGAGAATGAAGGAAGAAACAAACATGGCAGGAAGAATATACGTAAGGTAATGTCAATGAAATATAAATATTAGGTATATCTTATGTACCTAATCTGATGTATGAGTCACCCTCAGGGTTCGAAACCTACGAACGGCAAGTAACAATGTGATGTTTCCTGAGTTAAATGTACTTTCTAAGATTTTACACCCGCATACTGAAAGGTACTCAATTTCAAGTTGTATATCATGTATACATGTATATCATGCCATCTCTGTCATTTTACAAAGAATTTTTAGTGACAGAAGCACGACTTTGAGTGCATTTGAGTATTTGGACATTAGACACTATTGACATACATAGTGAGGAAACCTGGGTTTATAATTGCTATTTAAAGTTTGAAATTGCCAACCGGCTTTGAGCAACTGTGGTGATAAATGCTCAAAGCTTCTCCGTCTGAGAAGAGGCCATTGGTCAGCAGTGACTACTTAAAGGCTGTTGATGTGATGTGATGACCTATGTTTTAGTAATGGCAGAGTAGATTTTTTTATTGTAACCTCTACTGAGCTCATTAAGACTTTAAAAAGACACAGCTACAGCACATATCTGCCCCAAAATGTCCGCTGCTAAATGTACGCCTCCCCTAAAGCCTATCTGGAAGGTAGACCAATTATGGGTCCCTGTATCGTAATAATTGTTATGAAGATATTAATTGTATATTTGTTTCCAGGTTATGGGCAAGAACCAGTTGGAAGAGGCCACTAAGAAGGCAGCTCGCGAAGAGAAAGAAAGGATTGCTCGTATTACTGAGAGACAAAAATTGGTGAGTATATCATCATGTAAATGTAAAAATCAAATCAACGCCTAAAAACTTTTTCATTCATTCATTCATGTAATTCTTTGTAATAGGAAAAAAGAAAGAAAAAGCATTTATTCGACAGTAGGCACGCACACAGATCAAAAATAATACAAAATTAAAAAAGAAAAGAAGAAATACATACAGATACTTATATAGGTAATACAGAACGATAATCAAAACCAAAAAAAACAAGAAACAACAGAGTATAACAAAACAGTGACAATACAATAATAACACAGTCATTAAAATTTAATAAAACAAGATATAAATAAATAACATTTAATAGCGCGTGCCCTTGCCAAATTAAAATAGTAATAATATGTATTTTTGTTTACAGTACAACAACATGGAATTTGACGAGTCTGGCAAACCGGACGAGGTTGTCTTGGAGAAGGTGGTGCTAGATTTCGACCCTGAAACTAAAGAGCCACTGATTGAGGTCGATAGAGGACTTGTGAAGAAACTGAAACCCCATCAGGTAAATAATAAAGAGGGTTTTTCAAAGCAATGTCTATTCTTAACATCTAAGCGATTCTGTAAGTTTCAATTCGAAAGGTCTTAGTGAACTTCATTGCGGTCTACTATGTTATTGGTTGCGTCTAATCTCGTCCAAAGACGGGCAAGCATGCGATCGAGCTAATGTTAAAAGTAAGAATTGACGGTTCCAGAACTGCCTAGCTGGATCAGGGCGCTTTCTCTTGAAACCAATCTCAATGTCAAAGCAATTTCAATCCAATAAGATCTCAATAATTATTAACAACCACAAACGTAGCTGTTAAAGTAGCATTCAGATTACGCAATGAATATAAAGCGAAACTCAATACCATTTAGTTCATTAATTATACACGTAATACGGATGCAATGGGCGCTAGTGTTTCAACTCAAGAGTAAGAAATTTCACATTACCAATGCCGATCGATCGGAATTGGATTCAAGAGTAAGCCCCCTGGTTACTACTTACTTTTCTTCTGCTTGCCCTTGTCTTAAGGTTAAGATTGAAGTCTGTCTTTTTTTCTACTCCGATAACTTCAACTTTTGTACTCCCTTAAATTCAAAATCTAGTAAAATTTTCATAAATATTATTTTTATTCAGGCTAACGGAATAAAGTTCATGTGGGACGCGTGCTTTGAGAGTGTGAAACGTATCAAGAAGGACAAGGGGTCCGGGTGTATCCTCGCGCATTGTATGGGTCTCGGGAAAACTCTACAAGTAAGTTTACTTCTGTCATAATTATCTACACAAATTAAATAAAATATTTATATCGTTTTTTTTTGTTGTGTAGATTTTCGAAAAAAAGAGGTTACTCTTGAATAATAGCTCTAAATCAGAGTTAAATATCTATCTGTATATCTATCAAATTGTCTGTGATATTTATGTAAAATTATTTTTTTTTTTTAAAAAAAAGAAGATCTTCAATATTCCTTTCTTGTCTATTACTTTATTAAGGTCATCATTTTAAGGCCCATTGCCTATCAGAAGTTGTAATAAAACATTGTTCGCAGGTAATATCCCTGACGCATACATTGCTGACACACGGCACTCTGACCGACGTGAACCGTGTGTTGGTGGTCTGTCCTCTGTCCACTGTACTTAACTGGGTCAACGAGATCAAAATGTGGCTCAAACACGCACACTCTGAGTTCGAAGTCGATGTGTATGAGTTGTCCAGGTAAGAATAATGGAATATACCTTCTTTGAGGCGGGTATCTTTCAATGACTTCTCCCGCCCGGGTGGGCGAGTCAGACTTACTAAGTAAAAACCATCCCGTTCCTACTCCTGCACTTCGAGCCGGAGCCCCGGCTAACCGTTATGTCCGTGGCTACGTTTCGCCATCAGTCCTATTGGGCCCAATCTGTGGACTGGGTCCTGTAGTGCTGGGTATGAACAAATGTGCTGGGAACATAGCCCTATAAATTTATTTTATATATTTTTGCTGTTGAGAAAATCAGTGCTGCCAAATAAAAATGGTGATGAATGGCAGAATAGAACACTTATCACAATTCCTACTCTTCTCGTGGATGTAGTAAAGGTTAAAAGCGAACTAGTAGCCCGTATAGCAGTGCTCTCTAATAAAAACAAATCATTATAACAAACCATTCTAATGTAGATGAAGCCTATAAGCCCACCGGACTAAAGCCCTGTCATTATAGACTACCCCAAGCTGTTGACTTGAATACAGGTATAAATAATAGTATTAAATGATGACACAGGTACAAACAGAACTCTGAGCGAGCGTTCCAGCTGCAGCAATGGTTTGAAGGGGGCGGGGTGTGTGTGCTCGGGTACGAGATGTTCCGCAACCTCTCCGCTGACAACAACAAGAAGTTCAAGAAAAAGATGCTAAGGAGTTTCCAGGAGAGCCTTGTTGATCCAGGTATGAGAAATATATTGTTCATATATTACTTTTACGTGATACATCTAAATTCGATAATCATTTAATTAATTGGCAATTACAAAAATGGCTTTAGATTTTAAAAATTTACCACCACTAAATAATTTTGTCAGAAAATCTATAATATAAAAATAAATAGCTGAATGTGTTACTAACCGCAACTAGCAGCTGAATCGCTTCCGCTAATTCTTTGTTTTGATGGGTTTGTTATTGATAGGAACAGGTTCTTATGTAAAAAAAAACCTAAGCCGAAACCAAGTTCGCGGGGTCCACTAGTTACCTGTCTAAGTAATTATACCATGTACTTTATTTGGCATAGGACCGGACTTGGTGGTATGTGACGAAGGACATCTGTTGAAGAACGAGAAGACCAGTCTGTCGCAGTCAATGAACAGAGTCAAGACGCGACGCCGCATCGTCCTCACCGGCACGCCGCTACAGAACAACTTGAAAGAATGTGAGCTGTAGTTACAAATTTAATTCTTAATGTTCTCTTCAGTAAAACGAAATAAGTTACATACTCGTAGCAGTCCTATTGGTCCCTATTATTCGGTATTTACTAATCACGAATGTTTGTTTACTCAATAAAAATAAATTATTATTTACACATCAATAAATTGTACTAAAAATAATGAAATTTAAAATGTAGTCTTGCTTATGCTATGGTGCGAAAAGCTAAAAAATAATCTAGTCTTTTTAGCATATAACGACGTTTTCTGTTTGCAAATGTTAATATTACTCTATTTTCTATCTAGACTACTGCATGGTACAATTCGTGAAGCCGAATCTGCTGGGAAAGTACAACGAGTACTTGAATCGTTTCGTGAACCCCATCACCAATGGCCAGTATACGGACTCGACTGAACATGACATCAAGGTCATGAAGAGACGGTCCCATGTACTGCATAAAATGCTCGATGGAGCTGTTCAGGTATATGTTCATGCAATACGGTAGTTGACATCTAGACAAATACAAATACAAAATTAAAAACATTATGTTTTTTATACAAAAAACAGACGTTCCAACCCATACGGCTTGGAACGTCATCATATGTAATTAAAATATTATAATTTTTTTAGTATGTAAACTATTTCTTTTATGTGTTTTTTTTCTTATTTGCATTGACATTGAACGCGTCCAGATTTAAGGGGCGTCGCACGTGCTCACACTCGCACTCGTGCACGAAACTGCGCAAATGTCAAAGCTTCCTTACTCGCGTCCACATGTTACAGTATATTAGGAGTTTGAAAATGCGCAAAAGGTTTTAAATACTGCCACTCGCACGCGGCTCGTGACGGCCAAAGCGAGTGTGAGCATGTTGGACGCTCGTAACGATTAAGACAAGGATTCGTTAAATAATAATGTTATAAGCTAAAACTCGGTCGTCGGTCATGTATAAACAATCCATATATTTTTTTAAAATCAATTTCAAAGTCAATGCATGTATTTGTATAACTACGATAAAGACAACGCATAATGCAGTATAGCGAATTGTTTTATTTATTTAAACCACCTCACTCACATTGAGTTTGTTTCGGAATTTCTTCTCAGAGTAGTCAGTTAGGTTTACTTATCGTTCGCTTGATAAAATTGACTTGTAAAAGTGCTGCCTTGTAACCTATTTGCAGAAATAAATTAATTTGTTTCGCTTCAATTTTTGATATAGGTTTGAATGATGATTCACTTTACAGAGGAGAGACTATGGGGTGCTGGCGCCCTTCTTGCCTCCGAAACACGAGTATGTGCTCTTCATCACTTTATCCGACGTGCAAGTCAAGCTTTACCAATTCTATTTGGATAACTACTCTAGAAGGTACGTGTTTTATTTAAATAATAATAATAAAGTGTGATAATAATTTAAATAATAATACTAGATACTCCCGCGCGGGTTCACGCGCTCTGTTCAGCTGCTATTGATCGCAGCGTGATGCTTTATAGCCTAAGCCTTCCGAGGAAGGCTAAATATTAGGCTAGATATGGAGATAAATACACAATAATTATTCAAATCGCACCAGTAGTCCAGGTGTATACAATAGTATAAGATGTTGGTTGCTTCCTCCCTTATTCAAAGGACAATGTAATTTTTTGCAAGACAGTTGGTTGTTTTCCGACTAGTTAGACAAATAGTCTGTTTCATTTCTTTCTCATGATCGTAAATCAGTGATGTTATGTGATCTACGCAAAAATAATAAGATAGTGAATCTAGTAGAAAGTAGATGTAAAGAGTTTATTGACTTGAATCATCTTCACCTAAAATTTTTTCGCAGGCCGCTACCTGGTAAATCCTCTGGGTTCCTGTTCCCTGACTTTCAATCACTGCAGAGGATATGGACACATCCACTTGTCCTCAAATATAACTCGGAAAGATATGAAATTATGCAGCAGAAAAAGGTACAACACAAAACATACTTTCCTCAAACATAATTCTTAATAATATTTTACGATATTTATTGTTTTTACAATAACTATCGTGAGACATACTCAATTAACTAAAAATCGCAGGTTAGTCACGTGAATATACTGAGATAAGCTCATCGCCGAAGCCGCGCACGCTGGTCACGAAGAAGAACCGAAACTAGCAGAGCTTTTCTCAGTATATTCACGTGAGTAACCCGCGATTTTTAGTTAATGATATATGTATATTCTTTTGTTCTGTATGTCTTGTAAATGGAAAAGGACCTGCCCTAGGATCTTTTGTTTTTTTTAATAATATTGCTCTCTATTCTTTATTATGGATTGTATTAATTTATAATACTTTCCTTTTTCAGAGGGAGAGAGAAGAAGAAGACTCGGAAGGATCATTAGTAGATTTTATAGATGATGATTCTACTCCAGAGGTTAGTTGTGTATTTTTATTTGAATATGCAAGGAGCATTGAATAGTAAAAACTACTAGTAATAACTACTCAATCAGGTAATCTTGCAAAATAACTGTCGGTCTAAAGTTTCATTAACTTTAATTCAATTAATAATACCAAAAACATAATAATGGTTTGTTGACTGCAATAATTGTATTGCAATATTTGTAGTGACAAACACAGTTTTCATTCAAAATCGGTAATAGGAATGAAAATTAAAAATCTATTTAGTTCATCAGATAGGTAATAAACAAATATTAGACTCGTATTTATTTATTTTGTCGCATCAGAAAATAATACTTAGTTAAAACGAATCCAAAGTTTAAAAGTGGGAGGTAAAACGTCATTTACATACATACATAACTTCACGCCTGTCTCCCATGGGGGTAGGCAGAGACTATGGTGGACTTTAAAATAAAAAGTAGTCATCTACCCTATTGTAATAGTTTTGATGATGATACCAATATTTATATTTTGTTACAGGAAACTTCAACAGAAGAGTCGACGGATGAACTCTCAGATATGAGCGATGACAGTCGAAAGAAGAGCAAGAAGAAGAATAAGGGGAAGAAGAATAAGGGTAAAGACTCGAAGGTGGGCACGCGGCGGGGCACCAGGGCCAACCCAGGTAACGGTAATGACAATCAAACTCTTTATTATTGCTGTGTGGTTTGGTGGTTGGTGATTTGTTAGGAGGACCATAATAATACCTTACCTAGGGTTAAGAACATTCTTCTTTTCTATGTTGCTTCTTCTATTCTTACTTATAACACCATTTTATCTCAAACACCATTTTAAACACAACTGTTAAAATGTACTAATGAAAAAAATATTTACTTTCCCAAAAACAATATCCATTTCATACAATAATTGATTTAAAAATAAAATACTTTTCAGATAGTAATGCTTGTTTATTTACAAATATTTTGTGTTTTTTACTCAGTGGAAGCGGACGAGGACGATCCGGACGTGGCTGAGGTGGTGGAGGTGAGGAATGAGAACCCGACGGAGTGGTGGATCAAGTTGGTGGAGGAGGAGGAACTCGATGACATGCGCAACTCACACAAACTCGTTCTCCTGTTCGACATCCTACGCCAGTGCGAGACTATTGGGGATAAACTGTAAGCTTGTTTTATGCGTTATTGTAGATATTGTAGCGAAAAAATATTTCGGCTTTTCATTATGCTGTGAATTTAGACACTATTTAATATTAATATGGTGATTATATCGTACCCGATATCCTTAAAATTTGTTGATACAAAAGCAATCTCTATACATCGGAAATAAGGTATATAAAAGAGTTAGTGGAGAGCGGTCACCGGTGACCACTTGGGAATTGAACAGTTAATATAGTTTAAATGATTAGTAACTTATGGATCTTTGAAAAAAAAATAGCAAATATATACTAAAATGAGTGGTGAAAATAAATTGAAATTATTTGTTATATGAAGCGAAGTTATGCAATACTTCTTTGGAAATGGGACAAAATACATACTGTTTTTCCTTTTTTACCAGATTGGTGTTTTCGCAATCGCTGTACTCTCTAGATCTGATAGAACACTTCCTAGGTAAAGTAGATGAGGCGACGCAAGAAGGACGTATCGACGAGAAACTCGGAGGACATGTCGGTAAGAAATGTTAAAACAATTTTATCTTTTGTAGCTACTTTCGCGTGGTTTTATCCGCTCTGCTCGTCTCCTATTGACCGTAGCATTATTTATTTATTCCACTTACATTTATGTTTACAGGCTAATGCCCAATGCGATATGTTTGATTTTATTTTTTTATTTATTTTAATAGCCTATAGACTTCTTAGACAAATAGATTCTTCTAACACAACCATTATTCAATTCGAACCATTGGTTTCGGAGATTAGTGCGGTCAAACAAAGTCCTTATTCAGCTTTATATAATAAAAAATTAAAGTTATTAAGTAATTATAAGATTATATCTCAGTATAAAATATATGTATTTCTTGTAAACCGTTTCCAACTTTCCTTATCAGACAATATGGAAAACAGACAAATGAGTCTACAGTTCAGTTTGTTTTGTTTGACTCATAATTATTTACATAAATTGTATTTAAAAATAATAACTCAAATTATTGACATTTTCCAACCGAGGTGAAGTTGTAACAAAAGATTTAGTGACTTGATATTAATACAGTTACCATGTGTTTTATATAATTTTATAAGTATTATATTATTTGTATGTTTCCCAGGTTCATGGGCACCCGGCGTAGATTACTTCAGGCTGGATGGGTCTACATCTTGTGAGAACAGATCTATTTGGTGTAAGAACTTCAACAGAGAAGATAACCCCAGAGCTAGGTCAGTATCGCATCACGCACCATATCACATAGTATCTTCATTGCCTATAAAAAAATTAGGTTAACTAACCCACATTTGCGCAAAATCAGGATGTCAATAAAATACGTGACATTAAATAAAACTGTGAAATGAATATGAACAAATTATAAACAATTGACTGGACATCTTTTACCACTGATAAACAAGCATCGCTTCCACACGTATTTTTACAGGATTTTATTTAGTTCAGCTGTTCTCGTGTTTGTCTTTCTTTAACAAAATCTTGTTTTAAATGCATTTATACGTAATTTGTTCTAACTCATTCTTATTCTACAAGCTATGTACCAGTATAATGTGAGTAATTTACTACAATTCTTGGATCCAGGTTATTCCTAATATCGACTCGCGCGGGTGGCCTGGGTATCAACCTGGTGGCCGCCAACCGAGTGGTCATCTTCGACGTCTCATGGAACCCCTCACATGATGTCCAGAGCATATTCAGGGTCTACCGATTTGGACAGAAGAAACCTTGCTATATTTACAGATTTTTAGCTATGGTAAGTTAAGATTAAATAATCTACTAATTAGTTATTTTTTTTACTTATTTAGATTCTAAATCTAAACTTTATTCCGATTTATATAGTCAGTTGTATGTTCTACATACCATCATTTTTGTTATGTCTATTACTGTGACTAGGGTACAATGGAGGAGAAGATTTATGAGCGCCAAGTGACGAAGCAGGCGATCTCTAAGCGAGTAATCGACGAGCAACAGATCGATCGACACTACGCTGAGAACGACCTCGCCGAGCTGTACAAGTTCGAGGCTCGCCCCAACGAGCCCCGACCTATACCCGCGCTGCCCAAAGACAGACTCTTCGCTGAAATGCTCAGGGAACACGAGGCTCAGGTATGATACTTCAACGGACTATTTTTTACTTAAAAAAAAAAGTAAAGTAAAGTATCAATTTATTTTTTATTTGATCTTATTGGAAATATTATACATGAGTTAAATTTCGAAAGTCATCTTCTTTGTATATTTATTATTGTTAATAAAAAAAGGAATGTGTATATTATGTTCTATTTCTACTTTAGATTTACAAGTACCACGAGCATGATTCTCTGCTGGAGAATAAGGAGGAGGAGACTCTTAGCGAGGAGGAGCGAAAGGCTGCCTGGGAAGACTTCGAGAACGAGAAGAACAGGCCGCCGCCCGCGCCCTTCCCGTCCGCCTGGCCCATGCACAATGGAATGAGTAAGAATCTACTATTACGCCAAACTAGTTCCCTAGTGGCATTGCCGGGAAAGAAGTGTGTGTGACCGTGACGTTTGGTGGCAGTGCCGGGGCTGCTGGCGGCGCAGCAGCAGCAGCTGGCGTACGCGGCGCTGGCCGCCATGCTGCGCAAGGACATGCCCAACATCAACGACAACCAGATCCGGGACATGCTGCCGCTCATATACAACTCTAACCCAGGGGTCAGTACTCATACCTCACATTTTGAATCACTTCTCATCATCAGTATTTCTTAAAATTTATCTAGGTGATTGACGACTCATTTCAGAGTGCCTCGAGAAATCGCCATATGTGAATAAATAATTTGCTTTGAATTATGAATGTCTCATATTGAACACTTATGTGTTAAAAACAAAACTTTTTGTGGAGTATGTAGTAAATACCAAATATTTGAATTAAAGTTTCACTAGAGAAATGGTGCTGCCTAAAAATATCGAATGATTTATCCAACTGATAAAATCTACATACAAGAATAAATCGATTAGGGACAAAAAATAAAAAGATTTATTTTTCTCAAAAAAAATTAAAATGTACAGACTTTTTGGTGGCTACTAACCATCTTGCTCATAATATGAAATTATAAGAGGGGCTCTCTTATAATATCGTTTGCACTATTATAATGTACATATTATACTATAGCGCATATATATATAATTAAAATCCAAAAAAAACAGGACTAAAACTATTGCTGTACATTTAAAAAGAAATGTTCAGTATATTAATTATATATACCTGTAAATTCGTAATTTAATATCATTCTAAACTTTTGTGACCAATTTAAAATTAATCGTATAAGAGACTGTTCTCTTCAAATCATGCATCATCCTCTGTGTTATTAATGTCAATGTTTTACAGTTAATTATAAAGCGAAATAATATTTTGCAATTTAAATCTAAATTGTTTTATACTGCTGCCTCGTTGGCCGAGCGGTCGTAAGTGCGATTGCCGGGCACGGGGTCTTGGGTTCGATTCCTGGGTCGGGCAAAATATTAATGTTTTTTTTTTTAATCCCAGTAGTAAGTAGCACGAAATCTGGAATTGTGCCCAGTATATTACAATAGGCACACCTCCTATTACATGGGACTCATAACATAAATAGTGAAAAGTGGGTGTTACATTGTGCAGTGGCATTAAGTGCAGTAATGTGCACCTCTGCCTACCCCTTCGGGGATAAAAGGCGTGATGTTATGTTATGTTATTTTATATTTTCCACATGAATGACAGAACAATAGGACTAAAGTATTACATTATTAATTAAACCAATAATCAAGTAACAATTAATTCACATTTTACATTTATTTGTCTAGATGTTCGGTGGATATGACTTTGGCGTAAGTTTTAGTCGATATATTAGTATAGCCCTTTAATATGTATGGACGCCTAGTCTAAACGCCGTTTGGTACATTATTTTTATGTTTCAAGCATGTTATTATGATTATTTTGTAGAGATGCACAACTTGCAGATTTACCTTGATGCTTCAATGACGTTATATTTTATTATACCTTACAGTTGATTCAGAAAATGTCTCAACTTTACAAGTTTACACCACCGGGGATGATGAATCCCAGTATGATGAATGCTGTTATGAATTCTGGTGAGTTATTACATAATATACATAATGCTACATATGTTTTTATAATAACTATCGTGAGACATACTAAATTAACTAAAATCGCGGGTTACTCACGTGAATATACTAAGAAAAGCTCGCGGCGATGTCTGTAGGCTGTAGTAGGCTGCGCGACATCAGCGATTTTAAGTTAATCTTACATATGTCTTTCATGTGAGGTATCAAGAAAAGATAATGTTATACCAAATGGTATGATGATAAATTTGACAATTATGAGTGTCTTCATCATCCATAGCTCTTGAGAGTCCACTGCTGAACTGTGGGTTTCTACAAGAGAGTCTAGCCTTCACTTCTACACTTGACAAGCAGGTTAGAGATCGCAGTCTAAAAGGACCAGATTTATGAAACGTAAATGCTGTCTGGTGTGTTACCCTGCGGAATGAGCAAGCGTAGTAAAAGATGATGTGTTGTATGAATGTACTATACGTGTTGCGCTCCCAGGCGGCGGCGCGGGCGCGTCGAGCGGCGCCGCGGCCAGCTCGCTGCAGTACGAGCCGCCCTGGCTGCGGCAGCAACAACAACAACAACAGATGCGGCTGCAGCAAGTCATGCAGCAAAACGTCAGTACTACTACGTATATTTATTTAACAGATGGGGAGTGTCATACTCTTACTGACTAATTTATCCTCATTTTCATATGCATGCAGTATATCTGTAAGCTACGTGTTTACGGAGTGCTAGAAGTCTTTAGATTAATTGCTGAATAAACTTACAGACCAAGATCACAGCTACTATCTTATCATTTTTTAAATCACTATCTAATATTTATTAACTCTTATTTAGTAAAACTAATTAATTATTATTCATGATGGAGCAGATACTTGATACTGCTGCCATCACTAACTTCATAGCAATTGTATGAATTTATCAATAACATTGTTTTATCATGACATGTATGTGCCATGTACATTCCGTTGACCAGCGCTTGACGCGCATTTTGCTAGTGCGTGTTTGCAAGATGAATCATTTCAAATTTTTCTAACTGCATACTAAACCATAACCGTACAGCAAAAAGCGCGTCAAGCGCTTGTCATCTGAATTTTACGTAACTGTGTACAGCAAATGGGCGCGAAGATCTACGCCGGCGGACTCGGCAGCCGCGACCCCGTGGCCATGGCGCTGCAACAGCAACGCTCGCGCGAGATCCTCATGGCCGGCGCCGGCGCGCGCCCGCGCGGCCGACCGCCCCTCGCCGCGCGCCAGCACCCGCCCACCTTCGCGCAGGACGTCGTCAACCTCGACTCCGACTAGATGGTGCGGAGCGTCTCTACAAGCATTCATTCAGATTGACCCTAACATATTTAAACAATCCTTGTAAGAATGATTTGATATCTTTTACAGGTAGAGGTGCAAAGTGGACCGAATATGTACAGTGAACGATAATAGGTGCTACACTGCTATATGGAGTGGAGTGTCGTCGCCGCGGACTGGTCGGTCGGGCGGAACATTACTTCCACCAGCCGACCGAGTCCACTGCGCTCTACACTCGAGGTAATCATCTGGCCAAAATACAGTGATATTTTGGAGTGTTAGCTCCATAAATGTAGCTTTTCGCCTTGAGGCTTGCGCTCTTAACGCTACATATCAAGAATCTCAGTATTTTATTTGTAGTTCTGAACATTTTAGACGTTAGCCATGTAATGTCCATTTAATTTCCTGGTGAGATAAGTGATGTTCTCATATTGAAGGAGAACCACTGTTTCGGTAAATTCAACAACAGCGGAAGCCTAAGGCGTTATTAGTAAATGATAAGACGCACAAGTTTGGTCATATTTTAAGCTACAACATATAAGTAGATGTGCTCAGTCTTGAAATGTGACACTTGTGCCTGTGGGAGTTAACATTCTATGCTTTCTGACACAGTGTAAGGATGATGTAAGGTACTGTCGAACAAACGAGGCATCCTGAGAAAGCTTCTGGTTATACTATATCTTATATTTATTGTTGATTTATTTAATGAATTTAATTTCATAAAAAATCATGTTTTGTTCGTAACAAGTCTGCTAGTACACACCAGCTGTAAAGGTCTATTTTACAGCCATACATTTTAGGCTTACGTATATAAACATTTATATTGATAAATAATGTTTAAAAGTATTGTACAGAAGCTGCTGCAGGATGCTTCAGGTGTCAGTTTGGTAAATTTTAACTATATCTCTCAGTACAGGAAATTAGCATAAGTTATATGTTTGTAGTTAGAAAACTTCTGTGTGTTTAACATAGTAGTGATCGCGAGAGTGCGCACGGAAATGTATGACCGTACACTAGTAGGAGTAGTGAGCAAATGGAGTGCAAACACATTAATTCCATTTGTAGTGAACTTGTTATACATAAACGAACCAGCAATCAATGATAACAACACAATGTTGTGTTGACCAATGCATAGTATGTATTCACTTGAATCGCAATTTGTACTCCATTTGATCATTATTCTGTGAAAAGCACCCACTATGTAAACAATATAGTGATAATATATTACTCTACATATAGTTACTACAACACCAACTTAACTAAATGTTATTCATTGGTTTATGTATATTTAACCAATATTGGACTGTAAAATTAGAAAACTAGATTTCAATATACATATTATCAACTCTGCACATAAACCATTAGTAACATTGATGTTCAATTTTAAGATTAGATAAATATTATTTTGGTGATGTTTATTATCACATGTTTTTCTGCAGTGGTAATTCAATTTTAAATCAGATCTGTTTTAAAATCCCCTTAGAAATAATGAAGGTAATTTAAGTTAATACAAATTATATGAAAATGAAGACAAACATGATCAGTAAGCTGATTTCATATAATTATACCTAGTTGTTACTGTATGTTCTGTATGGCTTGGACCTAGAGTATTTATTTCCAAATATATTTGATTCCATTCAGTACTATGATTTAAGCGTTGGAATAATTGTATACTAGGTTTGCTCATGAAACATTTATTATTATTGGTGAAATGTTTACTAGAATGAGATCTTAGGGGAAACAATATTTGTGTGTTTTGGGCTTAGCAATTATTGTTCATAACTGTGTACCCACATTGCATTGCAATCATAGTGCAGTTTGACTGTGTTTTTATGTGCAAATACTTGATTTACGGACCCTAGTACATCACACAGTGGGATTATTTAAGTGATGTTTATGTGACTGTATTTATTTGCCTGCCGTTGAACAGGTGGTTTAGTTGTGATATTGAATAATTTTAAATTTTTGTATACGTTTATTTTAATCAAGTCACTAACGTGACTTTAATTTTAGATTCAACATCTATAGCTATATATTATTTTAGATTACATTAATGTACCTATAGCCGTAACATGGAAATTGTAGTGCATTTTATGGACACTGTTTTATGACAAATTCTCGTTGTTTTATTGTAGTTTTGGATTATTTTACAGATTTTCTATGCTTAGAATGTTATTTATACTTATTAACAATTATATTAATAAATGAGCAGTATTTCAGTTAGTTGTAAGAACATGTTATAATTATCCAGTTTAGTTCCATCTATGCACCTTCCCAAACATATATGAATTAGTTTTACTTACAAAATAATTAACATCTCGGTACCATACCATCTAATATTCAACATTATGGTGAGCCCACATTTGCGAGTGGCGCACATAGAACAAATGTCTACCATACTATGGTCGGGCCATTACAAACGTGCGAACTGTCACGTCAAAGGAATATGACAATGTCGCACAAATATCTCAAGTGTGGGCGAGATATCTGCTGTGTTATTAAGACGTCATAAAGCGAAGAGTATAATAAATATAGGGACTAAAGTCAGAATGGTTCCATTCAGGGAAAGACACGGAGCTATACAAGTCGTCTAGCGAGATCTCGTTCCCTCAGCGGAACCACTCCGGCTTTACGACGTCATAATACCATGATGCCACCTATAAAAATGACTTATGCCAGTTCTCCCACGTTCGTAATGGGTCAACTATACTATGTCTTGAGTTATCTCAACTTAAAGAAATAATAAACTTATGTTTAGATTACAAAACTATTCCATGGAATGTATGCATTATTCAAATGACGCATCATGGACAGTAGAGCTTACTTTAAAAATCATGCTTGTTTTATAATTAATCATAAATTTAATTGGATTATAAACAGTTAATTTACTGAATACTGTGTTTCCATTTTCTTATGAGTAGGGCTGAGATGGAAATTTTAAAGACAACCAGATTGATGATCTGGTGGCAAGGCGCCAAGATGGGAGTAAACCAATTATCCAGTGTCACCGCACAGCCCTATAGTTAATTTTTGTTTTTTTATACAACTACCTAGCAATAGTGTTGCTACATGAGTATTGAGAGGTTGCTACATATGAGTGAGGACTGCTGTAATTGTTTTATTATTTATGTAATATATATAATATAATTGTAACTGTAGAGAACTTCCTATTATTTTGTAGTACAATCAAATAATAAATAATTCAGAAATGTGTATATAAATGGTTTTATTTTCATTATCATATTACATTACCATTATCAGTGCATCCTTGAAATAGTGTGCAGTGGTGGATTACATCTATTCTTCATCCATTTTAGCCAGTTTTTTTTTCATTTATCTCAAAAAATACCACAGTGAACAGGTTTTGTTGTTAGTTTTGTTTTTAGTTTTTTAATTTCTGGGACTGTCTAAAGCTAAAAACTTGAAATTGGCACTCTGATGTTATTTTGCCATTAACTCGTCGAGTACCGGTTTTATAGACACAATTAAAGAACAATAGGTCGCGGTCACCGGTGACCGCTTGGTGTTTGACAGTTTAATTGAATTCCATGTGGTTCGGTTTTTCCAAAAAATAAACAGGTTGATCTGTTCAAGATGTATAATGGTTTTATTATTATACATTACTGTAAATAAGTATTTCAGTGTAAACCAGTTATTTGTACAAATACAATAACAGTGTTTAGTTGGATATAGGAGCAGGTTTGTCCTGGAGGCTGCTTCTCAAACATTTTTTTTTACTCCAGTCTACAATTGTCTCCTGTGTCGTGATTGCATTTATAAACATAGTTTCACATGCATATAACACCCCAGACCCGAAAAACAGTATGTGGATCACACAAAATTTGTGTGCAGGAATGAAACCAACTACATGTTATGCGGCAGCCAGTCCCACTGCATCAACCAAACAGTCATGAAGGTGCAATGATCTTTCTAAAATTGCTAATCCACCATGAGCTAATGTAGTAATTTATGTTCATTTTCTTATTACTTTTAATTATAGATCTTTACAGGCTGATGACAATAACAAGGTCTATAAGGGCTAAGAGTCTAATGTCGGAATACTCAAACACTACTCAATTTTAAGTCGTGCTTAAGTATAGTTCTGTCTCCACAAATTAGAGATGACACAATATTTGCACGACTTAAAATTGAGTACCGTTTCAGTATTCCGGCATAAGGCTATATCTGCAAAACCCAGTATGTTAACCAGTGACTAAGGTTTGGACAGTTAACAAACTAGGGTTTTAGAATCCTATGCAATTATACATATTCAGAACATATATAACTTGTGTTTGATTTTCTGCAACTTCACATTAAAATATTATGTATAAAGATGACTATAGAAGAAACTTTCTAATTTAAAGCATCAACATTCTGATACATGCTTATACAGTAAGTGTGGGAACACCTCCTTAGGTACTGGGTAAATTCAAACACCTTAATTGTTATTATTTACACTTACAATATAATTGTTAATCATACATTAAGATTAGGAATACCAGTCTTAACACCAATAGAGACTTCTATGTACTTCAGTAATCTGCGCGCCAAACAAGTTGCATTCTCAGAGTCAAACACATTTGCAGTTAGAATGTCGAGTTTCATTTCGTTTTGGAAATTTATCAGTTCACTGGCACTTATTGCCATAGCGTTCACTGGAAGTCCACTAGCATTTACAAGCACCACACGGCGAATCTTTAAATCTGAATTCACTTGCAGCAAGGCATTTCTTGCCCACTTTAAGCAGAATAGTCGACTTGTGTCTATTGCTAATATAACGAAGTCGATACCGATCTTCCCGGTAAGGTCAGACCGTTTTACCACTTCTTCAAGATAAAACGACTTTAGTACAATTAGTTTCCAAAGATAGTCCCCTTTGTCGTGGACCTCTGTGAGAGCTTTTGAAAGTTTTTCAATGATATCATTATTGAATGAGAGCACGATCACTGATAATGTATTTTTACAACTTGTAGGCCCAACCCACGGTGCGACTACCACTTCTTCTTCAACCATCGACATTTTGAATTCAAACAATATATAAACCGACTCAAACACTCAAATTAAGTATAATAAATTTTGTGTAATCAGAAACAAACAGAAATACGTTTTGTTTTGAAATTTGAAAATTTGACATTTGTGATTTGACAGCTAGAAACTCATTTATTCAAATAAAAAACTTAAATTAAAAACTAACTATTACTTAAAAAAAAAAAAAATTAAAACTAAATATTACTAAATTAAAACTAAAAAATTAAAACTAAATATTACTAAATTAAATGCCTATATACAACTAAAGATTAAAATTAATTATAAGAAAAAACAAAAACAACTATTTACATAAAGCGTCGAAAAATTCGTCCGCATCGACGTCAGTGGGGAAAGTACCCAGAAGGCTGGCAGCATTGCCACGTTGTATGGCAATGCTTAGCCTCTGACCGAGAAAAAGACCAGCCCTCTGGTCACGAGATGTGTCAACCAGGCGTTTTGAGATGTTTTGGAACAATTTAAGTGCACTCGGACCCCACGGACCTAGCGTCTCAACCCCAAACGGCTCAAAGATATAACTACCAGCAAGGTTGTTATACTTGCGCCGCTTGAGGCTTTCTGCAGAGGCAGCAGCCGAACCAGCACAACCCGCCGTTACTGGAAGATGAGAAGGTGCAAGGGTGTCAACGCAGGTTGCGTCCCACACCAAAGACCTTCCCAGCTTCCAGGGCATAATGGACATACCGTCGGGTCTCTTACCATCGTCGCGTGCCAAACCCTTTGGTTCCAGAACAGCTGGCACACCGGCGATGATAAGAGCTCGGCGGATAATGTCGTTAATGCTGGCGTGTCGAGCTATCCGGCCCGCGCTTCTGCTACACGATAGGCCGTGGTGGCCGAGGTGGTCGACCATCTCACCGCATTGACAGCGATGCGGAGAAACACAGGGTGCACCTACACGCAAGCAAGCAGCAAGCCGAAAAGTTGAGTCATTCAACATCGTGCCAATATTGAGTGACGGAAGTGCCTGAAGCCAGAGGCCTGATTCCCACTCACCCACAGCCAATAGGCGAGCTAACTCCGCAGGATTGGTGCTGGTATTAATTAGATTATTATGCACCAACCTGCAAAGCGGCTCGTCCCATTGTCTCTGGGAGGAAGGGTTGACAGGCAAGGCTGTATTGGGACATGTTTCTGTCCAGACGTTCATCGCGTCGGTCAGACACGGCACATCAGGTTCAGCGTCAACACCAGCTAAAATTTTATTTGTTAACGTTCTAGTGCTGTGGACAGAAGAGATGAACGCCGGTAAACTTACACTGGTAATTTTGCGGACGCCTAGACCACCAAAACGAATTGGTAGTGTGGCTTGAAGCCAAACACGATCGTCCATAGAAGCATTCAAAAGTGAAGTTAAGGTGTCACGGATAATTTGATCAATTTGGTCCAGAATATGCGGATGCTTCCACAGAGGGGAAGCACGCAGAAAATACATAAATTTTGGGCCGAAACAACAATAGCGAATTAAAGTAAATGCACAATGTAGATTAATTTTGGAAAGTCTATCGGAAATGTCACAGAAATTTTTAATTTTCTCGTTTATGAAATCAGAGAAACTGTTTTCGAAAATTGGGGAACCCAGGAGAAGAAGAGAGTTTTTATCAACAATTTTTAAATTCGGCGCTACGGTAGAAAAAGTGTTTAAAATTTGTTGACTATCGATAATTTTGTCCGGAAGGTAAATTTCGCATTTAGAAATATTTAATTCTAATCCGATGGATTTAAATTCAGAAATCAAAAGCTGTAAGTCATGGAAAACAGTATCTGCGTCACCTCCTAGGGTTCCATCGTCCAAATACCAAACATTAAATTTAGATTTAAGTTGCCGAATAATAGGGTGAATGGCCAGACTGAAAATGACTGGACCAAGAGGATCACCTTGTTGGCAGCCTACCGCAGAATCCAAAACTTTGTCTTTATACAATAATTTTGAAGGTTGTCTATAGCACTGCCAAATAAAACTGTAAATTTCAGGTAATTCTTTTTTAACTTCAGCCAACAAAGTGTCCCTGTTGATGGAATTGAATGCATTTTTTACATCAACCTTAAGGATGACCTCACTTTCGTTTGCATTCAAGAAAGATGATAGGGTGTGTACGGCAGCCTCACAACCCCCTTTTGAGCCAAAGCCTAGTTGGAGGGGTTGAAAGTGCGACATGAGCGCATCTTTATGATAGCTGCAACACAACTTGGCTGCCATACGCCTGTAAGTACATCCTACGGCAATGGGGCGTATGCCGCCATCTTTCTTGCGTAGGGCACATAGATTGGCCCCGTACAAAATGTCGATAACGGCATCCGTCACATTACCGGAGAGCATTAAATTAACCAGAACCGTTAGCTCCTTCAGAAGAGACTCACCGGCTTCCCCGACGTCTGGCCCCGTCAAATCCTTAAGATGTTGAGGAGTCAGACCATCAAGTCCACCAGCAGAGCCACTGCGGAAGGAGCCAACGGCTGCAGCTACTTGCTGGACAGTTGCGGTGAAAATATGGATATCATGTTCAGGAGGATCGGGAAAAGTGAGGTCAGCCCTAGCAGGCGGGTGTTTACTCTTCAGAGCTTCAAAAGTTTCTGAAGAGTAGGGAGCAACCACGTCACTACTGAATAAAAGCCTGGCGGCTCCACTTATATCACCTTCACCTAATTTGGATTCTACGTAGTCAAAACGAGTTTTTTTAATATTATTAAAGGAGTTAGGAAATTTTGGATCTAAAATGGGGTTCAAAATGTTACAATTACTTTTAATTTGTGAGGTTAAGTTTTTTTTAACAGCCAAATTTTTTTTTACGTGTAGAATCCTGTAGGGGAAGGTGAGTAACTGCTCCCAAGCCGAGAAAGAGTTCTCTCGAGTTGCAAGACGAATGCAATTTCCTAAATTAAGAGCAACGGACCGTCTTGCACCACGAGGAACTCTTTTTAAAACGGGTGTAGAATTTTTGAATTTGGATAAAGTTTCCCATAAAGGCTGATTTGAAACCGGAAAAGAATTTTGTAGAGGAGTAGTGTTAGAGGGGGATAAGGATACACTATGAGATTTATGTATTTTTCCATAATGTATTCTTAACCCGCGTTCTCCTTTAAAAAATCGAGGCTGAGAGCATAAAGAACATCTTACCAGGCTCTCTATAGGTTGATGGGCACATTGAGAAGCACTTCCAGACTCAACAGCTGCATCACATGGATGCATGTAGGTCGAAAGCCCTCAAAAATGTATCAAAAATCCTAAAATTAAACAAACTAATTAAACAATAATAATTAAACTCATAAAAAGAAAAATCGGTCAAGGCCGGGCAGCCGCGCTGTAGCGCAGCGCCGCGCTGTCGCGCAGCGCCGCGCTGCCGTGGTGTTCCGCGGCTCCACGCCGTCCATATCTTGAGAAAGACTGTTCGCCCATTTTCGCTATTTGACAGCTTGTATTTATTTGACAATATTTTAGAGTTGCCATATATGTACGAATTGAATAAATGTCGTATAATTAAGAAGCTATGAATGATACCACTACTTTTAAGAGTTAAGACGTACCTACTGTCCACATTGCTATCAAATGACGCATTCATCACTAACAATAAGCTACTTATAATGTCAAAATGCTTGCATCTTGCTAAGAAACAATGAAAATTGTCCACGAAGCGGCATTTAAATCCGCCTTCCTTGGCATGTAACGATAGGCGGACTTAGCACTAATGATTAAATTCGTATCTTTCATTTGTTTTGTATTTCAATGTGATTAATAAAAATGGTTATGTTACGCTAGGTAATAAGGCAACGAACGTCAATCTGGAAAATTGATTTCACCCATTAAGCGCCAAAATTGAACTAGCAAAGTTATATGCAAAACGTTTATTTTACTACTGTGTTGACATAAAAATATCCATTAATGTAGAAAAAATCTAATATAATATACAATTATATAAAAATATAATATATAATTAGTGTCTATTTTGGAGGCTACTACTTATTCCCTTATTACATATAATAGGTATATAAAAATAAAACATTTAGTATTTTATTTGAAGATATGTATGGTGTGATATATTTGTGTAGGTACATACCTACCTACACAAAAATTACATTAAACGGGTTAAATTCTTCATTTTACTGCCTGGTTGGCCGAGTGGTCACAAGTCCGACTGCCGGGCGAGGGATCTTGGGTTCGATTCCCTGGTCTGGCAAATTTTACTGGGTTTTTATAAAAAATCTCACCCCCTATTACATGGGACTCATAACATAAAAAGTGAAAAGTGGGTGTTACACTGTGGTGACAAAGTACCGTAAAGTGCTCCTCTGCCTACCCCTTCGGGGATAAAAGGCGTGACGTTATGTCATGTTATATTGTCTTCAATTTACGCTCGTAAATTAAACGGAGGATTGAAAATAAGAAGGACATTAGATAACAGAAAACATTTTAATAAACTATCTAGGTAAAACGGAATCCGGGTAGGTAAACTCAATGAGAGGTCGCTTCGGTTCATGCGGCAGCAAGAGATTTATTTTCTTTTAGACGGCAACTAATATCATTTGCAAAATTTACTACGGTCCTGTGGGAAGTTAATTAAATCGTGTTGATTATGCACTCCAAAACTTCTAACTCACTGCACCAGAACGACATCATATCTTAATCCTATCCCAGTAAAAAGAGGAGTGTCCAGTGCCTGGTCACAACAATCTTATTATTTTAGAAATCCTTCTCTGGAGCCCTGACCCCGTGGTTATGGCTACCGTGTAGCGTGGATTTTTCCCGTTACTGGTGGAGTGGTGGCCTACCTACTGCTTTTTATATTTCTTAATGTTTTTTATACTTACAAATGTGTAAAACAAGTGTGGTAAATAAATGTTTAATTAATATAATAATTATGTTTTTCTAACATTATTATATTCTTCCGATGCAAACGCTTGGTCCGTTGGCTGGTTGGGCACGAATCCCGCGACGGTTCATTCGACAGACATGCTCCTCTAGACGGCTGGCGATCTGACTTCCATTAGACAGGGTGTATTGAGGATTCAAGGCAGACCACAGAACTTCCGCAGGAGCGCTAGCACGAGGCCACACCCTAAAATCAACCAAAAACTTTGCAGTGCATGCACGTGATTTGTTTCGAAATGTTGTAAGAGGTCACACAGGCCCACATTTATGCACTATTTAAATATTTTATTCAAAAATGTAAATAAAATATTTTATGAAAAAACAAACAAAGAACGAAATTGTCCCACAAAAATCAGTGTCTTGTAGTGTAGCTGTCTAAAAAAAAAAATAAGTAATGGACAAGATTATTGGTTTAAAGATCTTGTAAACTATTTGACATTTCTGCCAGTATTAGTACCTACCTATTAATAAATGTTTATTCATGTATTGACGACAATTTAAGACTAAAACCACATAAATCAAATCAGTACTTTTTATTTATTTATGTTTTTATAGTTCGGGATATTTTGACCAAAACCACAAATGTTGAATATTTCAGAAATTTGCCACTTTCGGAATAGGGACCTCAGGGCTAATTTTGTAGAAAATTCGTTGCATCACCTTCCGAGAGGAATATGTGAAGTTACAAGTTACTCTGTATAATAGAAGTAAGTATTCCTTATTAATATAGCACAATACAACAGCGCAATGTTATAATTATAAACACGTCTTGTGATGATCGCAAAACTCACCTAGCAATGAAGTTGGTATCATCAACTACTTCGCCCCACATACAAGCTTCACCGCCAACAATATCTTCTAGATTCAATGATTTGGAATCTATAATGCGCCGAGGATCGTAAACGTAGAAGTTGTACCAATCTCCACCATTACTGAGTTGGTCTAGGTACCAGGACGAGGAGTAAATGACTTTGTGACGTTTGGCCAGGATCTAAGTAATTAATGTCAATTAATTATAGGTCCCAAGTGCAAGTTTATTCGCAAAGTAAGGTGGTGTAAGAAGCGACATCTTCATACAGGTCATGAGTGTCGTATTTTATGTGTAGTACCTATAGTAAGTATTGATCGCAGTGTGATGTTTTGGTTTTAGTAAAATGAATGATTGTTAAAGTAAATTTCATGTAAAGAAAAGTTAGAGAAACCGATTTCAGATTCCTAAGGTCATTTAGCCGTACGTCATACGCATACCATTCGTCAATAAATTGATCTCGCTTGCATCTTCCATAGAACCATTTAAAACTGAGTCTACAGAGCGGCAACGTCTTGCGTCCGTCACTACTCATTCAAATCCGCTTATCATGATCATCATTTATCATCATCGGTTGCATGTATTCGTCAAATGGCGTCGAAGACAGAGGCCTTAGTACGGGGTTTCATTTACGTATAAAGTAATCGTATCGAATACGCGTTCGGCGCTCTGATTGGTTGGTTATTTGGCGCCGGCCAATCAGAGTGCCGAACGCACCCTCCTTTCGAATACTTTAAACGTAAATGAAACTCAGTAGGCCTAATACTTATTTGTACATAAATCCATCCTACGGTTGTCTGGAAATGATCACCTTGCGAGTTATGACCGCTCGTTGTTCACACTACACTGAAATTTTATGTTGTCCTCTATTTGAAGAATAAAGTATAAATAAATAAACATAGGTAGTTATGGCGGATGACGACATCATTTTCTAAAATACCCAACACTATTGTTTCCAACTTCGACCAAGATTCACTTAATTTAGTAATAATACTTTTCTGTAATTTTATTCAATAAATTAGTTGCAACCAATTTCGTCCTTATTTGCAACTTGCCTGCCGGAAAGACATAATTAACCCAACTTACTGCAATCATATCCTTCGATCCAATAGTTTTCCACACTTGTATGATGGCGTCACTAGGTAACACCGCACCGTCATAGAAGACCTCCTGGAAATTTTCAAGGGAAATTCTCATAATTGGGTACTTACCAACTAGTCAAATTCAATACTTTTTTGGAACTGTCAAAAATGACAGTTTTCTATGAATTTTGTACGATATTGACAAAAGGAATACACATATCTTAAAAAATTGCTGGAATTATACAAAAATTAAGTTGGTCATAAAATCAATTAATAAAAGTGTGATTATTTTGTAATATTTTATTGTATTGAACAGTCGAAATAATTTATTTGTGATTAAGGAAAGTACCCAATTAAAATTAATAAAAGAATTACGATACGACACCGTCTTTCGATAGTTCAAAACTATCTGACTGCACGGTTTGCGCGGTGGCTGGGTATCTGGCTGCCGTGCAACGTGCCGCGGGTTCGATTCCCGCACGGAACAACTTTTTGTATGATCCACAAAATTGTTGTTTCGGGTCTAGGTGTCATGTGTATGTGAACTCGTATGTTTGTAAATGCACCCACGATACAGGAGAAAAACCTAGTGTGGGGCAACATTAAAAAAAAAAAGACGGAGAAAGCTATTATATTATTGCACTCAAACGTACCTGCCAGACTATAGGCTTAGACTTCTGGCCCAACAAAAGAAGAACCTTAGTCATGAAGTACGCGTGCAGTTCACTGGTGCGAGTCATGTTGTGGAGAGCCATGAAATTCAAAATGTCTGGGTTTGATCTCCTGAAATTTGTGTATCTTTTTGATTTATTATAATAATATGTATACATCTGTACTAACATTTATTAATATCTGTATTTATAATTTATTAAAAGATTCCTTTTTTTTAAGGGGGGAAAATCATCGAATGGCTGCTCCCGCCTGGTCGAGCCGGGAGGGAGTGTCAGACTCTTATTGACTAAAAATCACCCCGTTCCTGCTCGGAGCCCCGGTAACCCGTTAGGTTCTCCGCGACTCCGAATCGGCATCAGCCCTGTTGGGCCCCATCCGTGGTGGTGGTAATAGATTCCTTAGGGTTCATTTTCTGAGGACGTTTAGAGTAGGTACCTACTTTTAAGCTTCTTCTCATGAAGAGCGATAGCATATTGTTTAGGATCGTTTATATATCAATATTTTTAAAAAAATAGCGTAGGTAGTATTACATAGAACGAGACCTATACAAGCTTGTTCTGACGCAGGTCCTCACCGGACATGGAAGTTTCGGGAGGTAACTGTGTCTGATGGGGTGGGAGGAAACCCCCGGGTGTCATCATTGCGAGGACCGCCCTGAGGACACGGTGGCACACTGTAGCGGAATGCCCTGCGTGGGCTGAGCACCGCCGTGCCCTCAGGGAAGTGATCGGCGATGGCGACCTCTCGCGTGCAGGCCATGATGCGGAGCGAGGGGGACTGGGATGCCGTCTCCTCCTTTTGCAGCAGTAGTCATGCTAGCTAAGGAGGAGGCGGGACGCGTGAGGCAGCGAAGCGCTGCCTCCTCGCAACCCAGCCATCGCGAAGGACACACCGGGCGTCGGGGATCGCGGGACGATCTCCGGCCACCGTAAGCGCGGGCCTGCGGACGGCGAGCATGGGTGGCTCCCCGTCCGACCAGAAACAGACCCGAGCGTACGGCGCGTCGCGTTCCGCCCGCCTCAAAGAGCCATCAGACCACCAAAGATGGGGCCCAATGCCCAATAGGGCCGATGCCGATTCGGAATCGCGGAGAACCTAACGGGTAACCGGGGCTCCGGCTCGACGTGCAGGAGAAGGAACGGGGTGGTTTTTAGTCAGTAAGAGTCTGACACTCCCTTCCGCCTCACCCAGGCGGGAGCAGTAATTCGATGATTTTCCCCCCTTAAAAAAATAAATAAATAAATAAAAAAATACAAGCTTGTTGCATCATTATGAGATTGATAGTTGTTACAAATTCACGATCGTCTATCGTTGGGAGATTATATCATGCTGGTAACTTAATCATCATCGTCATATCAGCCACAAGGCGTCCACTGCTGAACATAGGCATAACATAGTACATACTAGGGTTGCAAATCCTTTCTAATATTATAAATCGGAAAGTGAGTTTGTTTGTTTGTTCCGCTTTCACGCCGTAATTGCTAAGCTGATTGCTTTGAATTTTAGCAGACGTAAAGTTAGAAGTCCGGATTAAATAATAGGGTACTTTTTATCCCGGAAAAATTAATATTCCCGAGGGAAAACAAAAGTATTGGTATAGATGGCGCTGTTTGTATTGGTATATGTCACATAGGCTACTTTTTATTCTTTTTTGACGCGAGCGAAGCCGCGGGTAAAAGCTAGTAACTTAAATAAGTCTGTTTTATTACGTTTTAGTGTGCCCAAGTGCCCCAGCGTAGTCTTAGGTGGCACAGACTTAGATAACTATGTTCATGAATAAAATCTCACCAGCAGTCCATAGCAACTTCGTCACCTCCAAGATGGAAGTATTTGTCGGGGAATAAATCCTGCACTTCACGGAACAGCTCGCGTATTAGTTTGTACGTGATGTTCTGCGTTGGGTCCATAGGCCCTAAGCCTACGACTTTGCCGGACTCATAGCATTGTGTAAGAATTCCTGGGTATGCTGCGCCCCATGACTTCGTGTGTCCTGGTAACAGGCTTTTAATTTACCTACTAATGAAATGCAGTGCACCTTTTGCTCATGGGTTAGGTTGAATTTGAAACCATACAGTACAACCTACTACGTTGCTATTTTAGTAAAGTAGTTAGCTGCAACAAACATCTCCGCTAAAATCCACGAATCCAATCCTGGAGACTTACTCTTGAATCCAATTCCAATCGTCGAACGATTTTATTGACGACGTCGAACATTGGTATTGTGAAAATTCTTACTCTTGAGTTGCAACACTAGCGCCCATTGCATCCATATTGCGTGGATATTCATTGATCTTCTAAATGGTATTGAGTTTGGTAAACAGTTACGAAAGGGGTTGTACAGTTTTGACATAGAATAATTATTGAGATTTTATTGGATTGAAATTGCATTGGCATTGAGATGATGGTTTCAAGTGTAAGCACCCAGTTTTTGTCTGATTTCTATCCATACATATATTAACGTATCACGAGACACAATCGGACACGATGTGTGTTTAATGCGTGTCTGGACTTGTGTGGTTGTGGATGAAAGTATTGAAACATTAAGGCCAACTAAACGGTAAGATTCGTTAAGAGATATCATAGGCATAAGTATGAGCGGTGACTGTTGAAGGCAAAAAAGCTGTCAACCAATTTCTTAAATATTAAGATTTAAGTGCACAATCTGATAGAACGTAGCAGTCACCTGGTACGTCGAATTCAGGCAGTACCCGTATCCCCCTGTCTCTTGCGTATTTGACGATCTTATTGATGTTAGCCTTCGTGTAGACCATCGAGGGGTCGTAGGCACCTTGTTCACTGCAAACAGTCGGTGTTGCGATTTGTGATGATTATGTTTACTTAAGTATAACTAAGTACATTTTGCTATTGTTTTCGGTTACGGTTAAGTGCGTACCTTAGTTGCGGGAACTTCTCGCTCTGATAAGGAAAGCTCTGGTCATCCACAATGTGCCAGTGCAGAACATTCATCTTGTTCATTTCCATAGCGTCCAAGGTTTTGAGGGTGTTAGCGACACTGAGGTAATGCCTCGATGTATCGATAAGCAGCCCTCGATACGGGTATCTCGGGAAGTCCACGATTTGTGTCGAGTTGATGAGAACATCCTGTGACCAGACAGCAGTTCATCAGATCGAGACATTCAGGACGATTCTCACATACTTTTTAGTTTACTCACTTGAGGTAAGTAACCAGGTATTATGAATTATGGACGTAAACTCACTTTATACCCGTTAGACAAGTAGAACAACTGTGCGAAGGTTTCCATGCCCCTCAGTATGCCCCATATGGAGTCACTGGTTAGCGACGATACTGCAGAAACGTTGAGACTATCTGAAACATTATTGTGTTTTTATACGTTTTTAAATTCCCAGAATTGAAAATAATTAATTTGAAAGTTTTGGAACATCTAAAAGTTGTTTTGTGGACTGTGGCTTGTGACCATTTTATTGATCAAGTGCCCTTAACTAGGTATGATTGTCAAGTATCTCGTTCGGATTTGGTCGGATAAAGATTATCAAATTCTATTCTAAAATATTAAAGTGGGGATGCCATGCTTCGGCCGCCGTCTCGACCAGAGAGGTACAACGACCGCTCAGAAATCCGGCGTGAAACATTTCTTACTTTGTGTTTCACCGTGTCAGTGAGGTTGTCGGCATTTGTTGGAGCTCCAATCCCCAATGTGTGTGTGTCTGAGCCATAGTCGATGCGATGTGTATTCCTGAACTGCTCGTACGACGACACGTTACACTAATTGAGCTCCGGCTCGACGTGCAGGAGAAGGAACGGGGTGGTTTTTAGTCAGTAAGAGTCTGACAGCTGACACTCCCTCCCGCCTCACCCAGGCGGGAGCAGTAATTCGATGATTTTCCCCCCATAAAAAAAACACTAATTGAAAACATTGTTGTATAAATAAGCACTCACAGTTTTCATCCATATCCATGTGTGGGTAGGCCTCGCACGGTCTGCTCAGATTTATCTGCAGTTCTTCCAGTGTACCTTTGTAGTCGGGATTTGTATCCAGTTTCCGAGTTTCTGCATGCTTCCATGTTTTCTTGGAATGTCTGCACACTATGCGGTGAATGTCCCTTAGCACTATGGTGTATCGTTCAATAGCATTTTTTAATATTTCACACGTTTCCCCCTTTTCCTGTTAAATAATATCCGTTGATGGATTGGCATGGTATATCATCTTGACTGAGGGTTTTAGGTACAGCCGACTTTATATTTTCCTGAGGTAGGTATGTGCTGTGTTCCTACTTCATAGTGTCGTATCGTAATGCATCATTCCCACAAACGTATTGTCGGCCGCTAACTGCAAGCGCGAGTTACGTAGTTTATCGTTTTCCATATCTTCTATATTTCACTTCTCGTTCACACCGCACCTACTATACGCTGTTCTGTTGCGTATGACCACAGATATATGTAGTTATATCTTTGCGTATGACATTGTCGAAAGTGAGCATATTCACAGTCGGCGGCGGATAATATGTTAGTGTTAACGATGCCTTAAGGAGGCCATACACGCTAGGGTTTGCATGATGGTTATAACTTTGCATGCAAAACTGATAAACATAACCGAGCACCGATGCACTATCGGTGCATCGGTGCTCGGTTATGTTGTTGTACTGTACAGTTTGTGCTTGCCTATCGGTTATGCATGAACGGCTAAAACCATCATGCAAAGCCTAGCGTATGGCCTCCTTTGAAGCGAAGTGAAGTGAATTTATTTCTGCAAATAGGCTACAAGGCAGCACTTTTACACGTCAATAGTTTTTAGTCAATATCTAATTAGTGTTTAATGCTCACTAGGAGATCATGAATTATTTGTTAATGATGTAAATTCATCACTGCTAGACTAAACTATGATTTAAATCGTTTAGGTGTATCCGTTGAACTTGATGGACTTATCAGAGAGTGCTGCTGCCCTCTGCTATAATTTAGCCAATAATTTACATAGGCCCTACGTACATACATAAAAGGATAGTGTTTATTTCATAACTTACCGTAAATTTAAAAACTGAAGGTGATAGTTTAAAATAAGTCTGTTCCTTAATCTGCTGTTGCGGTTTTGGCCACACTTCCCCTTTCGTCGGTGGGTATTGTTGACCGGGAATAACTTTTACGATGACCAAACTTTCCAATTTTTTATCGACGTTTGGTACAAGTGGTTTTAAAGTGTTGATAAATAAAACAAGCACGGTAACTATGCAAAATAAGTTTAACATGATTAATAAAAAGCGTAGACGGTTGTCCATTGTTAAAGACGGTAAGTATCGGACGGACAGTGAATGTGCTCAATAGTTTGAGGCCTTTTCGAGTCCTGTATACAACACGCACCCGTCACAACTGAATCCACAAGAAGCGTCAGCGTTAGCGGAGACGGGGAGCAATACAGATATGGATGTTAGGCAGCTTATTGTCAAGAATGTACAAATTGCCTTTGATCGTTTAAAAGCCAAACGATTACCGGGTATTGATGGTATACCAGCTTTTCTTATTAACACACTCAATTCTATAGGCGTTACCGTTAACCGACGCGACGTTAGCCGAAGATTTGCCTTCAAAAGTTTTCTGTTGGCAGTTAAGCAAAGCCTTGAAGACTGAAACAGAATACTAGCGGAACCTGTGCGTTATGTATATAACATAAATCTGCGTTCAGGGACATTTCAACATGATGGAAAATTGCTGGCGGTATCCCAGTACCCAAAGTTAAAGGCAGGGTCTACTATTGATGGGTATGGACCAGTGGCCAGTGGTTTCAACTCCGGCTAATGTGTTTGAGTCAACTGTGTCGCGCTGCTTACAGACTTAGATATTTTACTGTGGTGTGAGATACAACGAATAACACCAATTTTGGTCATAACTTGCAAATGACAAGAAGTAGTGACTTCTTTTTGCTTTGACAAATTTTCAGAATTTATTTATGGATGTAATATATACCTAAACAGTAGCTGTAAGTTAATTGATTCATCTTATTTGCATGATAAACTTGTGTAAGAATTGAGGGCCCGTTTTGAAAGAAGGTTTACAAAGTATCTACTAGGGCAGCGTTTGCGATAATATATTTTTTCACAAAGTTTAGCTTTAGCTAATATTCTGGCATAAACACTTTTCTGTAATGTAGAGTACGTACATAAGTTTTTAGGTACAGATAGGCCCTCCATCTTCTATGTGAGAACTGAGGGCCTAACCCTCAAATTCCCAACCATCCTCAAATTCCTAATCCCCAAAAGACCGCTAACGCACTTGTAACGCTTCTAGTGTTCCGTGTGTCCATGAGCGGCGTTGATTGCTCACCATCAGTTGATCCGTCTGCTCGTTTACCTGCTTAACCCATAAAAAAAGATAGGCAGCAGTAGGTAGGTCAACTACAATGGTAATTTATCTGATCCGTATTCGGAGCAAGTCAGACAGTAATTTGGGATCTATCGAATTTTTTATTATGATAAACAACGTGCCGGATGTCGTCAAACATTGCTCTTATTATTTGCTGATGACCTGATTGCTGAACCCGAAGTTAGGAATGAAATTGATTGCAAGTGCTTGCAGGATAATATTGATTCAGCGTATCAACCACACAACGGTAACTCCATTGCGTGGTTTAGAAGTTTACCCCCGAGTTGTGGTTCCGTGAGCACATAATTAGAATTTGTTTGAAGGCTTACACTGGCTTACGAAACTTAGGATTTTTATTTAGAAAAACGCGAGATTTCACAATTACATCTGCAATTTCACAAATATGTATTTAGTAAACAAAGATCGATTCGAGGGTCGATTGACAGTCCAGAGATTCTTTGCCAGAGATACTTATTTTTCCCCTATACTTATTATACTCTTTGGTCCAGAGCAAATTATGTTAGCATAGACATTTTCCTTCCTCATTGGTCATAAGCTTAGGTCTATAATACCATAGGTAGGTATGGTTAAGGAAGTTTTAAATAAAACCAGTAATGTATAAGTAAAATACTATAACCAAAGGACTATGACTATAAATGATTGTATTAGTTAGATAGATACCTAGATAGTTTTAATAGTGTATGTCACATGTACGGCTACCTAACAGCGCGGGCCTGCGGACGGCGAGCATGGGTGGCTCCCCGTTCAACCAGAAACAGACCCGAGCGTATGGCGAGTCGCGTTCCGCGCGCGCCTTAAAGAGCCATCAGACCACCACAGATGGGGCCTAACAGTGCCGATGCTGATTGGGAGTCGCGGAGAACCTAAGGGGTTTTTTTTAAGCTTGGAAAACCAATGATCGGGGTGGTTTTTAGTCAGTAAGAGTCTGACACTTCCCTCCCGCCTCACCCAGACGGGAGCAGTAATTCGATGATTTTCCCCCCTTAAAAAAAACGGCTACCTAACAAAGTTATCTTACTAATATTGTAAATGTGAATGTGCTAACTTCTGCCAGTGGCTTCGCTCGCGTATCCGTGGGGTTAAAAGTAGCCCATATGTTATTGCAGACCTCCCCACTCAAACGTCCGCGTGACTATGATCATTGATCACCCAAAACTTTTTGGCGTTAGATGACAGCTGTCTGACTTGGACGTTTGAGTGTGTGGCGCGAGGTGGCGAAAGTGGATCATAATCAAAGAGTATAATAAGTATAGCATAATCTTCCCCTGCTAGGCTACACTGTAACTTGCCGGGGCTCCGGCTCGAAGGGCAGGAATAGAAACGGGGCGGTTTTTAGTCAGTAAGAGTCTGACACTCCCTCCCGCCTCATCCAGGCGGGAGAGGCCATTCGATGATTTTCCTCCCTTAAAAAAGGCAATATAGTAAATATTAATTCGAGCTTTCGAAGTGAGCCCGAATGCATTATATAAAATAAGACTTTTAAAATAAATTAATATTTTCTTACTTAGTCGTGAGAAAATATGTGTTTTATTTAGTTCAACACTATAATTTCATCTGGGCTTTCGAACTAGGTACCCTTGAATTAGTTTTAACATTTTAGGTACTGTGATTAGTCCTGAAGGGTTAAAAAATAAAACACGAATATAATATTTTAAACACATTTTAATAAAGCAAATTGTTATACAATTATCTGCTTGTAAGTCCTAGAAGGGACCTAAATATTGTAAATTAATTATATTGCACCAACACAGAATCCGGGCCCATTGGGTGGCTGTGCGTGTACGCCGCGTCGGTTCATGCGGCAGGTATGTTCTTCCAGACGGCGTCTTACTGCATCGGTAATACTATTGTTGTATCGTGATTCCGCACTCCATAGTTTCTCAGCCACTGCACTAGAACGAGGCCATACCCTAGAACAAAATGCAAAATTTATAGATGTGCCCGGTATACCTATGGCAAATAGGCCATCGTTATTTAGCTAGGCGCGTACGTATAATTGGGTGTTACATTGAATTTAATTTAATATAGCACGCACCAACGACGCTGAAAAACAGGCGGGTACTTAGACAAATGACTGAAGAGCCAAAATGACGTCCATGCCAAAATGTCAGTGGGTTATTTATGTGTGCGTGAGTAATGGGTTGCTAGGGTCTGTGAAGGTACCAGACTGAAGAAAATGATAGATATCCTCCGTGTCAATGTGTGTATGTTATGCGTGTAAGTCCCAGTCGTTGTTTCAAGAGACTGAAAAAGGTGGACTTTTTTTAACGTTATTGGCACGCTTGTTAATGTTTGTGTAAGTAGGTATGATTGCTACGGTCCAATCTTTACGGCATTTCTTTCCCATAAATAAAAAGATCCGTGAATCCCCAACAATCCTCAAATTCCTAAGCCCCAGAAGGCCGGTAACCCACTTGTAACGCCTCTGGTGTTCCAGGGGTCCATGGGCAACGCCATTCGCTTACTATCAAGTGATCCGCCTGCTCGTTTACCGGCTTATCTCATAAAAAAGGAACGACATGACTTCCTATAGATAAATCCATCCTATATAGATAAGTTTATCTATATAGGATGTGGGAAGTTTATCTGTATAGTTATACACAGCCACCAAATGAACATAACCGTATTACACACAGAGAAAAGACAAATATTTACACGATGCCGTTGTATCGGGGATAGCTATTTACTCTGACTCCACAGCACCGTATCTATTAAAAAAGGGTTTATTGCAATTTCAAAGTGGATTGTGAAGTGCGAAATCGCCTTTTTAGTAAAAAGTTTTTACCTTATCGGCCTGTAAAATTAGAAATGAATTCACGTACCTGCTTATCAGGTTTCTGTCGTCGACTACTTCGCCCCACATGCAGGCTTCTCCACCCAGTATCTTGTTCAAGTCCAGTTCCTTGTAACGTTTTGGGATCATCTGCCGTGGATCCACATTGTACAACTTGTACCAGTCTCCTCCATTAGACAAATAGTCTAAGTACCACGATGCTGAATAGATAACTTTGTGATTTGCTTTCAATGCCTGTAGGAAATATTCGATTGAAATTAGTATATTGGTACATGAAGGACTCTGATACCATAGAACATAGTACCTACCACAGTTTTGAAGTAGGTAGATATATAAACCAAAGACTAAAATAAGTATACAATCGTATCAGTTTCAGGGTATAAACCACAGCGTACATCAAGTGTTAATGTAAAAAACGGAAAAAATACACTAATACAGTACGAAAGTAGCAATCAACACACGACAAAATACTAATTTAGATACATATAATATATAATACGGAGTTGGTACATAATAATATAACTAGGTACAATTTAATTTAATTTAGATACGGCCATCGAAAACATTTAAATAACCAAGATACGAGATGCGACGTACATACCTACCACATATTTTTGAACCTTTTTATTTATAGGAAAATAAAAAAGACACCGTTAGGATTTTTAGGAAAGATACGTACAGTTAGCAACAATAATGAAAATACACTAAAACGTTACAATAAACTTTAATTCTAAATGCATAATTATACGAAATAAAAATCATCTTAAACCAATAATGTTTATCAACGTTATGTTTTGCAAACACCCGGGCCGTTAGGTGGTTGAGCGCCGACCCCGCGACGGTTCATTCGGCATGCATGCTCCTCTAGACGTTTGGCGATCTGATCTCCATTAAAGAAGGTGTACCGAGGACTTAAAGCAGACCACAGAACTTCTGCTGAAGCGCTGGCTCGAGGCCATACCCTAAAATCAATCAACTTTGCAACATGCATAATTATTATATTTTTAACAAAAACAGCGCGTGATTTCGGAATGTACGTACGTTCCGCTTTCGTGCATTTTTATACCTCTATAGACCTATGGCAAAACAATAGTTCCAAATCTGGCTGTGATTATGTACGAAGGGATTTGAAAATGTATATGTCGTAGGATAATTTGATATTTCGAATCTTCGCGAAAATCCTAGGGGTTTTGCGAAAACGCGGATAATTAGACATAGGCGAAAAATTATCAAATGTTACTGGACAAAGTCAGGATTTTTGCGAAAATACTCGTTACTATAGTAAGATTTGATGTGCTCAACACTGATTGGCTACAATTTTGGTGGCTGGCTTCTAATTGGTTCCTAGTTTAGGTGAGAAAGAAAAATCACTAAATTGATTTTTATAAACCTTTTATTGAAAATTTTAGTATGTATGTTGTTTTCTACAGACAATAGGAGATCTCAGTCGTTGTAAAAAAAACATGATCCAATTTTAGGGTGTAATCCATAAATTGGATGAAACTGGTCGTTTAAGACGACGAAAAAACATTTAAGACGTCAACCAATCAGAGACGATCTCTTATTGAACGCGCTGACCGACCAACCAGCGTTCTTATTTCATAACAGCCAGCGTTTCGTTTCGCAATCTTACTATAGTAACGAGTATTTTCGCAAAAATCCTGACTTTGTCCAGTAACATTTGATAATTTTTCGCCTATGTCTAATTATCCGCGTTTTCGCAAAACCCCTAGGATTTTCGCGAAGATTCGAAATATCAAATTATCCTACGACATATACATGACAAGAAAGGATTTCTCATCATGATCATCACCGTATCTAATCAATCGTGGGTGTCAATTCAACAGATGCTGCGACAAGTACCTATGTACCTCTATACATAATTATTTTATTGAATAATATTTCAGCTATTTAAGCATTTTGGGCATGCTCTTACCATGCATAAGCAAGCATTCTTTAAAGTAAAGCTTTAATAAAATTGTTGTATCTCAATATTTTAAATTATTAACACGTCTGGCGAAGGTAATTGTGTATAATATCGTCGCGTCACTTACCTTGCAATGAAGTTGGTATCATCAACTACTTCGCCCCACATACAAGCTTCACCGCCAACAATATCTTCTAGATTCAATGGTTTGGAAAATATTATAAAGCGTCGTGGATCGGGAATGTAGAAGTGTTTCCAATCTCCGCCATTACTGAGTTGGTCTAGGTACCAGGACGAGGAGTAAATGACTTTGTGACGTTTGGACAGGATCTAAGTAATTAATGTCAATTAATAACACTAAGTGCAGATTTATTCGCTAATTACCTACTTATGTACCTAAGACATCTTCGTAAACTTTAAGTGTGTCGCATTCTATGAATAATTAACAAGTTCGTAGCTCACCGTTGGCGTCGACTCTAACGTCCTTTAATAAGGTAAATTTTCGTTGAGTTGTAAATTATTAATATGGTGATGAAAGTAGTGATGAAGAATGTTGAAGTAAAAGTCAGGTAACGAAAAGTTAGAGAAGCGCAAGGACTTTAGAAGAATGTCTTTAGGCTTAACTAACTTCACGCCCCCATGAACTTTCAGTATGGACCCCGATGAAGTAAAATACTGCTGAGAAATAAGTATTAAAATTCATACCGTTCTCAGATTTCTGGTTCATTAGACCAAACGGAAGAAAGAATGACATAGGTAGTCATGAAAACTAACTTACTGCAATCATATCCTGCGGTCCAATAGTTTTCCACACTTGTATGATGGCATCACTAGGTAACACCACACCGTTGTAGAAGACCTCCTGAAATTTCAAGGAAGATTTTAGTCAAAAGACAGAAGTTCATATTGAAGGTATACTGGAGTTAGACGTACCTGCCAGACTATAGGCTTAGACTTCTGGCCCAACAAAAGAAGAACCTTAGTCATGAAGTACGCGTGCAGTTCACTGGTGCGAGTCATGTTGTGGCGAGCCATGAAATTCAAAATGTCTGGGTTTGATTTCCTGGAAAGATAATGGAAGTGACTTGGAATAGGGGCAGTAAGAAAAAGCTTATTATATAGTCGATAGTCAAATGTTGTAATCGCAGCGATACGCTTGGAATACCTACAACATCGTCATGATTGTGCGAAGAGACTCAGTTAAGAAGTTAATGCAAAAATTGTCACATTTTTTTCTTTTTACAAGCTTTTATCTATAGTATGGTAACCAATCGATATGCCCCATGGGCATATAAAATTAAACTTATAATACAACGTGTTACGATTTGTGTTTATGTAATTTTAACGATCATTAAAATCTCACCAGCAGTTCAAAGCAACTTCGTCACCTCCAAGATGGAAGTATTTGTCGGGGAATAGATCCTGCACTTCACGGAACAGCTCGCCTAATAGTTTGTATGTCTTGATCTGCGTCGGGTCCATAGGCCCCAAGCCCACCGTTTTGCCGTGCTCATAGCACTGTGTGAGAATTTTTGGGTATGCGATGCCCCATGACCGTGTGTGTCCTGGTAACAGGCAATTACATTTATTATAAATTGGAATGTTGCGTGTACATAATCTGACACTTTTGTTTCATGGGTTAGGCAGAACCTTCTTTACCGTTCATCACATGCATGCAGGTCATATAGACAAAGACGCATGCATGTGTGAGAGTACTTTAAACCCGGCTAATTGAGAATCTCTCCAATCTTGTGTACCTTTGTGTGAAAATATTTGTTCAATCTAAATGTAATGTCCGATAATAGCCCACTTCGGAAGTTTTCGTAAATTGTTTAAAGGCAAGTATTTGAAGCAGTGCCCAATAATTATCATTTAGTAATTAGTCTCATAAAGAAGTGGTATTATAATCAAAAGTACTTGACACTTTCCCTGTATCGATTAGTATATGTTTATCTAAGGTCATTCTAGAGACGTTATCTGAAGAACTCACTTATCAGTTCTTACGTATTATTGTATTTATTGGAATGGGACAATCTTTACTTTACTAGTAGTAGGTACGTAATATCTTCTCACACGATTGACAAAGCAAAGCACACTGGTAATAATGAAACTAAGTAGCTAATTTAAAGGTCTCTTGAAAAGAACATTAAACTGTCAAACACCAAGCGGTCACCGGTGACCGCGACCTATTGTTCTTTAATTGTGTCTATAAAACCGGTACTCGACGAGTTAACTTAGTTTTTAAGCCTTCACTCGGTCGGTACCATGGTGCATGGATAGCAAACTAGAAATCTTTGTTTTGTTTAAACTTCTGAACTTGAACTGAGGCTACAAGCTAAAAATAAGATTATATGGTATTGTCGTAATAATAATTTTTCTCTGATTAACTAGGAATTTTAAGCCTTTTTATAATATAAACATTTTGATAGAACGTAGCAGTCACCTGGTACGTCGAATTCAGGCAGTACCCGTATCCCCCTGTCTCTTGCGTATTTGACGATCTTATTGATGTTAGCCTTCGTGTAGACCATCGAGGGGTCGTAGGCACCTTGTTCACTGCAAACAGTGGGTGTTGCGATTTGTGATGATTATGTTTATGTAAGTATAACTAAGTAGTAAGTACATTTTGCTATTGTTTTCGGTTACGGGTAAGTGCGTACCTTAGTTGCGGGAACTTCTCGCTCTGATAAGGAAAGCTCTGGTCATCCACAATGTGCCAGTGCAGAACATTCATCTTGTTCATTTCCATAGCGTCCAAGGTTTTGAGGATGTTAGCGACACTGAGGTAATGCCTCGATGTATCGATAAGCAGCCCTCGATACGGGTATCTCGGGAAGTCCACTATTTGTGTCGAGTTGATGAGAACATCCTGTGACCAGAAAGTCAGTTCATCAGATCGAGACCTCCAGGACCATCCTAACTTTTCAGCTTTCTCCCTTAAGGTAAGGAAGCAGGTAGGTATATGGATTATGGACGTGAACTCACTTTATAACCGTTAGACAAGTAAAACAACTGTGCAAAGGTTTCCATGCCCCTCAGTATGCCCCATATGGAGTCACTGGTCAGCGACGATACTGCAGAAACGTTCAAGCTATCTGAAACATTAGTTTTTGTATTTTTCATTTTTGTTTCATTTCATTCATTCTAATATAAAGGAATATATAATTTTCGCAGCTTCAGATCAGATGTAGGCGTAGCTAAAATACCATTAAACATTCCAACATCCATTACTGACAGTTTCATGGAGTTGAGCAGTGCATTTCTCTTATTTGTATGTCGGACACATTCCACCAACACATGCTGCACATCTTCTATTGAATTTCTTTTCTTGAAACAAAGACTAATAGTCATTATTTACAAGATGTTTTTCTATAGATGAAAGTAAAAGTGCGTTGTGAACTGAGTCATGTCAATAATGCGCACGCGGCGCTTCACGGCCCATAAATAATATTGCTAGACTGACTAAATATTTTCTTATGGCAAAATTAATAGGCGATTTCTCGAAAGGAGATCGATTTTTAACATTAGTCGTGTGTCGTTTCCACAGATATATTAAAAAATATATTTAATATATTTTAATATTTCTGTGGTCGTTTCTATCAAAAATCGACATCGACTCAGATTTTATGGGTGAATTATTATCGAATCCTCGTGGTGAGCAAATCAAATAGGTAAAAGACAATTGAGTTATCTCTGCTATTTAATGGTGTACCTATGATGGATAATTTGATATGTGGGGCTTAGCGCCGTATGTGTAGGGTATCTGTGTGAGGAGTGAAATGATCTGCACTCTTTTAAGTTTGGTATGAGACTGTTTAATTATAAATCAAATGAATACATGCTAGGGCACAGGTGACATCATAATGGGGGCGATGACCGCCACAGATACTTACATTTCTCATCCATGTCCATGTGTGGGTAGGCCTCGCACGGTCTGGTGAGATTTATTTGCAGTTCTTCCAGTGTACCTTTGTAGTCGGGATTTGTATCCAGTTTCCGAGTTTCTGCATGCTTTAATGTTTTCTTAGAATGTCTCCACACTATGTGGTGTGTGCTCCTAAGCACTGCGGTGTACCGTTCTATAGCATTTGTTAATATTTCACACGATTTCCCTTTCTCCTGTGGAAAGTAGTAAATAAAATTCAATTATTTACTAAATATTGATCAGCTCAGGCCCGGGGCCATCTACTGTCTCCGTTATTCTGTGCTACAGTTTTGTAAAACTGTAAATCACGTTTAGGTAGCGCAATCCGCTGATGCTTTCGACTCATACACTGTTTGCTATAAATACACAGGATCTTTGAGGATGCAAAAGTAGTCATGTTAGCTAAGGAGGAGGCGGGGCGCGTGAGGCAGCGAAGTGCCTCCTCACAACCCAACTGTCGCGAAGGACATTCCGATCTCCGACCACCGTAAGGCCTCGGACGCCGAGTATGGGTAGCTCGCCCTCCGACCAGAACCAGACCAGTACGGCGCGTAGCGTTCCGCGCGCGCCCCAAACAGCCATCTGACCACCATGATGGGGCTCAATAGGACTGATGCCGATACGGAACCGCGAAGGACTTAACAGATTGATGGGGCTCCGGCTCGAAGTGCAGGAGTAGGAACAGGGTGGTTTTTAGTCAGTCTGACACTCCCCCCGCCTCACCCGGGCGGGAGAAGTTATTCGGTGATTTTTCCCCCTTAAAAAAATCCTACTGCGGGCTTAGTATCAGTTTGTGTTAGGCACGTCTAACGAAACGGAAACGAAAACGAAACGTTACTGCGGTCGGCGCTCTCATTGGTTGGCTCATTGGAGCACGCCAATCAAAGCGGCGAGCGCGGTAACGTTTCCATCTTGCTAAACGGAAAAACAAACTTGTGGTAATCCCTCAGGCGTAAAAATACCAATGAGCTTTCCGGAAAAATATTAAATATCTTTAAGATATTACTCGGTTAAGTTTTCGAGACACAACGTCATAGGCGTCTTTACATAGCTTTGATCCATATCCTATCCGTATATCTAATTTTCCGAAATGAAATGAAATGAATGAATTTCTTCACACCAATAGAGTGCGTTAAAATCGTCTCGTACCGAATGTTTTTCAGGGAGCAAAAAACATAATTTTTTAAATACCTACCTATTATATACCTACCTACTTACCTACCGGTAGGTATTCCTTTGAACTTACTTACCTACTCAAAAAATATTCAAAATTCCGCGTGCGCCGAACAACAGCCTTGAAACCTAATTTAATTTATTTTTAAAAATATTTGATTTAAATTGGAAATCCATTGAATCCTTTTTTTCAACGTCCTTGAGAATAAGGATGTTAGTTTCGTACTTGAGTATACGAACTCAGCAGGCACCTTAAAATAGTTACTCTCATATCTCCACTACCGTACTCAGAAAAAAAGCATGTAAAAAGAAAAAAATGACAGTAAAAAATTGTCGATGGAAAATTCAAAATTCAATAAATTTGACATTGAAATAGAGTAAATAAGGGAACATTGTATCACATGTTTGAAAGTGAGCGATTAATCAACATTAAGCCGGCAATGTTCACTAGTATAATAGGTACTTAATCAAGGACGGTTTGTTAACGACGTAAATTACGTTAAAAAAAATTAACTCGTTGAGTACCTACTGTCATTATAAACACAATTAAAGAACAATAGGTTGCGGTCAGCGGTGACCGCTCGGTGTTTGACAGTTTAAGATTCCTAGTTTTATACAGTTAAAAGTACCTAAATATTACTTTAATGAAATATCTAGGTAGGTACGAAATATTATTATATTTTTGACCACATCTCTTAGATAGCTAAGTATATTTATTTATATTAATAAGTTTCCCAGTTTTTTTGTAAGTCAAGTCGTTATCTATTAATTGTATAAAATGCATGCCTACCCATTTCCTTACTAATATTATAAAATGATACACAATATTAATCGTTAAAATAAGGTCGTCTAAATCTAAATTCATAAACAGGAAAACAGGGTGACTAAATAACAGAGTTAATTTCTGTAATACCAAAAAAACTGTTTGTATGTTTGTCTGTTTGTACAGGCTAATCTTCGGAACTAATGGAAGATCTAGGATGAAACTATATTTGTTGTGTAGGTAATTTACCTGGGCATCATGTAGGCTATAATTGAAAAATGTAACAAAAAAGTTCTGTTCACAAAAGTCCAAATCTATGCGCAGATGAAGTTGCGAAAATAAATTTCAAAAGTACACAAAAACTGTTTTTGTACATTGATTCTGTTATTGGATAATCATTCAACACAAATATCTTCACGCTATTTTCATAAGGAGCTGAGTTAGGCTAAGATGAAAAATCTTAATAATTAGTTTTATGTTTGTATCTGCCGTATTTGATGAGCTTGGAGTAGGTAAGACATACAATCGTTGATGAGTCCATGCACGGATCCTATCATGATAACGTTAGTTACGCCTCTCACCAGTGACCATGCACGGGGCAGAGCTCATGGAGAAAACCGATACGTGTTTGGGTTGTGTAAGAGTATTACAATTATTTTGAGATAAGCATATTTAATGAACACCATTACAATAATAACTATGTTACTCCAAGATTAGAGGCCCTCTAATAGAGGGTGAAGTTTCATGCATTTCATATTATTCACCATGAAAATTACATTTGTGTTTCAAAAAGATACTGTATCTATAAGACAAATGGTACCGAGACATGGTCCCTAACTCCTGCGCTTTTAGAGGGACTCAGAGTTGTTCAATGGGCGATGGAAAGAGCTATGCTCGGAGTTTCTTTACACGACAACATCAGAAATATGAAAATTCGCCCAAGAAGCAAGGTTGCTGACGTAGCTCTTAAAATCTGCAAGCTGAATTGGGAATGGGGAGGCCATATCGCTCGAAGGACTGACGGCCGCTGAACCAGGAAGTTAATCAAGTGGTGACCGCGGGTCGGAGAAGCCCGCCACAACCACCCAAAACCGATGCAACTCCTGTAAACCATGAGTTACAGTAGACACAACCATGAATATACTGGAACACTGAAGTCTCACGCGTCTCAGGTACCTACCTACATGAATGCCTTTGATCCCGCAACGAAACAAATCAAAAGATATTATTAGAGGAGACGAAAAACGATAGTTTCCACTTCCTTTGATGAATTTAATGACTAAAGCCTAAAGGCACAAAAGAGACTGCGCTACTGGAAGAAGTCCAGTACCGTAAATATCTACGTACCAAATAAATTATTATGTTTTCGGCTTACTCACGTAATTATTTGACAAGGAACTCGACTAGTTTCAAGCCATGCTAGAACTCATATTCATGAGCAGCATTCCGCGATCTGCGACGCGGCGACTGTCGTGCTGCTACTGGTAGCAGTATCAGGATGTGAGTAAGCCGAAAACATAATAATTTATTTAGTATGTCTCGCGAAATTTATAATACAAATATCTACGTATCTATTTTTTTTTTAAGGGGAAAATCATCGAATGACTGCCCCCACCTGGGTGAGGCGGGAGGGAGTGTCAAACTCTTACTGACTAAAAACCACCCCGTTCCTTCTCCTGCACGTCGAGCCGGAGCCCCGGTTACCCGTTAGGTTCTCCGCGACTCCGAATCGGCATCGGCCCTATTGGGCCCCATCTGTGGTGGTCTGATGGCTCTTTGAGGCGCGCGCGGAACGCGACGCGCCGTACGCTTACCTATATCTACTTATTAACGCATCACTATCGTATTTATTATACTTTACTGCCTCTACTACCGAACTCAGAATTGTATCGCAAAACTTCTCCATTATATTCTAAGCTAGGACGCTTTCACTAAATAATTTAATCTTAAATGGTGTGACTGCTGAGGAGTGAAATTCTTTACCAGAGTCTGTATTTCCTGAAGGGTATAACCTGGGTGTCTCCAAGGTCCAATTGAGTTGGTTGTGCTTATGGGACGACGTGGTCCATGGTAGACCGCATCATCGCTTACCACCAGGCGGGATAGTGGCCAAACGTCGGCCCATCAAACATAAAACAAATTTAGCCATTGAAATCGAAATTAGCCATTGAAGTCGAATTCCAACGGTTTCAACGGTTTTAGCGATTTCCTCAGAGGTATCTATCTACTCTCCTTAGAGAACCTAAGTTAAATTATAAGTTTTGCAACTATTATTTATAATTGCATTATCATAAGCATGAAGTGATTTCTTCACATTTCCATGTGTAAAAATCACTAAATTACTAATATGTTATTAAAGATTAAATCTCATACTTTTTCAAGGCTTAAATGGGGTTCCCATTTAAGCCTTGAAAAAGTATGAGGAATACGTTTTATCGCACTGTTCCTTGCAAAGACCGTACATAATGATTTAAATGTATGAAATAAAACATCGTTGATTTGTCTATACTAATCACTTCATGCTGCATAGGACTTGCATAATTTTTAGGGTAAACTTCAGAAACGCAAAGGGGTGAAATAGCAGTTGATATTTCGTATCCTCCAAGTCCGTTATCCACACGAGTGAAGCCGCGGGCGTCAACTAGTCTAATCTATAAATAATATTGGATGATTAAACATAGAAATGATAGGACACTCGAGACCAAATTATTTTTGCCGATATGAAAGTCAATGACCAACGGGTTGTCTTACAGCAGTAGGTATAATAAAAATCAATACTTTGAACAATGTAAGGTTCTGATTTAGGTTTACGATATTTTATTATGACGTATCTAAATGATTATCACTTACTTAATTTAGTAAAATAGTTTTATAAAACATATTTCGGACAATATTTATTTATAAAGCCATATATTTTATTCAATAACTTACCGTAAATTTAAAAACTGAAGGTGATAGTTTAAAATAAGTCTGTTCCTTAATCTGCTGTTGCGGTTTTGGCCACACTTCCCCTTTCGTCGGTGGGTATTTTGGACCAGGGTTACTGATGATCAAACTGGCCACAAAAAATATACAAACTATATTAAAAATTAAAATTAGTCGCAACATTTTCGCGGCAAAATATACACAATCCGTACGATTCGCCTGACAGTCCGGAGTTAACTGTTATTTTTGTAGTGCTTTATTTGTCATTTTATGGCCATAGATTGATAAGGTTTTAAATAAACTTTCGACACGATGACTTTAATTGTTGCGCAGTTAAATAGTGAATTCCCTATTATTATGTAGGTACTTTGCAGGGCCTGGACATGAAATAAAATTCAATACCTAAACTTGATGTAAGACATAAACATTTAAAATAAATATGCATTTCTGTTACAGTTATCGTTTCTTAATAAATTTTAAGTTAATTAAATTTTTTTAAAATAGGTTTGTTTTCATTTTTTAAGAACTTGCAATGCAATGGCAACTGTTTTCAATATTGACATGATGGCTACGCTGTCATTAAAAATAAGAATGTGAAAAAGTTTTTGTCACTTGTCCTTGTCATTCACACACAACTGTCATATTGTCATGTAAACAACGTTCTATTTTGGCGATTGATTTTGTTAAGATAATGTCTTGATACATTTTCAAAATGAGACGTCGAGGTCGAGATGAAAAGTTTCCAGATAATGGCTTCGAAGCCTGGGGTGGGTATATGCATGCGAAAATTGCCAAATTGGAAGAACAGTTTAGTGCAAGAGCTGGAAGAGAGGATATCATAACTAACATTTTCAATGGTGTGAGTATTTATGTCAACGGATTTACTATTCCTTCTGCAGATGAATTAAAAATTTTGATGACCAAGCATGGAGGTATTTACCACACGTACCATAGAAGTGACGATTATATCATAGCTTCCAACTTACCTGATACTAAGGTTAAAAATATGTCTCTCGTTAAAGTTGTAAAACCTGAATGGATAACTGACAGTATATCCTCCAACCGCTTGCTAGATTATAGAGATTACTTACTTTATAAAAACTCTAGAACTCAAAGACAACTCAATTTTAATAAAGTTCTTAAAAATGATGATTTCTTCCTTAGTGAGACAAAGAGTTTTAATTGTGAGTCTGCAAGTCTATTTCCAAATGAAATACAAAGTACAGTTTTGGCAGAGCATAATGTAGATGGCATAACAATGCATAAGAATGAAATAGAATCTAAACCAATTCCAAATGACTCCGTACCATCTACCTCTAATACAATTCTCTTAGGAAAAAGTAAAGAAAATAACTTTGTCGGTGTGGACATAAATCAATATAAACAGAGTACTGTGGCTAAAACAGCAGCAGACCCTAATTTTATTTCAGAATTTTACAATAAGTCAAGACTACATCATATCTCACAATTAGGGGCAAGTTTTAAACAACATGTTAATGATTTAAGAGAAAATAGTAACTTCTTATTTCCTGCTAGAGAGGATTTAAAAAAAACAATTTTATCTACAGTTGATTGCAACAATTTTTCTCAGTTTAAATTTGAGAAAAACAAAGTGATTATGCACATTGATATGGATTGTTTCTTTGTTTCTGTTGGTCTACGAAATAGACCCGACCTTCGTGGCAAACCCATTGCTGTAACTCACTCTAAAGGTGGGCAAGCTAGAACTACACGGCCAGGTGTTGACAGAAACACAGAATTTGGTCTATACAAACAGAAACAAATGAAAAAACTTGGCATGGCAACTGGAAAACCAGAAGATGAAATTGTTTTTGAGACCAGAGTGGATAACATTACTGATGAGGATGATAAGTACGGTTCTATGAGTGAAATAGCCTCTTGTTCTTATGAAGCTCGAGCTAAAGGCATTAAAAATGGGATGTTTATGGGTGCAGCTCTGCAACTGTGCCCAGATTTGCAAACTATACCCTATGATTTTGATGGATACAAAGAAGTTGCCTATACTTTGTACAATACTATTGCACAGTATACTTTAGATATAGAAGCTGTGTCCTGTGATGAGATGTATGTGGATTGTACGGAGTTACTAGCAGATATGAATGTAAATGTACAAAGTTTTGCTACAATGTTAAGAGAGGAAATTAAACATAAGACAGGATGTCCATGTTCTACAGGATTTGGAGGTAATAGGTTACAAGCCAGACTGGCTACCAAAAAGGCAAAACCAGATGGACAGTTCTTTCTCACAGAGGATCTGGTTGAAGATTTTATATTTGAAATTAAACTAAGTGATTTACCTGGTGTTGGTAGACAGACAGCACAGAAATTAGAGTCATTAGGTCACGTGACATGTGGTTCACTTCAAACTTTAACCTTAGCTACTCTCAAATGCCAGCTAGGAATTAAGACTGGTGCTCAATTATTTGACCAATGTCGTGGACGCGATCCAACTCCTTTAACATTTCACACTGTAAGGAAATCAGTCTCTGCAGAAGTAAACTATGGAATTAGATTTGAAAATGAAAACCAGTGTATAGAATTTTTAAAACAATTGTCGGCAGAAGTGCACTCCAGAATGCAGCAATATAAAGTTTTGGGAAAATGTATAACACTGAAATTGATGGTCAGGGATGAAGAAGCCCCTGTAGAAACTGCAAAGTTCATGGGACATGGCTTTTGCAATGTTATTAATAAATCATCTTCATTGAGCACTGCAACTAATGATATCGGGATAATAACTAGAGAAGTCATCTCAATTTGCAAGAAACAAAATATAAATCCTAAAGAAATGAGGGGTATTGGAATACAAGTCACAAAGCTTGAACTTCTTAATAGCAAACCATCAAAGGGATCAATAAGCAAGTTTTTGTCAAATAATAAAGTTGTTGTCAAAAAACAAACCGAGGTGAAATCAGAACCTATTAGTGATTCCAAAATTTTCGAGGTTGCAGAATCTATCAAAAAACCTACAACTAATGAATCTTGCGGTTCTACTTCGCCTAAGAAATCTCCAATTTCTAAAAGAAGAGGAAGGCCACCAAAAAGTTTAAAAATCCAGCTATCCTCTAAAAATAATTCTATGAACAAATTCCTTCTAGGCCAAAATGTGATAAGGGATTTGCCGTACAAAGACCCGATGAAAAAAGATATTCCCAAAGAAGTACCACACAATGTAGACCAGCCTAGACCCAAAGGTTTGTTAGGACTACCTTGGGACCAAGTTAGGGAATTGCTAAGAGCATGGCTGGAGAGTGGACAGAGCCCACTTCAATGTGATGTTGATATGATTGTTGATTATCTACAGGATATGGTAGTTAACAAGAATACAGAAAAACTATTTGTTTTAATGAATTTTCTAAGAAGGATGACCAAAGAGATTGGCCGCAATGATTGGCTAAAAGTATATAATCATGTAACAGAACAAGTACAAAATGCTATGGTAGCTGTTTATGGCAAAAGATTGTTTATACCAGATTAATTAAATATACTGTAATATTATAAAGAGCTGTGATAATAATAAATAAAACCAAAATTTTCATACAATTATTCAATTTATTTTTCATTTTGATACTATTTTCTAGGTCCTATAAAAAGAAAAATAAAAATATGTTACTACATTGTAATTTTGCGTCGAAACAGATTCTCACGGTTTTGTAAACTGAGGGCCAGTGCTAGAATTCGCGTATGCATTATCTATAGGTATTGTTTAAAATTTGGCAGCTACAGAATTAAAAATATTTCTAAAATGAATTGAGTCATAAAGTTAAAAATATTTGATGATATTCATTTTAGATAAAATGCTTAGGATACCTAAAAGACACAATAGGTATACATCATAATTCGAAATGGCAGTTAGTATCACTTAATGTTAATAAGCACGTTTACAACACCTAATAATATTTCAAAGATAGATGCTGTGTAAGAAGTTGAGAACCATTACGTTCAGTAGTAATATGCAAAAATAAGTTTTCGTAATAAATAGTTTAATCTCAGATTTTGTAATCTAAAATTTACTATCACAGTTGCTTATTGCAAACAAAAAAATGTAGACTTTCTAGATACATCATGCACAATTTACTCAATAATTTAGTAATAAAATATAAACCATGATTCAGAGTCTTCTTAAGAATTTCAGTTGTATGATAAATTGTATCATTAAAAATATAGTTCTGTAAATAAAAATATTCCATTTTAAGCTCAAAGCTTGCGATAATCCTTAAACACTAAATGCTTTGTGACAACCGTTGACATTACCTATTATTATAATACTTTGCGATATTACTTCTAAAATAATCCACTTGGAGACAACAGAAACGATTTCTTACAAAAAAAAAATATATAACTAAAATCCACATCCGTACATCAATGTTAGTAGACGAATAGATAACGAAATTATATGAAATGGCATTTCTAGGCAATAAGTTCGAATATCGTATGTCAGTTGCACCTCTTGTTTGAAATATTGTACTGCCACGTTTTACGCTTAACAAAATTTAAGATTTATTGACAGATTAAGGAAAGACTGGCCTTTTATCAGTCTTTATTCCTCAAAGAGGTAATTTTATGTGTTTTATTTTTTTAAGTAGTATAGTGTTATAGAAATGCAGCCGACATTGTATTGTTCCGTCGTCTCACGCTGTAGAGTTGGCAGAAATCGAGTGTTTCAACTTGGAATCTATGATGATCTCGTCTCCTGACCTGATGTTGTAGGAGTACAGCTGCTTTGTAGGGTACCTCATCTCCTCGGGACCCTGAAAAGGCTTAAGAAATAATGTAAACTGTTAATAGTAAACATAAGCACACTTATGTTAATATAGCGTTAATGTTTGGGCGGAATGTGGCCAACATACTTCTAAATTATACTTTCGACTTTAAAGTTAGCATTTAGTAAAATGTAGGTATATATAATGGGGTTTATGTACAAAATGATGATGGAGCTATGATTTGTAAGTAAAAAACAACCAATTAGAACCAATTATAAAAATTCAACCGAAGGTATTTGGAGGATTCCAAATTACAATCCTTTTTTCATGCAAAATCAAGTTTCAAGATTATGATTTTCACCTGAGAATCTCTTAGTTCTTGATCGACGTAGAAGAGTCTCATTTTAGAAGCGGGGAAGCCAGCCATCCGTTCTAGCCGCGTTTTCAGGTCAGATACAGTTCTGAAAACAATAAAAATGTTGTAATTAATAAAAAAAAATATTAGCTAGAAAAATAAAGAGAAGATTGTAAACCGCAATTGCTATTACTGAGTGAGGAATTTCAGGTTTTTTTTCCATTGAGAGGTTGACATTTGGCCATCATGTCGACTGGTGGTAAGCGATGATGTTGCCGACGATGGAGCACGCCTACCTGTTCACTCGGGACTTGAAGACAAGACACCCAAGTTGTATTGTATTCGGTCCGGTTCCCGCGATTGAATAAGTAGGTATCTATTATTGAGTTTCACGAGAGATGGCTCCGTTAAAATATCTACGCTTGCTTGCTCTAAGGGAGGTACTTACTTGGGTTTTGCCTATCTAATTCTAATATGATCATGTCTTAAGAAGTAAAAAATAAAATATTCCTATTGCGTTACCTGTAAACGTCTACAGTGCGTACTTCGCTGTGGTCGCCACACGTGAAGGTGATTTGAACGCGCTTCTCCGGCCTAAGGTCCACAGACACCAGAGGATCCAGTTTACCGTGGACGCCCACCAACTCCCAATACCTGGAAAGTGTAAAGAGTATAAGAATGATGTAGAATTAAGTAGCTTGACTAGGTGGGCTCAGTGGCTGGGTGATCGCCTGCGAAACCATTATTTTGAGTAATTTATAAATTGTTGTTTCGGGTCTTGGCGATGTGTTGTCATAAAGCACCTATGAAATGGGAAAAAGTTCTAGTGTAGGCAACATTTTTTAAAAGAATTTAATTTGTCTTATTTAGCTTAGTGGCACCCACTTTCGGTTTAAAAATTATTTGGTAGGTAGGTACATAACTATTGGGTTTTTCGATTGCAACGGTTTCACAGCAGAGAGAATCGAAATTACAACTGTGTCTACAATGACAAGGAACAATATAGTACCTACCTGTCTACTACGAGTCGTCTTTCAGGACATACTTACCTACTTAAGTTTGGCGGCATAGGCGTTAAGCATACGTTAAAGTTTGGAGAGTTTAGATTTAGGGCCTATGTAAAATTTCACTGAATTTTGTTAAAATGAAACTTACAAATAACTTGGTAATAAAATTAATCTAAAAATGAACCACAAACAATCGTAACAATAAAATAAGTTGTAGGTAGTTGTAGTGTTATTTGTTTATCCTACGTCAACACTGGCAGGTCTCATTAGCATATTCTGTACTGTATTTAGTCATTTAGGTCAGCACTTCATATTGGCTGAGACCTCGCATCCGTCGAGCGTTATTGAATGAACCTTCAGACTAATCTTTTTAATTTAGAAGGATAAAGTTGCAGGATCACCAGGATTATTATGTAACAGCTTATCTATGTAGGGTTTTTTTATTGTAAGATTAAGATAGTAATATTAGGTAATCGAATAATATTTATTGCATAGCAAGTGAAATAAAGGCGAATTTATTTCCTAAAGTCTATAAGTAGGTAGGTATGTACGCTAATGTCGGTGGCATTTTCTTTCAATCGACCTTTGCTTGACCAACAGAAATTAAAATTAAAATAAAATAAAACATTAAAATAAAAAGTTTCTAGCCTATTGTAGTTACTGTAGTTGTGTTGAATATGGAAAACGATATTAGGTACCGTAAAATGGGGTGAATAGGGATCCAGGGGTGAATAGGGAAAAAACCAGGCATCACTTTTAACTCTAAATGCTATACTCGGAATTTTAATTCGATTCCAGATTTGACAATATCAGTGTGGCAACGTTATGACAAGTACTAAATAGTGACGTTGCGAAATTATTCGATATGGAAATGAAATATTTCTGGATCGATTCTTCTCGTTTATAATAATTATAATTTTACTCTCGTGAACTAAGTTTATCAGGAAATTAAATATTTCTGAACCGATAATTTAGTTTTGACGATTAATTAACGATCTGAGACGTTTCTTTTATAATTGTGTGTGAAATAAATAAAAAAATGTAATCATGAAGGAACATGACAAATAAAACAATTAGATGTATTATGGTAATAAGTTATTTTATAAATTGTCGCCGTCATCGCTATCGCTATCCTGTCACTTTTTGTAACATTTATTATAAAACACACACACTGATTGTTTATCGATTTTTGTGTGCATCACGACACTATTATATGTGGTATCATTATTTCACAAAATGACAGTAGCTATTGTCAAATCTGGAATCTAATTAAAATTCTGACTATAGTTTGCAAATCGTTCCAACTTTTACCATTTTTTGCGGGATAATAGTAGATTATTGGAACTTTTCTATGGCAACATTGAACAAGTATGAAATCAGCTGCAAACTATCAAAAATTTCAATTGAAAATAGTATAGACAAGATACCGGTTATTACAGTGTATAAAACTTAGCTGTGTAAAGGTTATTTTGTATTAAGCGAATACGAGTGTTAGTTTTATACCTTATTTAGGGTTTGGGCCGTCATATCCACGAAAGTTAAGCATCAGTTATTAATTAATATGACTATAATTTAGATTTTTAGAATGGCATGCGAAATTTGTATTTTTTGGGGTGAATGGGGACGTCTCAGGTATGAATCACAACGAAAGGGGGGTTAATCGGGATGAGGATGGGATGAATAGGAACGACTTATGTATGAATAGGTACAGCTTTATAGGGTTGTCACTAAGCAGACTTAACATTTTTAAATTGTGTAATCTAGGTAATAATTATTTTTTTATTTCATAAATTAGCGAGGTATTACACTGCGTCATTAATCTAGTTATTGCAAGTGCAACTGCTGACCATGAAGTCTCAGGATCGGTTCCCGAGTCGACCCAAATTTTGTTGGAATTTTGAAATATTTTACGGAGACCGAAATTGTGTCCATTGATTTTTTTTTGGGATGGGAAATTATTATATGACACCTCCTGCTCTGGGCGGAGCCGAAAGTTTATTTTAGTGTTGATATATTGAGTAGAAATTTTTATATACAATATTTTATCAGATATGCCTCGCGTGTATACCATGTTCATTAATGAATAATTTGCAAAAGGTTTGTTGATTAAATAAATAATGGAAGTAAAAGTGGATTTTATTTCAGTGACTAAATAGCTATTAAACTGTCAAACACCAAGCGGTCACCGGTGACCGCGACCTATTGTTCTTTAATTGTGTCTATAAAACCGGTACTCGACGAGTTAAATAATCAGAAACTAGTATTATGTAAGAATTACATAGGGGCAATAAGTAATAATGTAGAATAAATTAAAATACAAAAAAAATGGTAGTTAGCTAGAAATTATAATTTATTAGGTAGGTACCTACCTAATGTGGCAACAAGTGGCAGCCCTAGAGAATTTCCCTATTGGCCTTATTTTCGTCCCGATTGACCCCAATTTCTGGGTGAATAGGGATAGGCTATATTTTAGCTTTTTTATGCATAAACTGAAATGCTAATCGCATAATTTATGTTTAGTCACAAAGATACCATCACGACTCAATTATTACAATCGCCTTAAAGCAAATTTTCTATAAAAAAACGCCTTAACTTTCTTTATAAAGTTCAGATTTGTCCCTATTCACCCCATTTTACGGTACTACTTGTTCAGATCAAAGCGTTGTCAATGTCAACATAACACTATTTAGGGATTGAATAACCATAGAAAATCATTAATTTGTGTTTAATATAGAGTTTTCTGGAAAAGCCTCTTGTCCCGTGGATGTAGGCAGAAAGTTCACGTTTACGTTCGAATACAGATAAAAATAATGAAAACTGTGCCAATACACAGTATAGACAATCAAAATTATATAAATCGTTCTCAAAAATCTATTATTTGCTTTATACCTATACCTACCTAGACAGTTCTATTTTCTATTTCTCTTAAAAAACCTTGATCCTAAATTCAGTACATATTTGGTCGTTTTGGGTAATAAATCGACTATAATATACTATATAATAATAGTACCTAGGTAGGTAAGCTTACCTATCAGGACGGTCAGACTCAGGTTTCTCCATGTAGTATCGGATGAAGGCTCTCTCAGCTGCGTCCCTCTCTTCAATCGGCACAGCGCCACCTCCGTTTAGGGTTCTCACGTGGGGCAGCCGTGCCACGAGTAACAACCGTCTCTCGTGCTCCGTGGACTCTACACGGTCCCATAACGGCCAGCCCTGGAAAGTGCAAAAAGAGTTAAAAAATTAAAATAGATTCAAATATCAAATTGGGTGTGAAAGGAGTCTGTGTTTAAAAAACATGTATAATATAAAATACAATTATTACATGGATATATTCTTCTATTGTATCTATTGTATAGTGTTATAAAACTTTATCTAACAAGTTATAAGGTGCTTATAAAATGATATACATATACTCCTTAAGAAGATAGTCCCGTAGTCAACTATGTAAAATGGATAAAACAACAATTTCACAACATAAATAAAACAATAAAAATATCATAAACGTCTTTGTATCGAGACGTCTTTTTTTTTTTTTTTTTTTTTAAGGGGGGAAAATCATCGAATGACTGCTCCCGCCTGGGTGAGGCGGAAGGGAGTGTCAGACTCTTACTGACTAAAAACCACCCCGTTCCTTCTCCTGCACGTCGAGCCGGAGCCCCGGTTACCCGTTAGGTTCTCCGCGACTCCGAATCGGCATCGGCCCTATTGGGCCCCATCTGTGGTGGTCTGATGGCTCTTTGAGGCGCGCGCGGAACGCGACGCGCCGTACGCTCGGGTCTGTTTCTGGTCGGACGGGGAGCCACCCATGCTCGCCGTCCGCAGGCCCGCGCTTACGGTGGCCGGAGATCGTCCCGCGATCCCCGACGCCCGGTGTGTCCTTCGCGATGGCTGGGTTGCGAGGAGGCAGCGCTTCGCTGCCTCGCGCGTCCCGCCTCCTCCTTAGCCAGCATGACTGCTTCGCAAAAGGAGGAGACGGCATCCCAGTCCCCCTCGCTCCGCATCATGGCCTGAACTAGGCCCGGACGCGAGAGGTCTCCATCGCCGATCACTTCCCTGAGGGCACGGCGGTGCTCAGCCCACGCAGGGCATTCCGCAACAGTGTGTTCCACCGTGTCCTCAGGGTGGTCCTCGCAGTGATGACACCCGGGCGTTTCCTCCCGCCCCATCAGACACAGGTACCTCCCGAAACTTCCATGTCCGGTGAGGACCTGCGTCAGGCGGTAGGTGAGGACGCCGTAGCGTCTCTCAAGCCACTCCTCAAAGAGGGGACTTACCGCTGCAATGGCAGCGAGCCCAGTATCGAGACGTCTGGAGGTCAAATTGGTTCGAGGTTCGAAAAGTCCTTTCTCAAGGGCCTTTTTAACTTGCATTTTTCTCAGAACTTTTATAGTGAGTCACACTATAAAATAAAATTCATAATACGGTATGCTAATAAATGTCATAAAAATAATAAATTGCTTAATTTTATTAAAAAGTATTAAGAAAAAATAAAAAATAAACAGTAAGCTTTAATTGTGGTACAAAAAAAGTAAATAAAAATGGACAAAAAGATATGCCCCGGGTGAGGATCGAACTCACGACCTTAAGATTATGAGACTTACGCGCTGCCTACTGCGCCACCGAGGCCGGTGGAAGTGTAGTTAAAATAGATGTACGCTACATAGAGGACATGTTACGTATCTATAGACTATAAACATAATTATTTTATATTCTTATTTTTTTGTTGCGCACTTTATCAGTAAATGTACAATATTTTTTGCAATCTACTCTGAAAAAAAAACTGATAAGCAACAGATAATTATTATTGTATTTTTTTAAAATAAAATGTACGATTTTTAGTCTTTCCATTTACAAAAAGAACTTGAACCATGTGCTACTATATACCTACTAAGGTGTATATTAAAATTTAATATATCAAAATTGTATAAAGTAGGTACCTATTACACAAGTTCCCAATAAAATAATCCCGAAGTCAGTCATGTCACGACTCTGAAGGATTACGGAATAAAACAAAAAGTCGTAGATTTAAATTGAATAGCTTTTTGTTCATCTCAAGGTTCCGTGAGAATCAAGTTTCCTTGTAGGGCGCGCGGATCGATACGAAGCCATTCGTTCCTATTTCAACGGGTTACGATAATATCGTTATTTATGAAGGATTCATGTCCACTTATGATGTTTTCCCAAGCTTTGTATTTCTAGCTATAGAGTTTTGTATAAATCAAAATTTTCCATGTGATTAATATCACTATAATTATTATCAGATAATATCTCATAGGTAAGCTATACACGTTACATTTTTATGTAAGCCAAATCCTTCAAAGGCAAATCAATGAACTTAGCGTTCAAAAACATTCACTAAATCCTGTGTTTTACTCCCACATTGTGTATCTATTTCAAAGTGAAGGCATCATAGAAAGTGACTACTTTATTACTAAAGTCAAGAGCAAACCTACACCGAAATATGCAAACTATAGTCTGAGATAAGTGCCCTAAAGTTTGAAACGCTATTCCTCTAACAATAAAGGCTAAAATGAGTAATCACTCCCAAGGATATACTGCAAACAAAATTAGCTCTAATAGTTAAGGCTTTTGAGTTTAGTTTCTAATATTTTAGCAGTCCTTTGTTCTCCCCTGGCTTAGTACGAGAGATCTTTGAGCGTGCGTTCAACCTCGCTCGCCTGTTTTGCCTAAAAACGGAAGGCGGAATCACCTTTGCATACATCAAGCCCTATGGAGATTACTGTTACCGCATGTTTTTACCCTTTTCAACGTAAGGTTACATTTTTAAAAATGTTTGTTTATTTACCGATCGATTAAAACAAAGAAAATAGTGAAGTCGCTATAGCACAATTTAGTTAAAATACAAGCAACAATCGTGTACCGTAAAACCTCTATTGACAACAGATGATATATTCGTTAGAAAATGTATATTATGTATAAGCACGTCCGAGGAAATATTGTCTCATTTAAAGCCATTACGTAGGACCTGGCTATCTAAACTCTTAAAAGTGCTAACACTGCGAATCTAAGCGTAATGTTTAAAGAAAGAGAAATAATCTAGCTATTCTGTGACCGTTGCAGTTGGAGAATTGACCCCTGTCCTCAAATTGGCTGACTAACATCTGACAGTTTGACTACCCACGCCGCAAGCGGGAGCGTTCACACACGACCGTTAAAATTTAAACGGTTATAATTTAAAGTTCCGTTCCAATCGGTAACAGCTCCGTTCTGAATCATTGAGTTTACCGTATCGATTGCATGTGTCAACCGATGTATGTAACAATATATTGAACAACTAATTAATTAAATTGATATCATGTTGTATAATATTTCACTAATCCCTCTCATTATTTGTATCAGTCAGTACTAATGTTTTATACAAGATTACCAACGACTATGAATCCAGACTTCGTAATACTGGTTTGGCAAAACCAAACAATACCTACCTACCTTATATTTTCTTACATCCTCAGCAATTCGAGTTGCAATCATTGCTTAAAGCAGGATAATTATAATTCAAATATGTATGCGTAATTATTATCTAAATTGCAACGTTGCATAAATTATTCATTAAATATTAGTACAAACACCTGTTACTAGTAAATTATCAAATAAACTAACAGTAGATATGTTACTAATCACTAGGCTAACACGTGATTATTACCTAAACGATTTCAAACAACTATTTAGAATAATGTTAAAACCAGTTTCTTTTACATAAGAAACAGCGCTTGTTATGAATATTTCCTTGTACATCCTCATTTCGATGTTGATATCAAACAATATGCAAGTACCTACTAACCTAAAGCATTTAAACATGTTCAGTAAGTAACCATTTAAATTAAAAACAAAGGGTCACGATGCACTTAGTAAATACACATAAACAGCACCTTAGTCACGGAATACATTAATAAGTAAATAATAATTATAACCAGTCTCTGAGATACCGCGATCAAACAGTACCTACCACGTAATAAAACAAAGAACTAGGAAATATTTCGTACATACTTAGACTTACATATCGTTGTTAGTACATACATAATAATCCTAGCGTGACGTAAAAGGTGTAAGAAAGAATGAATCATTTCTCGTATGTGTGTTATGATGAGTAAAAAGCCTTCGTATGGACGGACTTGCGTTAAAAATGCTTTGTTGTTCTTCTATGTTGTAAGATTTAACGTACCTACTCAAATATTTGTGAGATCCGACTAGTACCTTTGGTAGGTAAGTATCAGAAGTCAGATAAGTAAAGGTCGTCATAAAAAGAATGCCAGGGTTGAAATGAAGGACCTTGTGCGCTTGGCAACAATGGCGAGCTACTTCACAAATAGAATAAAAATAACAAAGAAACCAGAAATTGCAAAACGGAGGCATTTCTATAAAAGGGAAAGGTATTTTGGAAAGTCAAGTCTTTCCTTACATGCCATATGCCATTCCCTTCTTTCCAGCTGGCAACGAACTTGTCCTTACTATTTTATTAAACACATATTCCAACCATATTCCAACCAGCTCAAGGGCAAAAGGACTATGACGTCACCGGCATACTACAATGCACGAACAGTCTCCAGTCTCTCGTCTGGGAAATTATTGCCCCATATTCGAGATGGCAGCTCATAAAAATTCACAAAGTTTACTGACAAAATTTAGCCTAAAGTGCCAAATGCCAAAAATGTTCCATTTCACCTAGTTTCAACATGGCAAATAGTTTTGTAACATCCGCCTACATATTGACTCGAAACTTTGCAACGCTAACATAATGCTGCCATAATGATTAAAGTTATGTTCAGTAAATAAAAAACATTCAGGACATGTTCGCAGTTATTGCAAGATTCCATTACAAGTTTGTTTGGTAAGGATTACATCCATTGTTGCTAGAAGTAGAAACCACAAGTATTGTAGTAAATAAGTGGTATATTGTATCTTCCAACACAACTACCGTGAGATTGAATAAATTCTATAGTGGTAATACAATCACCTTTAAGACTGCAGTAAAAATCGAATTAGCTGTTACTAAAGGGAAACTACTGCATTGCGTGTGAAGGCAACTACCTAAGTGCCCTTTACAATGTTAATATAAACACTTGAGCAATTGTCTGTGCAATGGACCGGTTTTTATCGATAGCCAGTGATTTTATATACTAGTTTACAAGTCGTTGTTTATCAGTGCTACAGTTTTAATGAGATGTATTATCAGCCATCAGCTAACTATACAATTACATTGCTTGTTCAAACGAGAAGGAGGATAAGGAGCCAACTTCTTGTTCATTTTGTCCTTCAAATATATTTTTAATAAGTCCAAAATTGCTTACCACGAACCATTTGTTCGTATCCCTTCCCTTGAGTACAATATTTCCTACGTCCGTAGGTAGTAAGTATATTCTATTCTACCCTTGTTCTGAACGTATGATACACAAAGGAGTTGGAATACTTAATGTTAAGTGTGGATGATGTAGATCGAGGGACAGTTGACCTAATATATCAAAGCGCCGTGGAATAATGAATTCATAGGTCACGACTGCGACACGATGGCGACATTAGAATCCTCTATGAAGACAGTACCAATGTTTATTTAATAGCTATAAGAAGCATATATTAGAATGAACAATTTTAACAATAACAAACAAAGGATAACTGACACGCGAAGAGCATAAGGTGACGTAATATTTGTGCAGTCTATGAGTAAGGGACTTTCAACTTTATTCACACTGGTAGGTACTTGAAAACTTGAGAACAGTGAATACGAATCAGAATTCTAATGCATCCCACCTTTTGTGTAGGAGTAGGGGCACTCCAACAAAAGCCAGAATTAATCACGCGACGCCAGACAGGCACGCGAGGAAGATATTATTGCTATGCTACCTATAGGCTGCGGCAAAAGCCCGTAAAATATCTCGTCAGATGTTTCAACGATTCTCAGTAACCCACACGACAAAATTCCTACATTTAATCAAGTATCAAGTAATTTTCTGACAATGGTGGTTATGGAAGTAAAACTTCATATATCGCTGCAGGTACAAAACGTTCATATCTTTTATTAACTGGTGTTATTGTGCATTTACGTTACGGCATCAAGTCAACGAACACAGTATGGGGCAATGCACGTGTTCTGGGTGACCTCGCGTTGACCCAACGATACTCCACGTTCAAAACTTTGTATTCAACCGGCGACTTCTGCAGTTAACTCGGATTATATCGGAACGTTACATCTACATTTAGGGATAGAGATAGAACAATTTCTGCATCTCTCCGGATTTGTGAAGGTACTAAAGTCAACTTTCTGTTTGTATTGAATACCCAAACAAAATAAACCAAAACACACACTAATATCAGTTTGGTCATAAATCAATAAAATAATGAAATTCAATCAACAAAGTGCATGAGTGCGAGGTGACGCGCAGAAGGCGTGGGCAAAATTCAAAGAGTCATTCGACCGTTTACCGGCCCAATATGAATCACGGACTATAGCTTATTGCCCTCACACGTTGCAAAGAATTTTCCTTTTGGCGGTTAAAAAGTAACATCAAATTGTATTAGGAAAATGTTGGACGAGACGGGGTTGAAGGAAAATTCAATGTTTTTAGCCTGAAGCTGCTGGCTTTAGTGAGATTGCTTGTGCAGTTATATTTTATTTTGTGGAATACATGGTTTCATAAACTGTTATAGGTACTCTGTAGCTTGAAAATAGGATTGGAATATTAAAATCCCTACATATTTATGTATTATTCTTCCATTAGTCACGACCTAGATAATCTGATAACCTGGATTTGTCTTTCTTTCAAACGTTTTAAAATACAACTTCTACAAGTAAAATAATCGTTCAAATGCTCTGCACATTTATTGCAACAGGTATGTTCGAAGGTTGCCCTTCAAATATTTTAGTAGGTAAGTACTTAATAGGATTGAATAGCGCTTTTCTAAGTATAGTCCAATAGTTGGCAAAGATAATCAATAACAACACGAATGGGAAGATAGAAAACCACCATTGGTTTTCTATCTTCCCATTCGTAGTCAATCTCGATAAACTAGACTAACTTCTCTTTTCGTCCATAATTAGGTACTTATAAAAATATAAGTAAAAGTGTGAAGACAAAGCTAGTTAGAAGTACAATGATGGATAATGCCAATATAGCGTCTGATAGCTCTTCAAATCGCTTTTATCAAATGTACTTAGACGACATATGGTGTTAGATTACAAAGAGAGTAAGAGAGCAAATCTCCCGAACGTCCTTGGAGACCAAAGACAATTTTATGACGTCATTGATACAGACACTATCGATCACTAGGCAACAGTAAGTACGACAGGAAAAACTAAATTTTATGGTAAATGTAATCTTCAAAAAATTTACATCCCTTTCGGAACGAATTTCAAAGAAAATAACCAATACCTAGGCATTGCTAATTAGAGCCTAATAAAAGGTAGTTTAGTAAAATTTTTAAGTAAGTATATGCATATATTAGTAAATAATCACTAAGTGCGACAAGGACGCACGGGTCAGCTGTTAATGTTAATGACCTAAGACTTGACCGTTGAGTTCGATTTATTTTGCGAATGAATCACATACCACGTTTACCTGCTTTTATTTTCCTTGCACAAACAACGATATTTTTTTAACCGACTTCGATTCTAAAACGCATTCGTCATTTTTGTCGCAACAACAGAACTTTAAATCTCTTTTGCGTTCGTCAACGGAAATCATCTCAATTTGGTGGACATTTGATCTAATTTTGCTGTACATTAGGGAAGTTCGTTATTTAATCCGTAATCTAATTAACTTCAGTATTTAATTACTTTGTTTTCCTCTTTAGATACTTTATTCAAAGAGCTACATATGAAAGTAGATATTTGTCAATTCACATAAAAATAGCTGACTTTTTAAGCAGGTCCCACTTGAACCCACGCAGAACCTACAATGTGACGTTTGACATTATTACAATAGATGTTAAGTTCATCGTCTACACGTTTCATAATGTCCTCAAGAGACTTTCTTGTACGTAAATATTTGGAAGAATATTAGCAGTAACTTGTAATAATGGTTTTTCAGCAAGAGTTCTAGTGTAAAAGTACTAATTCCTAAAACAAATGAATGTTCAGAACGGTTAGACCGATCAGTATTTTCATCACGGTCACGATTGTATAATCGCTGTTACCTCTATATTTAAATGAATATTTTACACATGGAAATCAAATTCAGCTTTTGCAAACACCTGACAATTGTTGCTTGCTATATTGCTAGTCACTGAATTAATGAGCCGTTTTGTTCTACTTATTACATGAAAACAGAAACACTAAAATAAGTCAAGGTATCCATATTTCTTAACAACTCACTATATTACATATCAAAATATTACTTTGACCATTATGACGTCACAATCGCTCATAAACGCATAAAGCGCGCATTAAAACAAACAGACACACTTTCACATTCTTCGTAGCGTGACGGTCACAAAACATTAATACTCAGTTGATCTCATGGTTAAAGTAACCGTATAGCTAGGAGCATACGATTCATTTTCCTATAGTATAGCGTATGATAATCAATTTGCGTAACAAAGGACATGGATGTCACACAAATAGATTAACATTTGGCTGGTTTTTCGATGTACCAGTTGCACAACCTTGAACTTGAATAATACTCTTGTTCCGATTGCAAATTTTATTCCATTTTGTTATTATGATTTCTACTGACGAGATATTGAAAGTAACCTCTGTGACTAGGTACCTACTAAGTACTTACTGTTTCAGTTTGATGTAAACTCGGAATTTTTTCACGTACAAGCTCATTTGTTCTATAATATAATTGCATCTATATTTATTTAATACAACAAGAGATCGAGCTCTGTTTATATATATCATAAAATGTCGAAAGCCGTAGACAAACGCAAGGCTAACGCTCCTATACAATCTGTTAGCTCCCGAGCAGACCCGTGAGCGCAGACGTGACGAAATTATATGCGTGCCCGCTGTAGTGATCGGTGATATTAGTTAAGGTTGCACAACCGGGCGTCAAGTAGGCCGCCACTATATCTGGAAGACCTTCACCCGCATTACGCCAGGCCTCTGTTCCCGAGGGACGTTACACGGATAATTTAGAACTACAACAGTCTTGAACACTTCGCACGTTACCGTCCAACATTAAATTTAGATCGCTTATCGCTGAGTCGTTCAGATTACAACTTGGCGGCGGTAAAACGTGTTGGCGAACTGACAGATTACGCAGTGCCAAGTGCATTTTGCAGCTTAGGGATTTCAATTAAAATAAACCAACTACAGTTCTACACATCATTGGTGTATCCTTTATAAATTAGCCATCAATCAACATCGTACACTACCGCAAGTCATGTCATGTCTATACAAATTCCTTGTACTGAGTATGCTTAGAATACCGTACATAACACAGTTCCGGCCGTGTGCATAATCCTGTAGACGCGAGGTCAGTATTTGCAAACATTATAGTCTGTGTGCATCGACTACACAATGAGTTTAACAGGTGCCGAGTTGAACTCACCTGTACCCGCAAACTCTTGAGAGCAGGAAACTGTGCCAGTCGATCCACCTCGTCCCACGTCGCTAAGCCCGTATTGTTGAGGTTTAGGAAGCGGAGGTGTCTGGAATATCAATGACATCGTTAATGTGACGCCGCGCCGCAAAAATAAACACTATTTAAATTGTGAAGATCGAGAGGTCAATGGCAATTGGCAACACATGTTGACTTAATGGGGTCATATTGATAACATATTAGTTATTGTATTGTGTAATAATAATCACTTACGGGAAGGCATCGTGGCTTTTCTTATTTCCGTTATCATCACTACATTTTTCACACGGGTCTGGCGCTAGTGTTGTTATTGGGCAGTCGTTGACCAGCAGGGTTTCCAAATTCGGGAAGGCGTAACCTAGTTTTGAGATCTCTCGCCAACTGCTGACATGGTTCCCGGAAAAGTGGAGTTTCTTTAGTTGCTCATGAACAGGCTCTGTGACATCAACGTTGAGTCGTGAACACGCCTCACATTGAGCTTCCTTATCAACCTCTTGTCCGGAGAAGTCCACATAGGAGTACTCGTTTAGGCTCAAATGCAACTCCTCCAGAGCTGGTAGAGCTTTGAGTAACGCGTGGACGCTCGGCCAACCGACGTATGTGGAGTTCAGAATGAGGTGGCTCAGACTGTCCCAACGTGGCTGTAACGTTTGTGCCGCCTGGATCTGAGCCGACAGACGGTTGAAGCTCAAGTTGAGAAACCTAACTCGCGGTGTCTGCTCCAGTATTGCAAAAACCTATAAGCAAAACTTTATGTCAGTGTACATTATTAAGGAGTGAACGTAACACTACGGAAATATCTGCTATTACAAATAATTGGTATAGATTGTCGTAACTGTGGGAAAGGTGTGTTTATTGCAAAGAGCTTGTTTGCTGTAATAGCTGACAAGGAGGTTATCCGTAAAAGAGACAGTGATGTACTGAGAAATAATAATTTACGCTTTTTAACTTACTTCGTCCCACTCGGTGAGTTTGTTATTGGCTAAATCGAGCTCGACTACATCAGCACATTTATCTGCAAGAGCACGGGCGTCTCCGGCGCAGTCGATCTCGCAGTCGTTAAGCACCAGTAGCGTGGGTACACTCAGCCGAGGGGAGCGTTTGGGCACAAATATTGCTACCGGCATGTCATCTATCGGAGCATTTACTTCGCCCTTCGCACCATATTTCCGCTCTAGAGCTTCTAGCAGCGACGGCATGTTGGCTTCCCCCTATGATTCGTGTTTATTTATACCTAGAAAGAAAGAAAAATGTATAATTTATTTGTTATATATTTGTAAAACTAATCACAAATACATTGTTTAGTACTTTATTCGCTGCGTCGTATAAATATCGTATTATTGAACAGCGCACGATAAGAGTTATTTCATTGCCAGTGGGTCAACCAATAATAAAGTTATATTGGAAAGGCAGCCCATAAGAATTAAGAACCAATTAAGTATGTGGCAATAGTCGATACAATATAGTGTTGTTGATTGACAATTAAGTTTATGAAGAAGTTGACGAATAATTGTAATCACATGGCGGTAATAAAAGCACAATAGATAATATCCAAGTTAAAATACATCAATTAATTAGTTAATATGAACGAGCGGCGTTTCCTTCTCGCTTGAACTCATGCGCAACTGGCTAAATAAATATACGCGCGTAAAGCAATAAACCAACAGACCGGAATATTTGCTCAAGGATCTGTATGAGTAGTTTCATAAATATTATTTCAGGAATCAAATTTGTTGGAAGTATCTGATGTATTATTGTACGATGAAACATACATAATGTTTTAGCAACCCACATTTTTATGGTAGACATTACAAAAAGTGTTACATGTGGCGTTATCTTAATGGATGTTCATATTACATTACAAACGGTACACATGTCCTAATGACCTATATTTTATTCTACATACTATTTGAACGAATGAGGGTTTTAATTAACAAGAGGTCTTCGATCGATTGAGATTCGTGATACCGTACAATAAAAACTATATTTAGCTTGTATTTTTATGGGGCAATTCAGTAGTAATATTGTAGTTTTGTTTACGACTCGTTTTGGTACTTCTTACTTATTCATTCATGCGTAGTATCGAAGGTTTACTGAGACCGGTACTGCTATCAGTGATTGCGTTTTAGCTTTTCAGTAATCTTGGTAAAGCAGTAAAATAAAGCAAAATTACGATGATGAAATCTAGTAATTATTGCATTACGGTTCCGCTACCTCATTGTTCTTGCAAAATAATGAAAAGAAAATTCAGTATTTTTTAGTTGTTCAACGCAATTAGATAATTGACTTTGAAATAAAATGTCATATACTCCGTATCAATATAAATTGTATAGTATGTATCGATACAAGCATGATCTAGCTCAAGTCACTTTAGCTTGGTTTTATTTTAAATTCTTCACACCACTATTGCAAGAAAATGAAGCGCTTTAGACAATATTAGAAGGGATGTTGCTCAATATTAAGTAGTCGAGTCGAGCTGTTCCGAGACTTCGTGACTCGTGACTGCTGCAGCCAAGGTCGAGTTCAAATGTGCATTCAAACATAATTAGTGCCTTATCTCACAATACAGCTGATGCTGATTGCAAAGACAATTTGCATGGAAGTAAAACGGACCATTTGATTCGACGAATAATCATTTGGAATTTCATGTCCAGCAATCAAACTTTTATAAGTATCGAGTTTTTGTTTGCGTGCTGATGTCATCATCGTTTATGTACACGACACGGGTAAGCCCCAAATGAGCTCCGTAAATTATAAGTTAATAAAAAGTGACCTTATCAAATAAAGGGACACACGTTGAGTATTGTGTTGTAATGATTAGCATTGCATTCAAGTACAACTCGATTATCGTAAGTAATATTCTGTTGACTGTCCGCTATAAACTGTCAGTGAAACGTAGTAATATCATAAAGTCAAGGCTAATAGAATTTAGTCACCTTATGCGCCGACAGTAGTGTGTAGTGCGAAACGTTTCTACCACGTCCCAACTATATTTTCCGCAGGGGATTTGCAGCTTACCGAGCGTTGTTTGCAATTTCGGTTTCAGAAGCCAAGTTTGGATTACAGCGGACATATTTCTCCGACTCTAATTATATCATTGACCAAATAATGAATTAATGCAATAGGTAACATCGCTGCGTTTACTCGCGTGCATAAAATAAGAATCGTTGTTGAATATTAAAATAAAACATGACATCAGACAGCCGTAAATTGCTATAACCACGCATTACGTACGACATAAATCCCGTTCTACATTTCCAATGCGCGTATAATGCTGTTGCGAGCTGCTGTTGGCTAACTGACGTCCAATGATTGTGCAAATCATCATGAACATCGCGGACATGTAATGTGATAGTAAATTAAAACGCGCATTACGTGGAGCCTAACCTTCTTCATTGACGGACAGTCGGTATAAAAAATACTGCGTGCTACGACGGAAACCTTGGGTCGAGGAAGATTTATAAAGTGAAACTAGTAATTAATCAAATTGTTATCGAATATTGCTTTATTTCTTGTTTCTGGAGTACCAATTTGCGTGCGGCGCCACCTATCTTTATTACCTACAATATGTAAAAAGTTTAGTTAATAATCAGTTAATAATATAATTTTTCGTTATTTGAAAAAGCATCCATCCACAAAATCGTTCAAATATTTTAACCTTCTGATAGATCAGATAGATGCAGTTTTCAAGATCTTCCTTTACCGGTTTTGAGCTTCCATTAGTGGTGTCACAAATGACTGTTTGGGTTATTTCGTAAGAAAATGAGTATAGAAGCTTGAATTATGTCCAGTCAGCCACAAAATATCGTGAATGAATTCCGAAGAAGGCAATAAAAATGTTATCAACCTCGTTTATTAGCTACCTTAACTAGTTTCAAATTCAATATCCCTTTCGAATTCCGGAACTGACCGTGTCATGGCATACATTACTAGCGCGTTTGGAGTCGTGTTCATAGAAATACATTTCCTTTAAGTTTGTGACTTTGTCTTCAATTTATACGTCTTCAATTATGGCTTTTGGAATTGTATCATTGCATTGTCCACTGTATTAAGGTTAAGCCATTCCGCTCTAGTTACTATTTACATAATGTGAAACAATTATTATCTTCGCACATTCGTCTGTACACATACATTTCGACGATTTAGTTCAAATTTTCAGAAAAAATCGAAGCGTATCCAATGCCCATTTACATACATACAAATAAATGATTTGATTTGATAGGTAGTCGAGTTCTCGGAGAAGAACGATTTGTTATTATTTAATAGTGTAAACCTTTCGTGTAAGCCTCGTGTTATTCCACATAAACAGATGCTACGTATTAATATTGTATTTCTAGTTCATAATACTATTACGGTAAGGTTATTCAGAAAGCGAGAGTTCGGTACCAAGGCCGGAACACAAGATCGCGATTTTGCACAACGTATTAAACTCAATTGTGTTTATCAATAGATCAATCACACATAACTATTTTGTTGTAAATAAAACAGTTATTTAATGTATATTATTCATATTAAAACAGTCCTTAGTATCTATTAGTACGACAGGTTGTTGATGTCTATTGAGATAATAAGAGACAAAGCACCATACATCCTACTGGAAACAATGAGGCTAATAAAATTAATGGTGTACGTAGAACAGAAATAGTTAATTGTTTATTCTCAAATAACTTGTTATGGCGTGATAAGTTCCAATTGATATTTCATGTCTTCTACAAAACTAGCCAGTTATTGATGCTTTCATTTTTTAAAGCTTCGCGTGTCAGACCTAGCTCCTTCATGTTATTTGCTATTCTTTAGTTATATACCTAGGTAAATATCGATCGATTTAGCTATTACGATGAGTAACGTTTTAATTAAAAATGTTATAAATGGCTTAATATCTTTTTAGGGTGTAAAGCTAGTACCTAACCGTAGTATTGTAATTTATGTATTTTGCTAACTAGAAGTTGTAGGTTCAAACCTAAACATTTAATTTGCTATGTTTATATTATAACTTTTGTGAGACATATCTACTAAATTAATTATTATGTTTTCGTCTTATTCACGTAACTGTTTGACGAGCTGATTCACGTGTATCATTCCGGGACCCGCGACGCGGCGACTGTATCAGCGCTACATTAATATGAGCCTCTAGCATGGCTTGAAACTAATCGAGTTCATCGTCAAACACTTACGTGACTAAGCCGAAAACATAATAATTAATTTAATTAGCACTCAAAAGAACGATAGATTAATTTGGTTTAGTTTAATTTACTAACTGTCTTGGCCAGCTTCGTTTCAAATTAGACAAACAGCCACCCCATGTTATGTGCATTTGTTGGCTGGGATTGCTCACAAACAAAAGAACGCAGACGTTGAGGTTTCCTTTGTGGCATAAATGAGAATTCATCCACAGGGTGGCCACCCCGGCGGGCACAGGCGTCGCGACGGTAAGGGCGGCGAACTTAACGTCTCGACTCTACCCAGTCTACCCATATATTGGCAAAACCACTTTGTTTAATATCCAACTGTTGCTTAAAATGTCTGGATTGGAAAAACCTTGTCTGATTACTTTAAAAGTGTGACCGACCATTAGGATATTGACTTTAACGTTGAAAGACTTTTACGGGCTTTGTTTTTCTTCATGGGAGTTTAAAATTCTAAACTAAATCGATATGAACTATTGTGTGTGCTCTGTGCTATACAATAATATTTAGGAAGGTCACTGCCATACAATTTTGTGTATACATATTTGTGAATAAGTGCGAAATACAATGGATAAAATTAATCGCTGTGTAAAAACTACATAAATTGTTGGGGCGTAATTGTTTGATGCCCAAACGCGTTCACGTGTTCTTTGCGTGTGTTGACAAGGTTTAACAAAAAATAATTGTGAATCTCTTACAGAGCGACAAAAACTGCGCAGTTCTTTTTGCGCAGTGATGTTCAACTTTAAATCATAGAAGTAATTTGTAAATATAGTTGACTTGAAAAGGAACACGTTTTCCCCTTAGTACGTACCTAGTTACGTTTTGTTTACTTTTGTTCTACTCATCGAGTTATTGTTTGGTTTGTCTCTATGTCGCTGTGGTTACTGCATCGATTATTTAATTTTATTAACTACAAGGAAAATTTCAATAGGTTCTCTATTTTATCTATCATAAGGAGGTAATAATCACAATATTACGCACGTATATTATTAATAAGACTTTCTAGATCT